GTACATAAAATTATGCAATTATGTACCTTTCTTATGAAAGTTTATTGCAATGAGCAGTTATATTTTAATTTTCTTATAGTATTTAATATATTAATTTTCTTATATTTTTCCAGAAAGTATCAACAAGCATAAGGTGAGAGTTGAAGTACTAAAAAAAAAATATTAAACTGCTGAAAGTTTTTCTTACTTTAAAAATTATGAGGTAAATAAGCTGGTTCACTTAAAACTAGAAAAGATTACGTCACTTCTGTTCTTCTGTATAATAACTCCCCCCCTCACTTGCAAGCTTCAAACAATTTGATGACTAGATTGTTAGTAATATTGCAGAACAGTGTAAGAGTTTAATTTTTGTACATAATTTTTGCTTATTGTATTCATGTTTTGAACCATATTAGTATGTAAGGATTATGCAAAGTTATCAATCATTATTTGTCTGTCAAAGTTGGAGTTTCTTTTTGCTTATTGTCTTATCCTGTTTTGAACAAAATGTAAAGATTATGAAAATTAAAATAAAGTTATTGAGTTTTTGTTTCTTTTAAATCTTTTCTTTATTATGCTATTAGAGCCATAGGAATGGTGGCATTGGTGCCATATTATCAAAGGTTTTGGATAGTCTTGATATCATGAAAATATTAGTATAGCTCCTCACTTATCGACCTGGTCATTGAAAAAGAACCTGGTCATTAAGCGAGGAGAAGCTATATACAATTTGTTTTTTTACATTTTATCCCCAGACAATTAAACTTTACATTTCAACTTTCAAGATTCACCTTTTTATCACTCATTCTGTATTCACACTATTCTCCATTTTATTCTTAAAATGAATTTTATTTTTTTATTTATTAGGTTCATCTCCTTTATATTGTTTTGTGTCATTGATTTTAACAATTCATTTTTATTTCTCATTCATTTTTTTAACCTTCTGCCTACTTTATTAACATATAAGAATCTCAGAATGATAAAAGAAAATGTTTAAAACCTGAAGGTTGAATGTAATGGTGATAATTTGTTCCTTGTGAATTTTACTTTTTATTTTTTTCATTTTAAATCAGAAAAGATTGGCTGCTTCTGTATGAGGTGTTAACCAACTGTGCAAAATAGCTTCCTCAAAGAAACATTTGATAGAAAATGAGCTTTTTTTTCTTTAGTGGAGTGGTTTCAGAAATGTATAATATGTCAAGATATGGGGAAGTGCTTACCAGACACAGACAGATTAACCTGTACAAATTCATTGAATTTTTACATAGCAACCTTGTATTTATCAAGAAAATGATGATTTTTTTTTTACGGTAAAGTTCACTCTGTACAAGGCCTGGTGGCCACTCAAGGGAGAAGGTTACATTAAGGGATAGTTTATATGGATAGGATGGGAAGATAATGGTTGACTCTAGACGAACAGGTTAAAATTGTAGTAATTGGGGTAAACATCCTCTTGGGAGTCCATTCCATAGGGCAGTGGTTTGTGGGAAGAAGCTGTTTGAGTGGAACTTCTTGCTGATGGAGTACAGAGGGAATGTGGGTTGTTTGTGACTATGTAAGTGGCATGCCTGGTACTAGCCATGCAGGTCAGACCTAGTGGAACCAGGAGATGTATTTTTGTCCAAGCACTTTCCATGTGCAGAGCAGTCAGAAACTCACCACATCCTTCCTGTGAGAGAGAAGTTGGATTGTGGAAAATAATTCTTCTCCAACAGAGACTCTGAAATGCTTTTGAACTCTATCAAGACTAGAAAGTGAGGACTGAACAACTCCCCACTCTACCCCAATGTGACAAAAGTACTCTATTTTCGGCCTGATCTGGCTCTCATAAAGGTAGAGGATAGCATAAGGAGTCAGGTATTTACTGGAGTGGTACAAGAAGCTGATCATTTTACCTGCATATTTAGCGATAGATCATATATAGGTATTCCACTTGAGGTTGGGTGTGAGTTTGAGGTTTACTACTCTCTTGAGGTACGGGGCCCCCTTTAGGGGATATCTGTTCATTGTGACTGGCGGTAATTTGGGATCTGATCGGCAGTGATAGAATGTAACCAGTTTGGTTTTAGAGGCAATGAATGTAACCACCAGTTTTTTTCTCCCTACTGGAATGTGTTAGATCAGAAGAGGGGTTAACTACCAATCTCTGATCATCAAGACTTTTAGAGGTGTGTCCATATATTGTATCATTGGCATAGATGTTTACAAATGATCAGAGTATGTTCTTAGCTAGATCATTTATGTAAATCAGAAAGAGTGTTGGCTTGAGAAGAGACCCCAGGGGGACACCTGCGTTGACTGCCAGAACCTTAGAGAAAACCTTTCCACTGACTCCATAGCTTGAGAGCTTGTGTAGCAAACCTTTGTGCCACACCTTGTCAAAGGCCTTTGAGATACCTGATGCTATGGTCTTTGTGGTATGTGTGTCATCAAGGGTCTCACTAATTCTGTGTGTAATGGTAGTTAGGACTTCAGTAGTGAATCCAAATACTCTTAATGGAAGATCATATGTGGTTATTTTTCAACAGCAAACTGAGCTTTCTTTATTTTAATTCCTCTTTACATTTTCAATATTATTTGGTATCTTCTGATATGGGATGTGAAGGACCAAACTTAAGTTACCAAAAGGTAACCACTTCACCATAGAATTAATCAATCATTAAAGATATATTGGTGGGAAAAATAGGTTACTCCATAAAATATGGAGATAATATCGAGGCAAAGTTCATTTCATTGAGAAAAAAAAAGGAAGTGGGGGGGGATAGTAATATTTTTATTTGTCACTCATATTACAAGTAAAGACATTTTTGGTAATTTTGACAGTATTCTTAAAATAAATTGTAGGAAACATTAAAAATATATTATAATTATTTTTAATAAACATTAATTTTGATATTTAATATCATTGGAAATTATTTGTATCATATAATGGTTATTATATATAATCACTGTATACAATTTAGATTTGTGTGTGTGTGTGTGTATATATATATATATATATATATATATATATATATACACACACTCACACACTGTAATGGAGGTTGAAAGCAGCAGCGCACACACACACATATATATATATATATATATATATATATATATAAAATACACTGCTATTTTGCTTGTATGCATAACTAATGCATTCTATTTTGATTTATATAGTAATAAACAGAGAATAAAAATAAATGCTGTTGCTAGAGCAATATAACTTGTTCAAAAATATTAGAAATATGTCCTAAGGTGTTTTTCTAAATTGTTTTGTTATTAATATCATATTTCTGTTTAAAAAGCATTAATATAACTGAAAGTTTGAAAATACTTATGTAAAATATAAGTTACGTTTATTTTTTTTTTTTTTTTAGAAAAAAAACCAGGTTTCTAAAATGTTTGTTTTAAAGTTGTGCATTATTTAGGTTGTTGCTTTGAGGAAGGAGATGATCCTATTATTAAATGACATAATTTTCTCTCTTTCTACCAAAAAAATAAAAAAAAAACACAACTTTCCATCTTTTTTGTTTTTAAATTCTAATCCAAATTTCTTCTGCTTTAATCTTCATTGGCTTATAAGATTACAAAAAAAAAAACAACTGCCTTTGTATTTGTTAGCTCCCTGTAGGCAAAAAACTCCTGTACAGATATTTCTACTATTTTTCTTCAATTTCAGTGACAGGCTTTTTTAATTAAGTCCCATGATTGAATTGTATAGTTCTTTTGTAATTGCTACACGTGACACCAGTGTCATCTTTTTTCTATGTGTTTTTATCATTATCAAGCAATACAAGGAAGTATTTGTATTGCTTGCTATTTCATTTAATTATGTTGGTTACATATTCAGAGGAAGCTTTTTATATTGTAAAATTATCTAAGATTATATAATTACAATGTTTAAAAAGTATAACTCTCAACAAGTGTTACTGTTGTATTTGATCAACTGAATCATATGTTGCAGTATGTAATATGACACAAGTTTGCTTAGATAAATTTGCACTTGATATAAAAATTAGATGCAAAAGTGTAGCTTTTGTAAACTTTGATTTCTTTGTTTCAGCATTTGGCATGTTTTTGCATAATTTACATACTAAAGTAAGAGCTGCGACATGTGAACCCTTTGTTTAAGTGAAGTTTTAAAATTACATTAAAAAATGATAAATTACTATGTAATGTGCTTTTATTATTCTATCATAAAATAATTTCAGTTAAATTTCATTGTTTATATGGAATTTTACTTATTTTTTTTTATCTAATAAATTCAACTCTTAAAAAAATGAAAATTTTTTAAAATATTTCTTTTAAACTTGAGTTTTGTGAAAATGTAGCCTAATATTTTGTTATTATTGGTGATAAAAATCAGATCTCATATCAGAAATATTTAGCATTTTATTGTAACTCAAAATATTTCCCCATGATTATTTTTGTGAGTGGAACACCTATTTCTGAAGGTAAGGTCATTTGCAATTGTTAATTTGAAATATTTTCATTGGGCTAAGTGCTAATATTGAAAATATGAATTGTCTTGAAATTTAAGAATATTTTTTTTTGTTCATCATTGTAATCCAACTACATAATATTTGATTGTTTTCTCAACAATACACGTTTTTTATAAGTAATTTAGGATTTTGGCTAGTATTCAAGTTGCTTAAATCTTTCATGCTTGAGTCTAATAAATAGAAAAGTAAGATATTCTGATGTAAATAAACTGGTAGAATTTTTTAATATCATATAAAATAATGTATTTAGTAACTGTTTTTTTCTTTTACATTATTTTTTGATTTAGTTATTTAAGCCACACTGGAGATGCTTGTGATTTAGTCAAATTTATGTACAGTTGCTTATTAGAAAAAATGTGTAGTACATAAATTGTAAAGACCATTTTAGTTCACTCTTTCTTGGCTGATAATTTGTTGATAATCATATCACTACTAGTTTTTAATATTTAATTAAAAAAAGGTTAATTTTTTTTATTTATTTCTGAAGACTTGTTGCTTTATAACTGTTTTTCCCCTCAACACTTTCTTCTGCAGAGCAAGTATTGTATAGAGCTGGAGGTGTATCTGAAAGCTACCCATATGATGTCACTGTTACTCGAAGGGAACATGAAGGCTTTGGCTTTGTGATAATCTCTTCAGTAACAAAGGCTGGATCAACTATAGGTGAGTTTGTTAACTGTGAATATATAAATGGGGAGTAAACATGTCTGACTTATAATTTTACATTTCTTTTTTAGGAATAAATCACTCCAATACAGCTTAGGTTAAATGTCTTTAGTAAATTCAACTTTGTTGCTAGATTAAACTTCCTATTACAAAATCTACAAAGACCAACTGTTGTAAATATATTTGTGCTGTTTATTTCTATTCTAAATTGGGTTGGAAAATGGATTATATAATGACACCTGTTTAGTCATCTCTGTTTTTGCATGGTGGTGAGGTTTGGTATCTTAAAAAAAATCTTGACATCAGGACTGATAGTTTTGACAGCAGAGATTAGTGGACAATCTAGAACATTGTTTTACAATGTGTCAAATACAATTCTGATGGCTTTGTCTTCCAAAGAAGACATAGCCATTAGAAAACCATTTGATTTTGCTTTCAAGGCAGCTAAATTAAAAAGACTACATATAAAACTTTGTACTCACTGGTTGGATGTCATCAAGAATGACATACTTCAAATTTGTATGACTGACAGAAGCCCATCATATGGTTTAAGATTGATTTAGTCAGTTTAGTACACAGTGTCAATACAGGCACATGACATGAGCTATAAAAATATGTCGGTCATTTTAACATAATGCCAAGAAAATTTGGTTTATAAATGTTATTTGAAATTTTAAAATATGAAACAATGAATCCTTAATAAGATAATTGTTTCACTGCTTGGCACTGTCTGCACTCTTTTTTTTCATTCATTATCTGAAGAATAAAGAAAAAATAAAATAACTATTTTAGTAAACCAGGTTATTTGTTGTCAGTGTAACTTGAATATTGAATTGTATTTGAGGAATTTCTAAAAATTACTTTTGGTGAAAAAGTTAAATTCTCACTCAACCTATTGTTATTTAGTTATATATGTTATATATTTAAAATACTTATTCTTTTATTTTTGACAGGCTTAATTTAGAATGATAAATTACATCTAATTAAAGTTGTTAAAAAATAATTGAAAAGAAATGGAAATTTACAAGCAAAATAAATGGTATAAAATCAAGAATATTATTTTTAACACAAAAACTAATTGAAGTCTGTAAAAAGCATTCTGTTATTCTGAATATAAATTGATATTTAAAAGCAGTTAAATATAAGACATATAATCCTCATAATAGTATAAAGTAATGATATCTTTGTTTTAGACAAAACTTTTATTGCAGAATAGTTCACTTTTTTGGTAGAAATTACAAATTTCTGGCTGAAAAAAGGACATATTTTAAGTGCAAATCTAATCTTTACTTGCAGACAAGAAAAGCTGTTCTTATTGATATTTCTACTTTTTTTAGCAATGAAAGCTTTCTCTGAAGGAGAAATGGTTTCTGGCTGGGATAATATTTGGAAACATACCTTTCTGATGACACTCAATATATATATCTGTTCACTAGGGAACCTGATTTGTATAAACTAGGCTATTTGACCAGTTTCTCCAGACTAGAGTTATTCAAGGTGAATAGTATAGGAGAGATTATGGAATGCAAAGTCTTCAGGCTCTGAAGTAGGTTGGATGACATGCTCTATGAATGATATTTGATGCTGTCAGTCATATTGAAAATAGTGTTCAACAATTTGTTTGATTAGGGAAGCATCCTACAGAAAATAAATAGAAATAGGGTCATATTATTAAAATAGAACAACCATAATTGGAATAAGATGGGCAACAATAATTAATCTGGTAAAGTGTAATTGATACTGACAAATTGTAAGTTATCATCAGATTGTTTAATCATGAAGTGTATTGAATCTGATCTTCAGAAAAATAAAAATGAGTCTGCATAAGTTAAAATTTTGCTTTGAAAGTAATTGTTCATAAAGTTTAAAATCAACATGTGTCTTGCATCTATGTCTGAACCATTATCATTTATCTGTACTTTCTTTCTCTTCATTTTTGACATTGATTACTAGGTTAACTTTATGCTTTTGCAAGTGTTTTGACATTGTATACAGGGTTGATAGCATAAGAAAATATTATATATTAGAGTTTAATGTAGTGGATTACTTAAGATCTGTTCTGTGATAATTTTAGCTTTTTGGTGGAGATATTCAGGTTTATGTAATCTTGAGCATCAGTTGTTGGTAATATCAATTATTATCATTGCCACTTGATAATATATACTTTAAAGTAGGCATGGTAGAATCACTAGATTTCACTTGGAAGAAATAGTTGAATGAACCTTCTGTTATTATCCCAAAGTTCATTCATTTTGAGATTTCATCAGAGCTGAAATGCTCAATTATTTCTTAATGTCAACTCTATTAATTGGGTTTTTGGTACTATCGACAATGATTATGAAGAGTATGTAGAAAAAAGAAGTCTTTCAAGTAAAATCTTTCTTATTTTACGATTTGTTTGTGTAAAGCAGCAGCAGCTTAAAGTAAGAAACAGGAAAGACCAACCAAAAAAGATTAAGTGATTTGTGGATGAAAATGAGAGTAAGCTTGATTAGTTTGAAATATGCCAATATGGAACATCTTTTGTTTTGCCTTTTAGTAGCTGCATGCCACAAGGTGTGATGATGAGAAATATGGTGTGATGATAGGAAAAAATAGTTCCACACATTTCTTTCTTTAGTGTCCTTATGAGTTGGTTAAAAATGTGTACCCTTCAGGAAAACAAGACAGTCTACATTTATATTTGTGTAGTTGACTGGATACTAAACTAAAATTTCTTTTGTTCTAAAATTGTTCATATATCATCAGGAGATTATCATTTATAAAATATTAGCAATAAATGTTTGTCTGGAATGAAAGATTCACCACCCATTTTTGTGTATTACCATCCTGCCACTTAATGATTTTTATAACTGCTGAATTTTGAGACCCAATAAATTCTTACCTAAATTTAAAATAAGTAAACATTTTTACTCCTGGTTAATATTTAAATCTTTTCATTTATATATCATATCTTTAATTACATTTTCTTGTACATTTATAACAATAAAAATTTGTGATAATCCTAGCGAATATCTAAGAATTTCACAAAAAGTGTTATTGAATTATGTGTTTTCAGGTCGTATTTTGGAGAATAGCCCTGCTGAAAGATGTAACCGATTACATGTTGGAGACAGGATACTGGCTGTAAATAATGTTGACATCTCACACATGCACCATGAAGAAATTGTTAATTTGATAAAAGATTCAGGATATTCAGTCACACTTACAATTGGTCCTCCTCAAGGTAAGATGATGTTTCAAGATAAAACTGAAGTTAAGCTAATTCACACCAAACTCGTTCCTATTGTTGCAAAAAGTTTTTTCATTATAACAAAACATTTTGAAAAAAGAAACTCATAAATATTATTCATACAGCACAAATTTTGTTTTACAATCTTACACTCCCCAATAATTTTTTATGCCAATAACATTTCTGTAATTAATGATAAGAAAATTTGAAACATTGAGTTTACAATCTATATTTAAAATCAGGAAACGTATACATAAATGCATTCACAAACACACTGAAAAAGAATAAGCACTTCAATTTTCAATCTAGACTTTATACAACAATCAAGAATATTATGAAAAATAAGATTTGACGTTTTTACTCATCCACACTTACTATCTTTGAGGAATATCCAGCCAGGGTGCATTTAAAATTAAAACTAATTTTATTAATTTTCAGAACATTTATTTCAGAGTCCATGATGACACAAACATATTAAATAAGATTCATACCTGGAGACTGATTTGGCTATGACAATCACTTTGCTGTATGATAGAGCACCATCTTCCATAAAAATGTTTTTGTTCAAATAACCCTAACTGTAAATCTTGAGCAAAATCCATCTTTTAAAATGGATATGTATTTTTTCTGACTTGATATTCTGAATGCACTTCAAAAGCTTTTGATGATAAATGTTCCAAATTAGTTCTTACACCATAAGTAAAAATCTATGTACATGTTTGCAGTAATAGATTCAAACAAAATTCTTGATTAGACAATCTCTAGACCTGCATAAATCCATTGTCCAAAAATTGAGTAAATAAGGATGAATGTGAAAATATGACAATTTACCAAAACTCCAAGATTTTGTCTTTTATCTCAAGTACTAACTGTTGTCGAATCTTTTCTAAATTAAAAAGTGTCTCTCTCCTGGCTGATCTGCAATAATAATCTATGTGAAGAAACTATTCTACCTTTCTTGGGTTAACATTCATTTTCCTGACAGCCCAAGTTAACCCAAATAAAACAAGACATTGTTATATGATTGTGTAGTTATTTTTCTTGGGTGAATTGTCAGTGATTATATCTTTATTAAATATCAAATGGTGGTGTCTATTTCTGCATCTATTATCTCTGTTATGTTTTAAATATTTTTATATTGTTTTGCATTTCTGTAGAAATAATCCCAAATTATTAAAGAAGAATCTTTTTTTATACAATGAAGTTCTCAGAGATAACATTTAAAAAAAAATGTAATTCATTAATATATATGTATCTCTTGGGGCTTTTTTTCTATCGTGTTTCTAAAATTGTGACAACTATTTTTTTTTCAAAATCATTTTTAAAGATATGTTATAGAAAAATTGATTGGATCATTTAAGTTCTAAAATGAAACTATAAATGTTTTCACTCATTTAACTGTGAGAATAGGCAGTCATTAAGCACTATTTTTACTGCTCAGCTGTATAGAATGTAATCTTGAGACCAAGCAAGAACTGCATGAAATGAACTACATGTGACAAAGTAATTGGTAAATTGTTTCTTATGGAAATGTATTATGTATTAAAAAGAATTCACTAATTGTTGAGATAAACTACAATAAACAGTCATTTTTGCTAGTTACTTGTAGGTGAATTTGTGTCAATAATTACTTTAGCTTAAATTTACTAAATTTTTTTCATTTGGCACATATCTAAGTACTGAACAGGATCATTATTATTTAACATTAAAAGATCTGGAACTAGTACATTCAGTTTTCGACTTGACTGTAAATGGTTATTTACTAAATTTACACGGCTACAAGTGTGGGGCACCCACTAAGGGGTTATATTCATTAATAATAATTACTTTAATTATATATTTTTTAAGTCGTCACAAGAAACAGTGAAAAAAATTATTTTAGTAAATTTCATTAACTTTATTGAATCTTCAGTTTTATTTGTTGAGATTTTTAAAAGTATTTTATTTACTTTGAGTGGATTGTCTCCCTTTAACAATGTTTTTAGAAAAAGGAAAAATGTTTAAGCACAGAATTACAGAGTAATATTTTAATGAAAAAATTTTATAAAATTAAGCAACATGTAGAGTTAATATTTTTTAAGCATTCATTTAAAAAATATAAAATTTATTAATTTAAAAAATGTACAAGTACCTAAATCAAATTATTTTAATAGTGAACATGACTTTTATCTGTAGAATGTACTAAAACAATGAAGTTAAAATGATAATGCTTTAAAATATGATTATAGTTTAGAACTTTAGTAATTTGTGAAAATGTTTTAAATTTTCACAAATCATTTAGTTTACTAAAATGTCTAACACAATTTCTGATGCTTTTATTTCCCATGAAACTTTTATGATGTGTATTAATCTCACTAAAAGATTTGTTTATATCTTATCCTTGACTTTAGAATTATTAAGAGAGCATGTCTTTTGGTTTCTATTGATGACAATGCCTATTTGTTCTTCCAGTTGCATGTTATACTCTGGTCTTCTCTTTTAATCAGTGCATCTCTCTCTATTCAGGCTGTTAGTCAGTATTTGTTCTTTCAATTTATTTATGTGCCAAATAGCTTAAAAGCAATGCATGGTTAAAATCTTCCTATAAAACTAGATTTTAAGGCTTTAAATGTTCTAAAATCACATGGTTACAAGATGTTATATATATATATATATATATATAATGTGTATGTGTTCTGTTCCTAGTCTTTACTTTTTACTATTCTCTAGTGATGAATTTTTCTTCTTACTGGTTGAGCTTCATTCTGATCTCAAATATGTCTATAGTAATTTTTGATGGAAATAATGGAATTTTCCAGTGATATGATAGCTTCTTACATTTAACTCTAATTTCCTATGTGCATGGCACCTATTGCTTGTTTCAGCTTCCTCCCATAACTGTTTCTGGCAGATCTAATTCCTCGTTCCATTTCTTCAATGACAGTCTTCCCAAATCTATTTTGTCAGGAACCAACATCAACAACAATGTTGCTTCAGAAGGAAAACAAAACAATTCAGCTGACCCAAAGGCCTCTGGGGGTATCACACGCCGACAAAATGGAGAAGTTCAGACTTTGCAGGGTACTACTAAACTTTTTTCTTTTTCAGAAATCTGATTTCTCCTGTTCACAAGTGACCAAAACTTTACAAAAGGCACAAAAATTACATATGGATTATACTCCATGACCCACAATGCACTTCTGACAGTTTTTAAGAATTAATAAAAGTCAGTTAGTTATTTATCATAGGTCGTTTGAAATAGATTTAAAGTGGCATTTTTTTATTATTTTTTTTTTTCTCATTTCGATTCATGCATTTGTTAAGGTGTCAGACATTAAGTGTTATATTTTGTTTTTCTTTGTTTGGACTTATATTTTCTGATGTGCAGTTATTGGTGTGAAAAGTAGAATTTTGAGCTGAGATCAATGGGCTGAGTGTGTTATGTTCACTTTTGCACACATGCCCTTAGGTAAGTCATAAAGTCATCACTAATAGGGTAAAATGGGCTCTCTACACTTGGGTGGAATTCAGTCTAAGAGAAGAAAAACTCTGAATTCATAACTATAGAGAAAGAAACAGGAAACCACTCTTTCCCAAGTTCAGTCAGGGATTACTTGTTGCTGTTGATACCATATAACCCAATACAATCTGTCACATATTACTTAGAGAGGAGGTGTTTCCTATCAAATGATTCCTATTGCCTTGAAAAATACAATGAAGGGCAATTACTCAGCATGTTATCCTGGCAATCTCATGAGTCATGGATTGAACTAGATTAATATCAATGTAATAAATGCAGTGCTGTTATCAGAGACCAACATTATTGACTTTAAATGAAGTTAAAAAAAAAAAATGAATGATTGGTATATTCGTCCCAATAAATCATACTCTGTAAGGACTTATTTTACATTTAAATTAATGTTATAATTTTAAGTTTAAAGAAAAATATTGTAATTTATTTTAACTTTATTGCTTGATTTTATGAAACCAACTTTATTTGAATTCTGAATTTAGCTAAAATTGTTTTTCCTATCCATAGCAGAATCCAAAGAAAGAGTTCATGAAAGATTTTATATCATTCAGTGAAAAATAATATCTAAAATAATATCTATACTTTTATACTTCCAATATTTAGTAGTTGGAGAATAATCAGGCAATGATCCTAATAGCCAATTGAAGTGTATATTGTTTCATGGTCTGTTATATTAACTGAGTTATTCTTGATATTGTTTTGGAGAGAAAAGTTTTTGTCATTTTGCGATGATGAAAAATTAGGATGAATCTATTGTTTCTAAAGTGATGAATTCCTTCTGTTCCTATTATTCTGAACTATCATTTGAATTTTTATGTATTGGAAGGTTTTCATTATTATTTTGTCAGTGACTTTTATCAATAAGTTTTTTTTCTCTCTGTGCAGAATGTATAGTTGATTCTTGTTTGGTTCATTGAACTTATTTTGCCTAAATATATGATGGATTGGATAAGAGGAATTAATACATTTTTATTTAGAAAAAGGTAGCAACTTTACTGTTCAGCTGAAATGTGTATAAAAACCTTTATTTGCAATTAGAATTAAATGTTTCCTTGTAGATTTAGCATGTTATTCTAGAAGTTCCTTCTAATTTCTGTAATCTTAACTTTAAACTTAAACTCTGAAAATCATAAAATAAATATTGATTTTTTTCTTATTGATGAGTTTGTTACTTTTCACATATAATCATAATTTAGAATGTAAATATAAACTAAATATTCTTATTTTCTTCAGTATTTAGTTAGTCATAAATGTAAAATATAAATTTAAATAACGAAAAAAGTTATTTTTACAAAACTACTCTAAATAACATTGAATATTAAAACTAAATTATTATTGTTATAGTAATACCATAGTTACATTTTTTTATCTTCTGAAACATTTTATTAATTTTAAGCTTGCTCTCTAGAAAAATTGATAAAAATTTGATTTTTTGCTTCTTTGTATCACATTTTTTCTGAGGATAAACAGTTTTTTCCCCTTTTTAGTGGGGGCAGGAAATCTACTGGAATTTTTCTGATGTTGTCTGATGTCAGTGTTGTTGCCATTTTTATTTTATTTTCCAGTTTATTTAATTCAGCTTTTTTAATCTTCGATTGTATTTTGATTTAACTTTTCTGATCTTAAAAATAAAATCACCAAAGCAAGATATTCATTAAAAGTGAAAATGTTATGCAAATATTTAAATCTAATCAAACTTTAATCTTAATCTATGGTTTATCACTTTCCATCTTTTTTTTTTCAGATGATGCATCCAGTACAACATCAACCTCCCAACGTGTATGTATCAGTTTTTCAACACCTCTTTATTTTCCTTTCTCGATTTAAATTTCATTAATTAATATTGAAATAATTTCAAGTTTGTGGCTATTCTAGATATTATTTATGCTTTTTATAGATTTTGATTTGTGCCTTAGCAAAGCTACTTAGCATTATTAGATTAGAGAATCAAGATTAATGTTCATTGGCTTATTTTATTTTGAAAGATGCACTTTTAACACACACACACACATATTTTCTCATTCATTTAAGAAAATGAAGTAAACAAAAAAAATAGTATAATGGAGAAAAATTTACTGATTTTATAATTTTGTGCAAGATGAAAGTGTAGTATATGCTTTTTCAATCCAGTATGTAAATTTTTAATATTTACAGTCGAAATAAATGTCTTCTTTATTAGTCCAATTCTAAATAATGATCACTCATCATCCTAGAAGTTCAGACAGAAATACATTTTCAGTTTTGATTACAAGTTTTGAAATCTCATTTTTTTTTTTTTTTTAACCTAATTAAAATATTTCAAGAGATCTACATACTGAAAATAGCTCAACAGCATTACAGTTACAGAATTGATTTTATGTAGTAAATTATTTGTATTGTATTATTCAGTGAAATGACTGTTTTCTTTAAAGCTTCATTTTATAGTTTCATAAATAGCTTTTTCTATTGGTAAGAAAAAGCTTAAGGCAACTCTATATTCATTAGTTTTAACAAATTAGTGAAGTCACTGAAATTTCTCATATGGCTGACTGGTTATAATGCTCACTTTCCAACCATGTGACCCAGGTTCAAATCTCACAAGGTTTGATTTGTCAGGAAGGTTACTTCTTGATGTTGTCAGTCTGGGTAATAAGTTTCAGCATGCAGCATTTTTGGAGATTGACCTTGTGAGTGAAAATGGGTTGACAGAAGCTGCTGATGGTTGTACTAGCAAGTCATTGTGGCTGAGGGATTTTTTCTTTTTTAATTTTTTTTAAGCATTGATATTCAAACTGCTGATCATGACAGATTACATGATCTTTCCCAGAAATTGTTATGAAGGTCCACTCAGCATAGTTGTAGTATAAACTACAAGTGGGCTCTGTGGGTGTTGAACAAGCACAAATGTGCCTGAGCAGTTGTTTGCGACAAGGATTGACTAACTGCCACAGCAGACTGGTGTTCTCAGAAAACAAAATATATATTATTTCAAACCTTATTTTTAATGTCTACCCATATTTGAGTAGAGACTGCATTTTTTTTAAACAGTGTTTATTTCATTGACTGTGAAGCTCTCTGTAGCCAAGCAGTCAAACCATGCTGGATCAGATGGTGGTTCCTCCTACAAAGGGGGATGCACGTTTAAATTCTGCCAGGTTTTTTCTAATGCACTGGATGAAAGAAATAAACACTTAAAAAAAAAAATAAGCAGAGCATCTACTCAAATACAAGTATTCCACTAAAAGTAATGTTTGAAGTAATAAAAATATGTTGGATTAAAAAAGAAAATCCAATAATTCTTTAGAAGTATATACTTTAATAGTATGATAGCTTCAAGCTTGGAATATATTTTTATAATCAAATGAAAAATTATCTTATTGAAGAAGGAGTTTAAATACAATTATTAATTTTACATGTTATATGTTGATATTGAATGAATTATTGTTTTTCCACATTATTGGCAAAAATACTGCTGCTCTTAAAATCAACACATACCTGCATATGTTCTGTCCCTTCAGAACATGGGCGATTATGGCTCTCCACAACCACCTATGCTTTGTGGCTTTTAGTAATATTTATCTTTTTACTATTCATATAATGTGAAAAAATCGAATTCAATGAAAATCAAATGTATATGAAATTTTCTTTTATGAAGCAGCTACCGTGTATTGCAAATTACAAAAGCTAAAGTTGAATAACTCCCTGAAAAAAACATAAATTTGAGATATAAACATTTTGTACCTTTTTTGATTCTTTCAAAGATTTCATTGAGATGTAAATCATAAACTTTCTCTTGTTGAGTCATATTTACAATTGCTTTTGAGTTTATAACAAAGCTGCAAGTAGTCAGATCATTATCATTATTTGTGTTTTTCAGAGCTCTGCTGGTTCAATGATTAATGCTATGGCCTATCCCGCTATCAGTGAAAGTGATCTTTCTCATAGATCGGAACACTCCCCTTACCACCAACCAGCTAATGAAAGGTGGGTGTGTGTGTGTGTGTGTGTGTGTATATATATATATATATATATATATATATATATATATATATATATATATATATATATAAATATTTAATTAAATACAGTATACTTGTATTAAAAAAAAATCTTTTCTATCAATTTTCTTGAAAGGAATTTCCTTTCATAGTTTTGCTTGCTTAATATGGTGTGCTATCTTGTTCATTTTCTGAGAAAGGAACATATTTCATAGCTTTATTTCTCAATATATTACTATTATATATGTAAAAAAAACAAAAAAAAACATTAGCCTGGCAATAGGTTATCAGTAGCATATAGATGCCATGAATGGTACCTGACTCCTTCAGAAATGTCTATATAACCATTTTCTCAGAAAATGATTTTAAATGTCTTCAAGTAAATGAATCCTTTGGGTCTTTAAGAAGACAATACTTCATTAATCCCAAAAGACTTGTGTCACAGAATCACAATGAGCTTTACCAAATAACAAAAACATCACTTGAAAACTTCCAACAGTAACAACTAAAATGGCTAGCATATGTAACTAGAATCAAAAATAATGATATAATCAAAATGTTGACTTTCCACATATTCAAAAACTAAAAGTTTAAAAGGAAATTCTCATCATTATTACAAAGTGTTATAATAGTGGATTTGAGAATTCTAATTTTCTGAAAAACAGTTTTAAGTAAAAGATTACCTAAATTTCAACTAACAGCTAACTGTCCAGTCAAAGAATGCCAAATATTTCCTGAAAAGAAACAGCAAATTTCATCATTATCAATTCCTATGGAATTGCAATGTTTCAGTCACTGAGAAAAAAAGAAATCCAGGAAGGAAATTAACAGAACTAGATGAGCAAAATCAAAATCTTTGCTTTTTTCCTGTAAAACAAAAGCAGTTATTAACCAACAGTAAACTTCTTTTGAAAATATTTGTCTCTCTCTTAAATTTGAATCTTGTGTCAGTTTGTGAGTTTGAATCATTCTTTTACTTTTGCATGAATATTTCTTATATATTGAAAACTAAGAAAATTTCTGTGAGGATTTATACAAAACTACATTTTAAATCTTGTCTTCTAATTGATAAAATGTGATATAAAATATCTTTTCATTATTGACCACATAATTGTGAGCAAGTGCTGATTTCTCTTTATATGTTCTCTATGCTTTAAAATATTTACTCTTGTAAAATGAATACAAATTGGTCAATGTAAAGAATGAAATTATTGTTAATTTTAGACATCTGTAAATGTCTGTTTCAAAAGCAGATTCCTATAATCAAATGACAAATTAGCAAATTAAGACACTTTTGAATCTTACCCATGCACATTTTTTTTCCTTCAGATTTCAAAATTGCTTTTTCATCTCAACATACAATATTGTGCTCATGGATGCTAATTTTTGTATTGAAGTTTTCAGTTTATTTAAAATTTTGCATTATGTTATTGTTCCTGTATTCATTACCAAAAATAAATGCCTGATAACTGAATACATAAATTTCATTATAATCATTTTCTGAAATATATCATTCTTTTATACTTGGAGGTATTCTACTACAACACAACATGCAGAACGTCCTAAAGATATGAGTCGACCTCCACGAATTCAAAATCACCAAGTAAGTGATCATTTTTAACAAAGTTTTTCAAGTGAAAAATTTAAAATGTGTTATTTTCAGTCACAGAGATAGATATGAAATCATGAAAATATATATATATATATATAAGTAGCATCTAATATTTGCACACAAAAGTTTAAAAATCAAAATTTGATCTTGACAGAAATTTCAGTAAATATTCTTAAAAATTCGTTCTACACAAATTTACTTAAAAAGAACCAAGAAAAAAAAAGGTTTAGAACAAAAATTGTTTATTACAAAAAGTGTAGCATCCACCATTGGTCAAATTACAATGAAAACACTGGTTCTTGTTTGATCACCAAAATTAAACTCAGTCAGTCATAATGGGGACTTCTTGGAAGTACCAGGTATTGTAAGCAACCTCCTACAATCTGAAATATATTTTGGCTTTAAATAACCTACAAAGGGTTAATAAGCCATAAAAAACAAATCAATATAAAATTAGAGAACAAAAATTATAAATGCACATTAACAAATGCAATTAACATAAATACAATTAAGATTATTGACTAATCATTGATACAAGATATTAATGAGTTATGTAAAGGTCATGGCTTTTATTAGTTCTCCACCTCTACAGACTTCAGTAATTTGTTCCATTGTGATTTTGTCTCATTCCTCCTACAGTTTCTGTCACAGAAGTTTCTATTGTCAGTTTTCTTGTACTAGAAATCTTCCAAATATTCTCTTGAGATTTTGACTTTGGGAACGTCAAACCTCAAGGTTTTCAATTTTAAAGAATTGTTTTACCATTTTTGCAATATGACAAGAAGCATTATCTTGCATAAAGATGGATCACAGGGATAGGAGATGCTCTCAGAGAAGGAACAATATCCTGTTCAATTCTTGTAGAATACAGCATTTACCTCTTGTCATGAATGGGCTGATGCATGCACTAGAAAACATCCTGAATATCAGTATGTTACCTCTTAGGTGGTAACATACTGATTTTTTTTTTTCACCCATTTGGGAGGTAATTTTCCACCTTTTCATTGCCTAACATAATGGTTACCATCAATTGCTGAAGGACACTTTTACCTAATTTTCATCCATCCAATCAATGAACTCATTTGCAAAGGCTTGTCTAACTTTTGGGTTTTTCTTACTGACAAGGGATTTGATAGCAAGAAAACCTGAATGAGAATCTGCTTTACATAAATGACATTTTATTTTTAAAATAAAAAAAAAAATGAATTCTCTAGTATTGAACATTGCTCTCTCTCTCTCTCTCTTATAATAACAGGAAACAGAAACAGGAAATATACTACTTGTGTATTCTATTAAGCATACAAAAATATATTTCTTGTCTCTGGAATAATGATAGTAAATGGAATATTTTGTCATGTTTCAAAATTATATGTAAATTTTTTAGGCTGATTAGTATAAATTTTAAATTTAAGTTTTGTAATATTCTATTTGCTGCTATTCTTTCCATTAAATAGAAATTATATTTAATTTATTGTTTTTTATCTTTTTATGAAATGCAATTATTAATCATTTAATTAGAAATAAAATATTATATCAAATACAAGCATTAAAATGAGCAAATCTAAATAGATCATATACAAAATCCAGTCTTGATGAATAGCAGATATTTTTAATGTTTAATTGTATAAATTACTAAAACTCTCCAGTTAAAATTTTAATAATTGTAAAGAAAAGGAAAAATTTGGATTTCAATTTTAACTGATAATAATTATTTTTTTTTAATTTTTCAGGTTTTAAAGATTTTATAGAAATATAATTTAAAATATTGATTATCTCTGAAAATTTTACATAATAAATATGAATATTTATTGGGCTGATGACAAAAATATCTGCTTTTGTCACTAGGTAACATTAGGAATATTGAGTTAAAAAAAGATTGCTTTTGATTTTATAACATCCATATAAAAAAGAAGTCTGCAAAATTTATATTGATTTTAACATTTAAGGCATTTTTTTTCTTTTTATTTACACAAAAGTAAAAATGCAACTTAAACACAGAAAATGATTTCTGTGTTTTTTTTTTTGGAGAAGGTACTGTGAAACCTGTCAAAAATGGTTTGCAAAATTTAATATTGGAGAGTTTTTGCTGATTGATGCTCCAAAATCAACTAAACCATTGGAAGTCGATAGTGGACAAATTAAGACCTTACTTCAAAATAATCAATGTTGTATGACAAGGAATACAATCAATATAATGAAAACATTCAAATCTAGCAGTTATAATCATTTGGACCAGCTTGAGTATGTTACTTGCATTGATATTTGGCTTCCATTTAATGAAAATATTGTATTTTTTAGACAAACTCTGGTAAGTGACAGAAAATGAATGCTTTTAATAACATATATTAGAAATTGGGAGCGAATGTACAGTTGGAATAAACCACCACTAACTGTTCCAGAGGCTGGTCTACACTAAAGAAGGTGTGTGTGTATATGGTAGGATTGGATAGATGCACTCCTACCTGACAAGCAAGGGATTGATTCAAACAAATACTGTTCATAATTAGACTGATTGAAAGCAATAATTGACAAAACATACCTCAAATTATATAAGGGAGTAATTTACCATCAGTTTAACACAAGACTACATATTTATTTGGTGACTAGGCAAAAGTTACAGTATGGCTGACAACTTTTAATTCATCCTCTATATTGCACCTTTGGATTACCAATCATTCTGATTCTTTAAGGAATTCACTTATTGGAAAAACTTAGACTCTTTATAAATTTAAGCAGTTCTTAGCTAAGAAAAACAAAAAGTTTTGCCCAAATAGAATTATAAAGATGATAAGAAACAATGGAGCTAAATACTGTCAAAAATAAGATTTTTTTTTCTCATCAATAGTTCTTAAACAAATTTATGAAAACACCAAACTAGAAATTAATTAACTAGTGTTGCTTTACTAGAACTTTTAGAATATAAGTTTCAGTATTTAAAGATTTATATTGTCTTTAATCTAAAATTAATTTTTTAAACAGGCCTGATTGTTATAACTTGGTCTAACATGATTACAAAGCAACATTTTTGTTGTTTTTATTTAAAATGCAATCCATGAAAGAAAGCATATAATTTTAGATTCACTATATTTGTCATTTTGTTCTTAAACTATAAAATGCTTTCTATTTAATTATGATTAATGTTTTTGTTTTTGCTTATTAACTTTTTCTCCTGTGATGAACATTTTTTAAACTCAAAGAAAATGATTAATTTACATCAATCTTGATTTTATTTTTGTTATTTGTTCCTTCATTTTGTGTTTTAATGCTAATATTTGTTGAGTTGACTTCTTTAACTCCATTAGTCTAGTTAGACAATGGATGTTCTCATTGAATACTCAGTTTAATGTTGAACAAAGTTGATTGTGGCTGAATAAAATGATTTTTAAATGAGTCCCTGAAAGGTCACTGCACTTTTGAAGGGTAGCTTAATTGCTGACAAAATCAAGACATTGTTTCTCAATTTTTAACTTTTTTCCGCAAATATACTTTTCATAAATTAAATATTCCCTGTTATTTTTAGCTCATTTTGATTACATTTTTACTAAGAAGTTAATTCAGTTTTGACCGGAAAAAAAGTCAGCTTTTGAAATACAATTATCACTGTATTTTCCTGGTCACTATAGCCATTGTAAAATTTATTCTTTTCTCTTCACGTTCATTCACTATATTTCATCTCTTATTTTACTTTCTACAGAGAGTTAATTGCAACAAAATAATCTTAATTCAAGAAAAGTTTTAGTTGAAAACTATTTTTTTTTAAATTTTCTTTGTTTTTTTTTTAAATTTTTATTTAGGATTTACTAATCCTGGTTAAAGTTGGTTATCAGTGATGTTGTTCCATCTTAGATTATTCTCTTGTTTTTCTTGTTATTGTTGATGAAGTAGAAACACTGTGTGTGTGTGGCCTTCTATTTTAGCGTGCTTTTCTCGTCGCCAAGGGAGAGGGATTCGCTGTGTAAGGTAGGAGGCCTAAATTCGGGTGTAAACATCAGGAGGAAATAATGATTCCTTCAGTTTCTCCAGCATGCACACTTATTTTTAGCTCTTAAGTTGCGTTTTCAACGCATGATAAATATTTGCTTTCTTTTTATTTTGCTTTCTCCTTCCTATTTATATGTAAAGTAAGTAACGTTTTATTCTCTTCACTCAGGTTTTCACTTTGCTCTTCAAAATAAAAATTATCATTGTCTTCTTTATTTGTTTCTGATATTCAAAATTTTTGCTGAGAATGAACATTTTTAGTGCAGAAAATTGTAAAAGAATTAGCAAATTTAAACAGAATTCTAGTGTTGTGTTTTAATCATCAAATTACCAACATTTCACTTTATAAGCAGAAATATTGAATTCTTGGAATGAATTTACTTATTTTCCAATTTTTAAATGGGATCTCCTGTTTCTTTATCTTGCATGTATTATTCAGCTAAGTTAAAGATAATTGACTTATTCTGTGTCTGTGATTAAAAATACTTACCTGATAGGTAATAATAAATTTAATATGTAGATGCAAAACTATAATTAGTTTTTTGTGTTTAATATTTAAAATAAAGTGAATGAAAAAATAATCTCAACAAACAATAAGTAAATTGTCATTTCTTTGCATTTGTCTCATGATGTAAATTGATTAAAATCTTAATCATTCTTTTCCATCTGTTTGTTTCTTCAAATCTCATATCAAATGATTCTTTTGGTTGTTCCTTGTTGTTGTTGATCTAACTGATCTAAACTATAAGAATTGATTGAGATAATGTTATACAAATATAAATAAGTCAATAGTAAATTCCTTGTAATGTATAAAAGCATATTCTTTTAAATGAATATAATCTGGTTTGCTGATATTGACTTGAGATCTCTCTGCTATAAACAATTTTATCAAATACAAAAATAAATTACTTTTGGAACAAAAAGGTATAATATTTTATGTATCAAATATCATCACTATATTTTGAAACGGAGTATATTTTGATGGTTTCATTTTTTTTTTGATTTTGATGGTTTTACACTATAACTACTTTTTTTCATTTTTCTAACTAGAAATTGAGACAGTTTCTGACCAGTATATTTAATAAGTTGATATTTTTTTTGCTTGAAGTAAGTTACTTAAGTTTGCTGTTATTTTAAATGAAAACTGCTCATTTTATAAGTAAAGAATATAATAAAACTATAATCATTTCTTTATTCTGTGTGTCTATTTAAATTTCTGTGCTATATTATATAATTTGATGATTGGTGTGTGTGTGTGTTTTGTCAATGTGGACATTAAATATTTCTTCTCAGATAAATTCATTTACAAGAGATTTTATTTTCTCTCTTAAGGTATCTATTTTTATAGCATGAAAATTTATATTCTGCATGAATTCAAAGCGTTCTATTTTCTACTATTCATCTGCAACTGAAGGGATACATAGGAGTTATTAATTATTAGAATCTTGATCCTATTGCCTAATCCAATTCTTCTATTCAGTTGCTCCTTAGATTTTAGGCTAGTTTATTTTTTTTAAATATCATGATTGTATCTTTATATGTATCACGTCTTTCATCTCTCAATAACAATTGTCAGTTGAAATAAATTAACGGATCATAAGCTACAGAATTCTTATATTGCTTGCAATTAGATTCTGTTGTTAGGGGAATCAACTGTAGACAATGCATGTTACTATGGAAACAGTAGAATCTTTTCTTCTGAAACTTTTTGTGTGTATCTGTTTTGCATCTCTCTTTATCTTGTCTATTTTTGTCAGTTCATCATGGCTGCCTAAAAGCTGGTAAATCCTTTAAGCAGATACATTCTGCTCTTTTATTTTTAAAAAACTTACTTCCATGTTTCTTTTCTGATTAGCTATGCAATAAATCTTTTTAGCTTTAACACTTATTTTTATTATAAAATTTTCTACTTTAATTTCTTTTTTGTTTTTTCATAATTTTCTTTTCAAGGTTATTTGCCTTTTACAGATTTTCGGATCAGTTTTTAACTTCATAAAAACTTCATTTTCTCTCTTTATCTTCATGGCATGTTATTTAAAAATCTCTTTATTGATCTTAGAAATCACATTTCTTCCTAACAATTGTGTATTCTCAGAATTTCTCATTTTCTTCAATTCATTCTTCCCTTCAAAATTATTTGACATTTTGATCTTGAACTTTTTATTGAAATTCATTATGAAATACATTTACTATAATTAAAAATATGTTTTGAATATTTTAAAACCTCATTATTTAATATTGAAAAAATACTTAATTTTTTTCTGCAATTATTTTAGAATAAAAAATTCATACAAGTTTTATAAAAATTTTCCCATAGCATTAAAATATCCAGCAACTGTTTCTCAAGATTTACTGAAAATCTTTTTTGCTTTGCAATTTTTATATTCATTTAATATTTAATTACCAGTGAATTCCCTGGTGATTGTTGGCTTCCACATACAAATAATGTAAATCATCAAACATGTTCCTATATTAACTGTTTTTAGAGATTCATAACCTCATTTTTTTATTTTTATCATGACATTTCAGTCAATGTGTTCTTTGCTTTTCATCTAGTTGTGACTTTTTATTTTTCTCTACATTCAAGTGACAAAGATTAACACAAATGAAATTCAATTTAAAAAATAATCTATAAACTGAACAAGGCATGAATGTTAAATCTTCTTGTACATGTGCAAAACATTAACAACGTATTTTCTATTACAAAACCCCAAGCAGTTGTGTATTCTTGTTTTTACTGCTGAGCGCAAATCATGTTATATAGTATGTTTGCTTATGCAAACAAACTCATTTATGCAGCCTATTTTATCTTACAATACACATTATAAGGTAGTTCTTCATTTGATTTTGAATTTTTTTTCAGAAGTAGATAAGTTACTTTTTCATTCTATGTTTTGTTAATCCTCACCTCATGCTTTCACTTCCAATTATGATTTTTCAATCCTTGAAGTTGGTTACTTTCTCCTTTTCACAACTGCATGGGATGTTAGAAAATCAATTTTCTTTCAAATTAACAACTACATTATTCCGTTTGCATGAATCTTTGTTGCTTGAATCTATAATTGATGTAAAAGAATAAACTCAATCATATAAACTCAAAGAATACACAAGTAAACATGTTGATTTAACAACTAGGTAGAATGCTGGTAGAATAAAGATAGTGACTCAATGTCAAGAAACATTTATATGGCAATACAACTTCATACCAAAAAACTAAATTGGTTATACTTTTCTTATGTTTCTTCTGATATAGAAAATCAAAAGATAATAAAATATGTTAATGGCTCTATCATTTGTAATTTTTTCTTTTTAAAGCATTCTTGTAACTGAGATAATTTGATTTGTATGAAATTCATCAAAATACTTTTCAATAATTGAACTGATCAACACAACATCAAATGTTTTCTCATTTAGTTTTGTGATGTTTGGATATTGTTCAAATGACCTTTTCCTAAGTGTGTGTGGTACATAACTCTTGGCAACAGATTTTTTTTCAAAACTTAGATCCCATTACCTATTAATATATACTTTGAATAAGGTTTTGCTTGAAACCTTGAAAATATTGTCTTTTTCTCCATATATTTATTGATTTACAGAAAAAATAACAAAGTCAAACATTTCAGTAAGGATTATTTAATGAAATTAAAATATGGTGTGTATATTTTACCATAATATTGTGTATTATATATTTTGAAATCGTAATTTACTATGGGAACTGCATTTCTATAGAAATACCAGAAACTTATTTGTTTGCTACACAATTACATTTCTTATTGCGTTTTTTATGATCTTGGATATAAGAAAATATATCTAAACTTTTGTAGTTTTCTTTTCTCTCTATTCTTTTCTGTAAGTAGATAAATATAATGAATATATATTTTCAGATAGATATATACAAGGAAAGGTATGATGTAAACATTCTTTTCTTTTTTTAAAGTATTTTTAATGCTTTCTATATATGCATTTCTTTTTTCTGAGTTTCTCTGTATTGTATGAAATAGACACTCTTCAAAGTATTCAACTTTTTTTTTTTTTTTGTCTTGACTGGATTATCTTTTGTCGTTTGATGCTTATTACTGAAAGATTAATATAAAGATTAAGTGACTGATTTCCCGGCCTCATCATGTGTGTGTGTGCCTCGTTGCTGACATCTTGCTGTACCTTTCAGTCATCTCAAGATAATGAAGATGAAATCTACTCAGTGAAGCTGCATCGAGGAACTCGTGGATTTGGCTTCTCAATACGTGGGGGAAGAGAATTCAACAACATGCCTCTATATGTGCTTCGCATCGCGGAGGGGGGCACTGCTGACTTGGATAGCAGACTCAGGGTAATTTTCCGTATAGAATCTTTTCTCTTTTAATATTTACTTTGACATTGCCGCTACTGCTTTAATCTAACAACTAATTTGCTAGGCTGCAATTATTTTTAATGCTTCTTCAGTTTTAATTATTAATCTAATTATAGAAGTATTAATGACATAGATTAATATCATAGTATCTTCACTAAAATATAAAAATTTGATATTTTCTGGGGCAAAATGAATGAATTGCATAAAATACAAAATTAGTTACAATACCAGTTGTAATTTCTTGAAATCTGAAACCTGAGAATTATCCCCCACCTACAAAATACCAAATTAAAAAAAAAAAAATTTTTAATAAATTTTCCAAATTTTATCCTTTCAATTTTTATGCAAAAGATTTATTAGATAGTCTACAAGATATTTAGCCCCCCCCCATTATTTGAAGCAAAAATGAAGATAGTCTCATTTAACCTTTTTCTAAACTTAGTCTACCATTTTATTCTTACTCTTATTTAATTTTTAAAACCTGCCTAATCCATACTGCTAAATGAATTATTACAAGCTGTTTATCTAACTCCCACCAATTTTATTTAATGTATCAAGTCCATTGGTGTTTATTGTGATTATTTCATTAATTTTTAGTGATTTTTTCCAGATCTTCAGTGATTCAAGCTTAAATCAGAAACTGTCAAAATATATTTTCAGAATCTAGACAATTTAAGTGATCATTTTTTAATAGAAATTATATTTTATTTTGGTATAGCTGTCTTGAATATTTTAGCATTTTAATTATAAAAACTAAATGTGCATGTTTTCAATTTTAAACCAACAATTTAATCATTTTATTTTGAACACAGCAACAAAAAAGCCAAAAAAAAATCTTTGCAAATACAACTATTTTTTTTAACATTTATAATTTCAAAATAGTCATCTAGCCAAGTAGCAAACTGACTCTATATTCCCTATTACATACTAGCTTTTCCTATTTTATGTGAACAAATTCAAGACAGTCACTTAAAATTATATTATATTATTTCCCATAGCTTAAAGGCAAACTAAGCAGTACATTCTTCATGTTATACAATATCTTATTTACAAATAAAGAAGACACTTCTGCACCTCCATGTGCAGTAGGTTAACCTTTAGCACTCTGCATTATTAATATTACTTTTCACTGGATTCTTTTTCAAGGCCTCTCAATTGCAGTATCCTTATTGCTAATTTCACTCAAAGTTTATTTCTTTTGCTATAGCAGGATATGACAACACTATGAAATTCAAACACACTATTGTTCAGTCACCTTCAGTGGCAGGATAAACTTTTAGTACAGCAAATGAAGTCACATACAAAGTGACAAAGGTTAAGATTGCTGATTATATGTCAATCTATAGTTTTTAATATCATATAACAATTACAAAAAATAAATAAAAAAAGGACACAAATGTTATGAAACACCATATACAACTACATACAAAAATAATAGCTGGTGATAGGATTTGAACCTCCAACCATATTGACTTGTTTATTCTTTAGGTAGCAGATAAGTGTTTTGTAAGTGTGTCTTCTGATACCAAAATCAGCCACTTTTTTTTTTCTAGAATAAATCTGGAAACATGTAGATTATTAAGTCAATAAAATGTTAAATAATTTCAGCTTTTTTGCTTTGCAGCAAAAATTGATTAAAATTTCAGTATAATTAAATTGAATTAATCTCTTAAGAGATCTCCTTTTTTTTAACTATTTTGTATTTAATACCAGCATGTTACGCATTCTAATATACTGATAGTTGTATATTTTCAATCTTCTTTTCCATGATGATGTTTTAGCTTTTTGTCTCGTTTGCTAAGTTATTTTTTGTTTCTGTCTCCATCCATTTTTGTGGATCTGTGAAATTAATTTTTCCACTTTTTAATGGTTGTTACCTTTTAGTTTTTTGCAAAAACAAAAGCTCTGTACATTTCTGTTTCTCACCCGAATGTCTTTCTACTTTAACTCGCTTATATTCTGTTTTGCTTCCACCATAATATTTGTTTATTATTAAACACTTGGTACCAGGGCAGCAGCTCATTATAGAATTGTTTTAATCCTCAAGTGGAATCTGTTGGAAATTAATGTTGCAAAGTGATCTGTGTTTTAAACAACTTAAAACTCTTCCTCTGTATACACTGCATCTCACATAATTTTTTCATTTTAGAAAGTTAATGAAGGAATTAGCATACATATATATATGTACATTATTAATGAGATATTCTACATATTTTATATATGTATAAATTATAGTAGATTACATGTCATTTTTACAATGTGTTTTATGAAATTAACCAAATTTTATTAACCAGATTACTGAAAGTCCAAGAAACTTATAAGTACAGAACATACACAAAATTTACAAAGTCATATGTTTTGAACAAAAATTTAAAACTGTGTCATTGTAATGATGACAAAGTTAAAAGAAAATATTAATGTAAAATGTATATTCATATTCTAAATCTAGTTTTAGAAATCATTCATCCATTGATAATATAATTTGTTGTGTTTCTTTTTTTAAACAGACTGCACAGCATCTGGAATAGGATTTCAAAATTCATCTTAGTAAATTTCTATCTTTTATTGTAAACCTTTCTCTTTAGAATGCTGCATAATTTTTCATTCTGGTTATGGTCTAGCAAAAAGGTCAGCCACTTCATCCAGTGTTTATGAAACCCACTTTATTGAGATAATCATTTATTTTCTTTGCTGAATGTAATGGATAATTGTTGTGCATAAAAATCATCTGAAAGTATTTATTTTCTTGAATCATAGCTCAATGTATGTCTGAACTGTCATCTTGGCAACATCTAGAACTCACCATGGTCCACTGCTTCACTGTTTATGACCCTACTCCAAACTGAGGACAGTTTCTACCAGTAACCATTCAGCCTTTGATCCATCTTTCTTGTCCATTAAATATAGTATCAGTTGATAGAATGTTTAAAAACATTAGTCTTCATCTATTTTAGTGCTCATTCTATTTGATTTTCTTTATGGATGTATTTTAAATGAAACTTTATGATCATTCTCACATCTTTAGCCACTTGATTAGAATATGTGCTTTTCACCACTTCCTCACTGTCACAGGACCAAAATTGTCATAATTTGGCAATGATAGATTTTTATAGGTTCTATCTTGATACAGGACAAAGATTGGTGAAGTTAGGTCCTCAGATATAATCAGACTTGCATTGAAGTTGTCCAGGATATACAAGGAACTTCTATGGTACCTGTTAATTATTTTTGCAAATTTGCAGCATTGCAAACTCTAAAGTTATTAAATATTTCTCATTATACATCAAGTCAGCATTACACTGGCATATTTTAAAGCTTCAGACTCACAATCTTGCTTTTAATTGGAGATTTCAAAATTCAGGACATTTCATACAAAGGTTGCCACTTGTATACATTTGTGCAGAATGAACTGATTTTCATTCCAACTGCACAGATAGATGTTGCCATCATTCAACAAATAAAACTTTATATTCCAATAAGTATTTATTTTATATATCAATAAAAAATGAAGCTGATCACGTGAAGTGCAGTGTATATTGATGGCATACATTATTAATGATTTTTTAAGATAAATATTAACTCTAGTTTGTAAGTATGATAAAATTCACTGTTGTTTGTATTTATTTTTCATTATGCTAAAAATTTAAATGTTATTTCAAAATAGATTAAATGTCAATCATTTAACACACAAAGATTTTGAACAAAAAACAAACATTGCACTGATACCAAAATGTTTTCTTATAGAAATTATTTATAAATCAATCATTTTCAATTATTTATCTGTGTTGATTGTCCATATTATTTATTATTTATTGTCCATTTTTATTAAAAGAATTAGTGTGTGCTTTGTTTTTATTGTTTGAATATTGATCATCGTGTTTTTCTAGTATCAAGATCTCTACTAGAATCACACATATTCTTTAATGTGTAAATATGTATTTTTAATTGCATGTAAACTGACAAACATTTCTGTTTCTCATATCCAGTTTAATGTGAGAGAGTAAGAATTACCAAAATTGATATATTGAACTGCAATTTCAAAAATTATTCACTTATTCTATAAAAGTGACTTTGTTAAAAATTTGTATTCACCAAAAAAATCTAGCAAACAATGAAATTGAAAGAAAGGCATCATTAATTAAATTAGTTAAGTAAATATTGCTGATTAAAATGTTAAAAATCATTATTCTGAATTTTAGAAAAATCAATATTCTGCCATGAAAATAGATTTAAATTTTAGGTTCAGTTACAAATATGTTACAAGAGTGTGTGGTATCCATCATTCTTCAGACATTCTGGATCTGTGCTGCTTGGGGAATTTTGAATTGGCCCATGTTTTGTTGCTGTAATGAGGCAAAATTAGGCATGGGCAGGATTTTATGAGAGATCTATAGTTGCCCATGCAGCAACTCTTTATGTCACTAATGTCGTTTGTCCAAGGTAAGGGTAGAGGCCAATACTACTTGACACTGGCATTGTCATAATAGTTACCAGAATGAAGTTGGATGCACCATCAATTGCCTTTGATTTATCCTCAGAGTTTACTATCATGATTGTGTATGGCCACAAGACAGTAGAAGTTTGAAATCAGTTTTCCTTCTCTTAGATGAACTGTCCACGTATCTACCTGATTTTTTTTGAATATATATCCTTTATAAACTGTTTTTTCCTTGAAGCATAACAGAGAATGCCAAATACTTAAGGTATTTATTTTCTGAATCATTTTGGAATATATCTGTTATTATTATTAATTTTATTTGCATTGATAGAAGTGAAAGGAAACTATTTTAGTGTTAAGTGCTGTAACAATAAACATTTTGTCTTTAGCCCTTGGAATTTCAGGTTCATTGATTTCCAGTTTAGAGATTTTTTTCATTTTATGATGCTATAAATGATGATCATTTATTGTAATTTGTTTTATTTTATGCATTAAAGATTCTTTAGCCCATGATTGATGTTATATAATTTAATGATTTGAATATTATCATCTTTTTCATCAATGTTGACTTTGTTTTTTAATCAAACTGTGAGATATCAAGTGATCTAGAATAACAGATATATTGGAATATTAACTCTTGTTCTTGGATCTACATTTCTTTGCATTTTTCTTATTTAAAAAAAAAAAAAGTCTTTATTTTAAACTAGAACAGAAAAGGGATGATATTTTAGTTAGAATTGACATTAATCTCTGTACTGATTCTTTTTAATAATTAATTTCCCTTGTGTCCAAACTGAAATAATTCACCAGATGAAGGAAGATTGTGTGATTTCAAGGTGACCGTATTAAATTATTTTTCTATCATAAAAATTATTTCTACCAGATTTTCATTTTCAAATCTAACTCTCAAACATTAGTTTGTTTGAATTTACATTTCAGACTGCTACCATGAAAAGCAAATTAAAACTAAATTTTGCTAATATATTTACATAAAATCTTATTTTTATTATTTTTAGGTTGGTGATCAAATCTTAGAAATAAATGGATACAGTATGAACAATATTACCCACCAAGAGGCCATTGATATTATTCAAAATGGTGGCAACAGTGTACAATTATTAGTGAAAAGGACTGGCAAACCACCTCCCAGTTTTGGTAAGTGATGATATTTCTATTTTTATTAATATAGATAGAAATATATAGATAAATATTGATAGAAATAAATACTAGTTTGATGAAATGGAAACTATGAAATTGGAGATTTAGTTTTGATTTTCTGCACTTGTAACTGAAAAAAAGTCAGACACAAAAATTGAAGTATGAAAAAGTAGACAATGATAGTTTGTTTTTCTTCTAAAAGTTGGAATCTTTGATCATTCAAAGAAACAATCTATTTCAAATGTGGCTACAAACTTTGGATCGTCTAATGTAATTTTTACAAACAATTATTTGGACCATTGAACTCGATCTTTTTAGACCAAATTTTTTAGATGAAGAATTATCATTATAATATGACTTTACATTGACTAATTATCTAATTCACTTAGAAATTTTCATTTCCTTGCTTGCTTGTTCCCATCTTCATCTCACAATGTTTGGTCTTTCATATTTCCTTTGCATTTAGTAACTCTCTTGGAATTTTGAATCATGCCCTTCATTCAATTAGTGATTACTCTCATTCTTGCTTCCCATGTGAAAATACCTTGTTATCAGTTAATACATTTCAGATTGTTTTGTCCTTGTGTGTGTGTGAGAGAGACATGTCCATTTCTTCCAATGACTTTTCCATACTACCCAACATGAACATATGACTGCTAGCAAATCAGATATCAAATATATTTTAACCAATACTTAACTTTGGACAATCCACTAGTGGAAATTTTCTGTATAGTATTTATACTCAGGTGGTGTAACTGTTTTTATTTTTTTAAATATTCTTTCTTAATCAGAAATTCCCATTTTTTATGCTAGGTCTACTGAGGAAGTTGTCAGAGACAAAGATGTCAGAAGTTGTCAGTGCCTTACTTTTAAGGAGAGGCTGATTTTGCTAAAACTGTATAACATGGAATATACAGTTTTCAGTCCTGTTCTCTTCTAAGGTGGGAAAGGTGTGATCCAGGAAAGATATCTCCAAAGGTTTGAACTGCCTTAGAATATTGTCCTACTGTTGTATGAACTGCAGATTGTTTGACTTCTGATGTAGGAGAGACAGATCATAGCCAATATTTTTTTTATTGTTTGTCTTCGTCACTTTGTCCCTGCTTGTGAAAGCTGATTTTATGTGTTCAACAATTTATATAAAAGCATGAAAAATTTAATGTCCAATAATTATAAAAACAGAAGAAAAGTCAATTGTTTTTATTAACAAGACATTATTTAGCAAAAAATGAACACATGGACAGTTTTTGCCTTCAGAACCTGAATGGCATGATCAGTGATTGAGTTTGTCAATTAAAAGAGCATAGATTAAGGGATTTTCTTCCATGCAATCATAACATTTTTCAGCTCCTCAGGAGTAGAATATTGCTAGGATATGGAACTTTTGCCATTCAGGCATTTTGTACAGGGTTGAGCTTTGAAAACCAAGCAGCTACTTAGAAAAAAAATGTGATCACTAAGGTATGAAATAATTGTCTTTGCAGAATGGTAACATTATCTTGCTTTTTTTCCTCTTCTATTTGTTGGTAGTTTTGGGATCAAAGACAATATACTTGGCTTATTGTTTGCAAAATTCTCTGTAGAATCTAATTATCTAATTCACTTAGAAATTTTCATTTCCTTGCTTGCTTGTTCCCATGCTTTGTTATAAGCATCAAGATTCCTCAAAGTTGCAGATCATTATGATATAGGTATTCCTAAATTTTAAAGAAGTTGTCTTTGCAATGTCTGGAGGGATTTTGGAGTACCATCACCATCTAGCTTTGCCCCAAGTAGCAATGCTTTTGCTTCTGACACATGCTAGGTACCTTCTGACATTCTTTCAGAGAGCTCTTTAGCATTGTAATTACAGAAAAGCTTCAAATTCACAGGTGTCTTTTACAGTTGCTGAACACCAAGAAATAGGAACTCCTTTGACTGTTATTATGGAAAAAAATATTTTAGAAGTATATTTATATTTCACTTCCAGATGCACTATAAACCTTTGGCTAAGAAACAAGAAATCAGTCTATTTTTAAATGTATAAATTTTCTAATAATAAATTTACTGTTTGATTTCAGATGGTTTACCTTCTCCCACAAATCGAACTGGTGGTGCTCTTGGAATAACAAATGGACCTATAGGACACAGTTCGCCTCACATGGGACGCCGTAATACTACTGAACACCCATCAGACTATTTTCCGGATTATAACTATTCTCGTAGCTATCCCAATTATTGATAATGTTTTTACCTGAATTCTTTTAATAACAGACTCATGACTGAAGCAGCCGAGTACAGTCACATGTGGACAGTGATCAAGAATTTTAAAAAAATTTTATTTTAATGCTAATAGGACAATGCTTCCCACTGTGAACTCCAATGTCAGATATCACAATTACTGGTGATAAGCAATCTATCTTGTATGTTTGGATGAAGATTGCTTAAAGTCAGTCAACCATTGACAGCAAATGTAGCTTCCTTCACAACTGCTAATGGATTTGTAGTAGAGGCGGCTGACACTCAACTACTTGAATTATTATGGCATCTGCCTGAATAATAGTAAAGATTTATATTTAAAAAAGAAAAAAAAGGGAACCCAGGAGATTTAATTTTTTTTAGATGAATTTTTGACCTTTTTACAAAAGTTTAACTATTTCTTTTCATTATTTTTTATTCTGATTTCTATCTGTGCTCTTATTTTGTACATTTTAAAATGACAATGTGCATGATAAAATTTGGCTGTTTGTAGAACTCTGAATGGGTTTGTTGGATTGTGCCTTTCTAGATACAAAGGCAAGTTGAAAATGTACTTTGATAAGTTGTATATTGCATGACCTGATGTATTAATGTGTAGTATCTGTTTGCCACTCTATAAAGAGAGCAGCAACAGAAACTACAATTGAACCTGGTATGTTTTTAGTAAAAGTTCCAAGAACTTCCAGAAGTGGACAAATTCAAGAAAATAAGCCAAATGTCATCCATCCACATGAAAAACAGTCAGGTCAGAATGTGAAAACAGTTATAGTGAATCCCAATAAACAATAACTGAAAGTTCACAATTTATTCCCCAATCCTTTTTATCTACAAAAAAAAAATCCACCCCCCTTTCCAACATTCTAATGGAGACTGTGCCTTTGTTGTTATTTAGATAATGAGCTGAGGCTCTAGTCTGCATGAGTGGAAAAGTGAAATAGACTGGATGTATATAAATTATGTCAACATAAGTATAAATAAATACAGCTATGTATAGAGGCAGATAAACATTTCTCTCTATATATTATTAACACACACGCACACACATATATATATATAAAATTTGGCCCTTGTTTAAAAGCTGTGTGCAGTTCAGTCAGTGTTTTGTTTTCTGAAAGTATTTTTCAGCCAATCAAGTCTAGGGTATTTTTTTCTTTCCCTTTTTTTTTTTTCTCTCTGACAATTTGTTTTTCTATCCAACTTGGTGGCAGCAATTAAATGAATGTACTAAGTTAGATCTTAATTCTCTTGGTTGGCTCAGCATGAATTTTATCCTCATCTAATTTAGTACATGTGGCTGATAAATGTGTCAAGTACAATTCATTACAAGTGTTTGAAGTTACGGAAGAACAAATATAAGGAAGTTATGAATGTTATTTAACAAATTGGAGCAATAAGGGAAATAATTTTAGTCTGATTGTATCTGGTCTGTGTAGCATCCACCACTATGAGCATATACTCAGGACAGTGGTACGGGTGACATTACTGCTGCAAATAGTGTCATGTGAACTGTTCACAGGCATTTTACATTCTACTTAGGTGCTGTGCACCTGAAATTTTTTTTTTTTTTTAAACCATTATTTGTAAATTTAATTAGATTATCTGCTTAGATGTGTGTGAATGTTAGAACTGGATGTTCAGTTCTAGTTAATTTTAAATTATTTTTCGTTAAATTCATTTCTGATGATAATTCAGTGGACAGATGGTTCATTTTCTAAATGTAGTTTTGCATGTAAATATCAATACAGATTTTTAGAATATTATGACTACAGACACAGCTTTTGGAAAAACAAATTTTTCTCCCTAATTTTGAATCAATCCATTTATTTTTTTATTATTCAAATAGCATGATCATTCTCATAATTTCATTAAAATTTTTCTGCATGAAATTCTGAATAAATCTACAGTCATTCTCCCCCAATGTTTTCTTTTCAGTCTCCATCCATTATTTCAGGTTCTTAAACCTTAGAAATTGAAATGCTATCATTCACAAAACAATCAGTGCTTTAGCTTAATTGTAAATAAATCTCTTCATTTAATTTTCTTTTAATATTTTTTTTAATTGTTGATTATAATTTTCTTGGTTACAAAAAAAAAATCTTTTTTTTTTTTTTTTTTTAAAAAAACCCACTGAACTGCCATCTGCCACCTCTCTCTTCTCTATTTGTCCACTTCTGGTTATTGTTGCTGTTGTTAAAGGAGATGTCAGCAGCATTTTCTTTTCCCAAAGAACAAGACAAAATCCCAGGGAGACAATCCAAATATACTGCTTAATGCTTTACTGCTAAATTTGTTTCCTTAGTTACTAGACAAATGAAAATTTTGTTTTCACAAGAAATGAATCTAAGCAAAAACACTAAGGGAAAAATATTTCAATCATTTTTTTATGCTTTTTGGTTCAAATACTGTGTCAAACACAAGTATTTTTATTAGTTTTCAACTAATCATAGGGTCAACGATTACAGTATATTCTATGACAAAGTTTGATATTTTTTGTGTTTATTTGAACCTATTCTTTGACACGTTGGTAGATTTGAATTTTTTTTCTATTTCCACAATCAGAAATAATCAAGAGTTCAATAATTTTTTTCAATAAAGTTACACAATAGAAAAACAAGCTTTTCTTTCATAATTTTTGATAATTTGGTCTGTGAATAGACCTGCCTTCTTGTTTCATTTGTAATAATACAAAATTAGATGTGATGTTTGTAGGCTGGGTGAGTGGGTATACTCAAAATAAAATTTACCTTGTTTTGACAAACATTGGATTCAACATTAACATGACATGGGATTTTTATCTGTGGAACAATTTCTCTTCATCCCCTAAATCAGTCTTTTTGGTTTCAGTTTTTAAAAAATGGCACAAAAAATTTCTTCTCACAGTTCTCATTCTCTACTGTCTTTTGTGCAAATTTCTGAACTGCAATAATCACGATTTACAGTCTCCTTGACCAGTGTGTATATATGTATGTATACAGGAATAATATATATATATATATATATATATATATATAATCATTTCATTGTAACAAAATACCATTTCTTAGACTCTTTGTAGAAGGGAAAAACATTTTATATACAATCCTTTTATCTCTTCTTTTTGTAGCCACTTGGAGAATATTTAATCTAATAATACATGCACTACTTTACAGGATTTAGATATATTTAGAAAACATTCATTTGGAAGACTGAAAACTGTTATATCAATATATTGCAAACTACTGATTATCTGAGTTCAAATAAATTTTTAACATATTTTCTTTTTTTAGATTTTGATTAAAATCCAAATATTTTTCTGTTTCACATTATCCTTGTTGACAAAGTTCAACAAAATACTCAAATCAGAGACAGTGCAGCCAAGAAACAATTTTTGTGTAATGCATTTAATAATGTCCCCCCTTTTACTGACTGTTGGGGTTAATCTAACTGGGTAATAATATAAGCAATGTAATTTGCCCTAACACTTTAATTTTTCTGAGATTAAATAAGTGTTTAATTTGCGCTGGCGCAAAAAAAAAAAAAAAAAATGAAATGCATATCCAGACAATACTTACTAAATAACTGCTGTTCTGGTGACCTTTGAGGATTGGAGATAGAAAATGATCCAAAACTGTGCAATGATGACCATTAAAACTGGGCTTCCATGGATCAAGGAAAAACAATCAGCTTTTTTTTTCAATTTCCACTTTAACCAAATTTCTGGTCTTCCTCAATTGGCTTTGCATTTACTAACCAGTTTTTCTTTCATAGCATTTTGTTGAAAATCTTACATTAGATGTGATGGGGAGTGGGGGGGGGGCTTAATAAAAAAAAAAAAAAGGAAAATCAGGTGCATTTGTCAATTTTCCTGAGCCAATAAGATAAATGTCTGATAATTCAGAATGTCAATTTCAAAATAATTATTTGGAAATCTCTTGTTCACTTAATCTATTCAGCTATGTTGGATATTTTTGCTCTATACAAATAAACATTTTTCCAGTGTCAACATTTTTCCCTAAAATAAAAATTTTAATTGAAACTTTTCCTTGTATATTAGAAGTTAAATATACATTTTTCATAGACCTGCACCTAATTGTATAGAAAATGCTTTAATGCTAAATAGCAATTTGAGTTCTGGCAAATCACCTTGTGAAATTGTATAAAGTAATAAATGACCATAAAATGTATTGGAATTTCAGCAGGATATAGTAAAAGCAGTCAATTTACTACTAGTAATTTGCCTGTGAGTGGTGCCCTGGCATGCAGGATCAATCAATTGTTAATTTGGAGGCCAGTCAATTTCTATTTGGTGCTTTCTTCTTTTGACAGGATGCCACTCTTTATAAAACTTTAAAAAAATGTTAAGTTTCAAAAAGAAAAGATATCAAACATTTAATGCAACATCTACCATTTAAATGTTTTTTTTTGTTGTGTTTAGTTAGTATTTCAATGAAAAGTTCTGAAATGCATTAAACCTTTCTTTACCTGTTGAAATATATTTTATTGGAGTGGATAATGCTTTGTTCCAAATATTGTTAGAGGAAGTGTTTACAACTTTTTTTTATTAACATCAACTGCACCATTGATCATAATTACTTCACCCCATATGTGTCTCACTAATTCAGCTGGAAAAATTAGTGGGTTAGTTTGGAAACTGAAAAATACAGTAATATTTTAACTCTTTAATTATGAATTAACCTAGAATAAAGATGTGTACTTTGTTGAGTAATGATATCCTTTATTTTGAACTGAGAGATAACTATCAGATACTTGAAGTGTATAACTTTTGGGTGTGTAGTTAGAGAAGGAATGTAGACATATTCCCTGCTACAATGCAGGATCAATTTTATCAAATTTGCAATCATTTGAGTTATCACTGATTTGTAATGCAATCTATTTGTTGTACCAGAAAACAGGAAGAAGGGGAAGAGAAGAAAGAAAACTAATGTACATATTAAAGGGAGTGGTCTGACTTGCTGGTGGAGTGCTAAGTCCGTCCATCAGCCCATATGTCTACTGCCTACTTGGACCACAGACTTGTTAATAATTCTACAATGTTTATTTCATATCCTCTGCTCTTTATATGCAAGACCAATTGAGGCCACTACCAAACAGATTTATTACAGGACAGAAAATCCCAATTGCTGTCATCCTGTCAATAAACTTTGAAATCTTCCAATTGTTTGTCTTGTTATTTCAATTATCTTCTGGAAGTAGTCTGTTTTAAAATTTTCACCTCAAACTGGAGGAAAAAAATTTGGCTGCTTTTTTTTTTTTAAGATGTGTAATCAGCAGTATCAGTCAGGCAAGTTTGACCAGACAATTTTTATCTCAGGCTAATAATAAAATTGGATCTCATATGATACACACATTTGTTCCTATAAAATTTAGGTTAAAAGAAAAAGTATCAACATATTTCCAAAATAATATGAGAGAAACAAGTCCTTTTTACTTCATGTAGAGTATAGATTACTTGCTGCTGTTATTTCCATAGCAAGTAGGATTTTTTTTTTATGCCCCAGTACCCAACCTGTTTTGAATTCAGAGTTATCCTTCTCCTAAACTGGTTGCCAACCAAAGCTAGAGAGTCCAGTCTGAGGTAGGAGAAAAAAATGGATTCATACCTCTAAAAGTATTTGTGTGAAAGGGAATGCAACAATCTCAGTTGGAATTTGAACTTGGCACAGCAATTCCACATCCTTTATTCTATATATAATGAATTTATTTTTAATTAGACATTACTTCAAGCATTAGTAGCATTATTAGTAGACACTCATATTTGAAACAGATGCCTCATTTTTATTTTAAAGTGTATTACATTATTCACACATTCCAGAAATAAATAATGTTTGAAGTTTATATATATATATATAAAAAGAAATGGACAAAGTCCGACAATTTATTTTATTAAAGACATTTTTATGTTTAACGTTCTTTTTATAGATACACGTATTTAAGTAAATGCTCTGTTTATAATAAACAGTATTAAATAACATTTACCGGCCTGAATGTCCGAGAAATTTTCATAGAAAAGGACAAATATTTTCTATGAAAATTTCTTTAATAAAAGATGATATATATATATATATATATATATATATATATATATATATATATATAAAAATAAAGAATTAGTAATTCCATTTCATTTTTTTTTTTTTTTTTTTAAGTAAACAAGGGTCCAGTTGGAAATCTGCCACAGTTTATATCAGTGGTATGTTTGAAAAGATTCACAAGATCTGTGATTTAAACAATGTGCCCAGTATTGAAAAGTATTTTTATCTTTCAGAAACCTTTTTTGCCAAACCAAGACTCTCTCAGAAAAGATCATGACTAAGAATTGTGTGTATTCAATTACATGTAGTTGTGGAAGGTAATAAAAAGGCTAGTTGATAGAATATGTAGTGGATTAAAATGTTAAGTAAACTGAGTTACTTGACAATCATTAGTTCAATCCTTGGGTTGAATAGGAACATTGGAAATTTGGACTGGGAAGGAGATAATGAAATCAGCTATAACTAATCATGTGCGGAATAAAGTCATAATAATAGATACAGAACAATACTGAAAGATATGGTACTTGAAAGAATCAATATACATGCCAGGCAAATTCAGTAGGCCTAGTATAGAAATAAACAATATATGGGAGTCTTAATTAAAGACTCCCATATATTGTTTATTTCTATAGAAAATTGGGCCCAAGATTTAAAAAAAAAAACTCCACTACCAATTGCATCACAGTGTAAAAGTTTAGTTGACGTGACATAAGATGTAAGTCTCCAAGTTTCTATCACATGGCTTAGTAGATTAAAGTGTTTGTCAGGTAACTAAATTAATTTAACCAATCTCTGGGTTAGGTAGTAAAAGAAAAAAAAAAAAAAACAACATACTATGCACCAGAAATGGACATCAGTAGAATGAATTAACAGAAATAAGATATCCTTTGCATAAACAACAGAATGAGAACAACCTACCTCTGAATAAAGGATTCAGTTTGAAATTCTGAGTTGAGGTATAGAGAATTCAATGACCGAAACAATTGAGATGAGGAAATTAATCCAAGCAAATCAGTTTATGATAATTCCTAATCTTAAAGAGTGACTACAAAATTAGAATTAAAAACTAAATTTCAGCCTAACAACTAAAAATTACAGACTAGTTATCTTCCAAACTAAAAAAAAAAAATTTTTTTTTAAAACCAAATTTGAAGGAAGTACAAATATCGACTTTCTAGAGGATACGACTTGATTTATTGCTGATTATTATATTATTTCCGTAAATATGATCAACTAAAATTTTCAGGAAAATATTTTCGTAATTCACTGGCTTCTTTTACCATTTGTTCAAAACTTCGCAAATTGGTTCCTCCTAAATTTTCATCATTGGCTTGGATCTGGAATAAGAGAAAGCAGAAAAAATGTAGAATATTTTAAAGTCAACATACATATTTAAATTATAAGTAGACAAAATTTTTGTTAGAATACAAAACTATTTTATTATTTTTTTTTAATCTTAAATTTTCACTAATACCAAAATTAATCACTGGAAATATTCAAGTTTTTTTTTTTTTTTAAATTTAAATTTTAAAATTACAAATGGTCTTTGCCCAACATTCATTAAATTAAAATGGGGTGAATTTAAAAAAAGAAATTTGATTCATTTGAAACTATATTTGCCAAAATCCAATTCTCACCTGTATTAGATATTATTCAATATTGTTTGGCTGCTAAAATAAATGTTAGTGGCTTTTATCTAAACCATTTTACTCCATCTTCAGCTTTTAATATTTTTGTTACTTCTAACAGCAAAGCAATCCGTTATTTCGAATTCATAATGCTTTGATCACCACCTCAAAAATGATAAAGAACACATCAAACATTTATATCTTTGACATTAGTGGCTTACATTTATTTGTTTGCAACTTCAGCTGAGCTGATAATCTTGGGAGATTAGTAAAATGAACATTTTGAAGTCAATCAAAAATAGATTAATTATCACCCACTTGGTTAGACAATATTTCAAATGACTGCTAAGTCATTAACAATTCAAGATTCATAATTTTATAGACTGAGCCAACTTAAAGTGAATTTTAATGTTCAATTGTCAAAATTTAAGTAAAAATTTAAAAACCTAATTGCAATACAAATGACTTAAATTTTAAAATCATAATTCATATTTGAAAAATATTTCATGAAAAGACCTTGTTGTCACTTTATTTACCTTTTCATAAATTTGATCATTGTTAGAAAAATCTCCAGGTCTTCTTGGCAGAATGTGAAGATGAACATGCTGGAAAAAAATTTATGCATGATTAAAATCTGCTAAACAGAATGAAAAGCATTTCTTTACATTGCAGTTTTAAAAATGACAAAAGGATTTAACTTAAGATTGGTTTTTATTGCCCATGAAGTCATACTTTCAAATGTAATGAGATTTGAACATAATCTAATAAAATGAAAAGATTGATTTTTCTAATTGATTAATTCTTCATAAGAAAGATTGTAAAATATGTTAAATGCGATCAAGCATCAACTGATAATATATATAGCAGCCATACACAGCTTAGCAAATAATTATTAGTCACATATTTCCTGAATCCATCACTTACAGTTTCCTATTATAGAAGATGAGTGATAGACTTCATTGATGCGAATGGAACTGAATTCATGGCTCTGAGTAGCATTAACCCAAATGTCGAAGGTTACAATTCACATTTATTACATCAGCACTAGTGAGAGAAAATGATGGAGTAATTGTGTTAATTTCTTGCTTCCTCTATCCATGAATTTTGGCAAAATAAAAAATGTTGATTGTTTTTCTTTTATCAATCCAGAATACTTTTTATAATATAAATATAGTATCAAATTGATTCCTGATTTTTTGAAGAGTCATCTTGACCTTTACAAATGTTAAATTTCAAACTGAGCCCATTGGTAATTGTGTAGGATTGATATCTTTTTTTTTTTTTCCTCCAATTTTTCATTAAACTTTGAAAAATTTTTGTGAATCTGATTAATGTATTTTCCATTTTAGCTTTAAGGTCGCACTTGTACAAACCAAGGGAGATAAATACTTATCTTAAATGACACCTACCATTAGAGATTTTTCTCCTTCAATTCTTAATAAATGTTATAGCAGAACATTTATTTTACTTTGAATGCACATGAAAATCATTAAAAGTTAAGGTGTACTGTAGGGCATAGTTTGGCATTTAAGATAAATATTTATTATCACCTTTTCTTTGTGCAAATGTCTCCATAATGAAGTGAAAATGGAAAATTTTGCAAAAATTTATTTAAAAAATGAAAAAAATCCCTAATATAAAAGGGACAACATCAGTAATATGTAGTTATCAATGACAGTTTCAAATTTGACATTTGTAAATAAAAAAAAAAAAACTCTTTAAGAAGTCAGGGATCAATTTGACACTATTTATATTATAAACAGGATACCTCTTCTAAAATGATAAAAACTCAATATTTTTTATGAAATCATTTTCCCTCAGTATGTCCTTACCTCAAGATAAACTTTTGTATATCACTTTTTTCTTTTTTTTATACAGCATCTAAATATAAATTCTAGATATTTCTTCAAATTCACAAAAAATGTAATTTAGAATGAATATTTTTTTCCATTCACTTAATACATTTCCTTTATTAACTCAAAACATAATAAATCCTCATTTTATCCTAAAAGATAATTTGGCATGGCAAATTATATTCAATAAAAGAATAAGAATGGCTGACAATATTTCACCTAATAAAAAGTAAGATAATACTGCTGCAAGAACTAGGTATTTTTTACATTTTGAAAGAAAGCAGCTGTAATAGAACTAGTTAATTACAAAGATGAGAGTACACTATATTGGCAAAAAGAAAATATTTCCTCAGATGTCATGCACATTTCATCTAAAACAATAAATAAAGATTAATCTTGCAAGTACAAATAAAAAAAAAAATTATTAATGCATTTATACATAATTCCTACGTTCAGATGGCATCATTAGGCTCCAAAATATTACAGGTTTTCTAGCAGTTAAAATCCCTCCAAATGACCATAACTATTTTATAGAAAAAAAATTTCAAAAATTGTTGAAATGAACTTGAAGGTATTTTTTATTTACAGTGAACCAATGATAAAAAGATAAATTTTCTCAGCATGCATTAAAACCCAAATTAATTATACAATTCCCTTTATTAATTAACATTAATTTCAACACACTGAATATACTCTATAAATAAAGAGTATCAATCACTTGTGCAAACTACAAAAATATTGCTTTAATGTTTAATTTAATTTGATCAGTTTTTTCATGATACCCTTGTAAAAAAAAATGTTTTCATGAATAATAAAGTTGTATCTTTAAACTTTTCAATATTACCCAACTAAATTACAAAAACCACAGCATTAATCACCATCAATATTTCAATAGAAAAAAACCCCTTAAGAATACATTTTTAAAATTTTTATTACAAACTTGTGAGATTTGCAGTTTATAAAAAAATAATATATATACTAGTGTAATGCGTGACCCCCAAATTTCCACTTATAAAAAATGATTTTATCATGTATCTTGTGTATCATGCGAGTTCCTTTTTTCAGAGACCAAATTACAATAGACTAACCTCTTTTCCTTTATCTCTTTAACTAGAAGATGGGAATCTTCTAGTTAAAAAAGTAAAAGAGAATGATAAAAGTATCGTTAGCAACATTATACTCGTTGCGTAAACGCGTACAGCCATAAACAACCGATGAGAAACAGCTAAACATCTTATAAACAATGAAAAAGATGCATATTCGCTATGTTTGTATTTTATAATACGATACTAATATGTGAATATTACATGCATTATTATAGGATACAGTTAAGTAAAACGTCAGCTTTATCAAAATCATGTTTATTTTAAATAAAGCTGAACTTTTTGACTACAGTAAATGGATATATAGTTTGGTCAACAGTGTAGCCATGGCCAGCAGTACATACACTAATTTTATATATCATGTATGATGTAACTCCCTTAAAATTAGCTTCAAAAGTCGTATGATACATGAATATATATGGTAAACATTGCTGTAAAGATTGAATTTAATCTCAATATGAGAGAGTGAAAATTTATATAAATTTAAATAGAAATAAATTCAGTAACATGCATTTTTAAATTTAAAAATAGCTCTTGTACTTCATTATATTTTCTAGAATACGTTTTATTAACTACAATTTTAAAAGATGTTTAGGTTAGAATTCATTTTATTTAACTACAATTCTAACCTAAGCACCTCCCTCAAAATACTACAAGCACTTAAAACACCTACAGTTAAATGAAATTAATATGAAAAGCTAAAAGATGTAAGCCATTGAATGACCCATGTCCTTTGTACTTACACGAGAAACAATACATTACTAGGTTTTATATAAAAATAAAAGTTTACTAAATCAGTGAAATTAATTAGCTATTTTTGCTGTCATTGTCATAAATTTTACTTAAATAATATTTAAATATAAATTAAAAAAAAAAAAATTGTGACCTAGTAATATACATACTTATACTTGATGTGAAAATAATTCTACATACTGTAAGTGATTCTAATACATTTACTTGTTCTTAAAAGAAATATAGTATATTAAAAATTAAAAGTGAAAATATTTTTCAAATCGGAGTTAAATTAAACGTATTCTAACCTAAACACCCCCCAAAAATCTTTAAATATACAAATAGAAAAAAATGCTGTAAGAATTTTTGCCATTAACAATAAAATTTAAAAAAAAATCCAGATGACATGCATTTAACGGATGTTAGATTTTATTGAAAAATACATCCCTACCCCTACCAAAACGTAACTAATAACTGATACATCAAAATACAGCGATAATGAACATGCAAACACCCCTTGTCTTGGATTTCTCTGTATCGTTGGAAACGTGAATTATGATTTTTGCTGTGTCTTTAAAACCCAGTAATTTTAAAAGTTACTCCAAAATTCGCTTGAGGATGAAATGGAACTAATGTCTTTAATTTAATTACAAAATTAAATTCAAAGCTTTCAGCTTCCATTTTTGAAACATGGTTAGAACTGTGTAGTGAAAAAAAAAAACATATTTTAAATCAATTAATTTATAATATTAATGCTCTGTAAATTTACATTGAGCACTATTTTTTGTAAAATAAAAATATCAATAAGAACATGGGATTATATATCTTACTGTTCTTTCTTTTATATATATATATATATATTATATATATATTTATATATATATATATATATATATATATATATACACACACACATTATTTTTTTCAGAAATTTCAAAATTATTATTTCTGAGTTTTATAATGAAAAACAAAAAATTCAAATTTTTTCAATTTGTTATATCTAATAAAATATACAACAGATTTTGCACAACTAATTATTATGTCAATTATAAACTTAGAAATTTTAAACATGATAATTATTTTCAGCTGACAATAGCTAAACATTAAAACATGCCTACAAAATATTTATAAACCAATGATAAGCAATAAAGTATTTACATCTTAAAACACATCAATTAAACCATAGAATACAAATCAGAAAGGTTGTTTTATTAGTCATCAAAATTTAGGTATATACTGCCAAAATATCGTGTGGATGTTGTAGTAGACATACCACATGGCCTTTTAGGGCCAATTAGGAATAAATAAAATAATTCTGGAGCCGATTTCTTAGGGAAAAAGGTATTAAAATCATGAAGTCTGGACCCAACAAGTAGATTCACAAATGCCACCAAGGTCCATGTCACTCTAGCTGCTGATATTCAAGACCCCATTCACATCCACATGTAAAAGCAACACTTGACTCAGCAGCACTGACCAAACTACAAAGAGACCGCCTCAGACTATGGCACCACCATCTACAGTAAGAACTAAATTCTATCTCCTTTACTACTATGCACACATACTAACCCTTTCACACTAACACGCATGAAACCACACTTCACCATTCTCACATACATATACAATACAGTTTATATTCTATCCAAAAACTATTAACAACCAAAAAATGACATTCATTCAAAATTCAAATAACATTAATTTTATATAACAAGAATACAAGAAGTTGGTTGAATGTATTCAACCAACTTCTTGTATTCTTGTTATATAAAATTAATGTTATTTGTTAATACTATGTTGTCTTTTCCCACTGGTTTTTATTGTTTCGATGAAAGTTGTGGGATTATTCTGAATGGTCGAATTACTAACATCCTGCAACAATAGTTTATGTTACTGTATCAAATAGTGACATTCTGAATTTTGATGTTTAACAAAAACCCAAGCAGAAGGATTCCTACAAATTCATTACAACTATAATCTTTGGGTAAAGCAGATTATTTATTTTTAACACTAATTTTAATTTTGTCTTATATTATTTTGATATAAGTAAAAAAAAAAAAAAAAATGCTGTTCACTTAATGCTAGGATACTAAAATTTTGTGCAACATTTTACAGGAAAATAATTTTCTACTAAGGTCAATTATATATTATTCACTGTATTTTGTGAGTTATTGCAAAATAAAAATAAAATATATTGTAATGTTGAAATCACTTACAGGAATTGTCTGTCCTGCATCTTTGCCATCTTGAATTCCAAAGGTCAGGGCTGTTCCAGAAAAATGGTTCTTAACAACAGTTGAAACCTTTTGGGCAGTCAACCATAAATCTGAAATTTGTTCTTGATTCAAATCTTTGAAATGAGCCACTGGAGAGAATGGACTGACCAAGACATCTTTTTACATCAGTTAAGAAAACGGTATATCACAAAGAATGGCCATATATGCCAAAAGGAAAATAATAAAATTAATAAATAAATCTTAGAAAAGATATAAATTATATATAAAAAATATTTAATCTGTTAAAAACATTAGTTACTTTTCTCTAACTAGTCAAATACAGCCCATGAAGTCATGATCAGCTTGCACAAGACTTTGCTAATAAGCAGTCTACTCTCCATATAAACTCAACTGTCTGCCCAAAAGAGATAGAAACCAATCTTCCACATGCCAATGTGGTATTCTTAAACTCAGGTGAGATGCAGTAACAGGTGTATTGGTCAACAGCTATGAAAACCCATGTAATGCAATGTACATATTGACTGATGGGCAGCTTTGAATTTGGATGCAATGTTTGCCTTCATTAAGTGCTTACTATTTTTGCTTTTATTGTCATTAAAGTAATAACAAGTCAAAGTGGTACATTTGATGATGAACTGGTTCACTCCGACATCCAGTGTAAAATATATATGGTCATTTCTTGTTGTGGTAGAAGGCTTGCATGTCCCAGTGGTCTCAAGAGCAAAACCATCTGGAGTTCCAACTCCTGTAGGGCCACCCATGGCAGTAAGGTCAAGGAGGAGGGGCCTGACTGAACATGACTAACCCCTGAAGACTGCAATGGCAGAATAGACAATGATCTACATGATCTCAATGGCCAAATGCCAATCAAGCTGGTGTAACAAAGGGCTTCTTTGTCATGCAGATTTGTTCACAAAAATCAAATCCACATGAATGGCCTCATCATCAAACGCTCTGATTCTGCTTTCTTCCACCCTTCAGCAAGTCCAGTGGTGATAGTCATGCAGACAACACAGGCAGGCTTGGTTAGCTGGAGGCTCTTAGTCCTCACCTACAAATTGATGGTGGGTTCATGATGGTTGTATCTCTTATGACCTGCAATTACACAAGGTTGCTGCAGTTGGACTCTGGACTAGCCTATTCAGGATTCTCTTGTACCATCAGGACATCAAATGTTTGCATCAGTTGCAAGGACCACATCACCATCAAGGTCCTCTCTTTGAATGTCTCTCCCCAGCATTGAACCTTCAACATTGCCTCTGCTGGGCAGGTCACATGTCCAGAATGCATCCCACTTGACTCTTCACATATCACTCTATTTGGAGAGCTTGCCAGCATCAAGAGGCTATGTTGAGACCCAAAATGACACTTCAAGGATCAGTTGAGGACATCTGACACAAGCCAACATTGAACCCGAGACCTGTGAAACTGTTGCTGCAAATCAGCCTTCCTTACATAGGACCATCTAGGGTTTCAAGCCTTGTGAGCCCAACCATCAACATAATTTTCATAAAAGGCACATTTTATCTTTATATATTGCATCTAGCATAGTAACAGATACAAGAGGGTACTGAAATGTTCTTAACCTGACAAAGAAGGAATTCCAAAAAGAATCCTCAAGTTTTATTCATTTGGTCAGATTTTTGGAAGTTGGTTGGTTTAAGTACTCTTCAGCCCTCATATGAGCCACATCCTCGAAACAAATATAAAATTTTCATCAGTAAAATTGCATTTCAAGTATAAAAGATACGTCCAGGTACAACTGGTTTTATGTTGACGAAAGCAAATGACAATTCAGTTCGAAGGAAGACCTGGTTAGAATAAATTTGTTTAGGACCAAATTGATAATATGGTTGATCATCTATTTTCATTGCAGCTAAAAGGAAATGAGCACAAAAGTGATTAGAAGCATATAAATGCATAAGAAAAGATTAAATGTTTGTAAATGAATTCAAAATTGGGAGAAAAAAAAATGTAAGAAAATAATTTCTAGTTTTCAGTCCAAATAACAATATTTTATAGAATAACTGTTTTTCATATAAAAATACTTTATTCAAATTTCAGCAAAAGTTAAAAAAACAAAAAAACAAAAAAAAAATGGTGTTTCATGTTTGAAACAGACACCCAATTTTTATTTATTAGACAGTGTGTATTACATTTGAGAAAGCTTAGTAAAGAAAATGCTTTCCCTGGGAGGGATTGAACTTGCATTTGATCCAATGTGCTTTACCACTGTCATGAAGAACATCACAGCAAACAATATTCTATTTGAAATTTTAAGGAAAGCCTATCCTCTTCACTCAGATTATTTTCTCAAAAGCTTTGTATCTGCTGAATTTCATATCAAAGAACAAACCAATTTCTTTCATATACAAACCAATTTCTAAAAAATTAATTGATTTATTTTTAATTCAACATTTTAATAACTTCAAACAAATATCATAGTGGATACCTCCTATTTGAAATAGATGTTTCGTTTTTATTTATTAAACTGTGTATTACATCTATCAACCTGTGGATTTGTAAAATTTTAGTAAAGAAAATGCATTCTACAGTGATGTGATTTACTGCTTGATCATGAAGAACATCAAGTGAAAATAGGCCATTGCTTGCTGTGACGTTCTTCATGTCTGAGTGGTAAAGCACACTGGATCAAATGCTAGTTTCCCCTAAAAAAAGGTAAATTTGGTTTGATCTCTGATTTCTTGAATATTTAGACCAATAGATGTAATACACACAGTTTAATAAATAAAAATGGAGTGTCTGTTTCAAATATAAAGGATCCACTATAATAATGTTTGAAGTAATAAAAATTTACAAGATTATAAAAATATGTGAACCAAGTATAATATGATGTCATATATCATTTTATAAAGATTTTTTATTTATCATTTTGTAATGAAATAAATTTGAAAGAAAAACATTTACAAAATTATCAAAATATGGAAACCACTTATACTGTAATTTTTATTAATTACCAACTAATAAATAACTAGAAAAAGAAGTTTTTTTATTTGTAATTTTATAAAATTATCTATGACCTATAGAACAAGAAAATTCAAATAAACGTGATTTTTCTGAACATTATACATTTTCTTATCAAATGATTTATATCTCAGGTTACTTCTCGTCTTAATTTTTTTTTTTTCATACTCTTGATCTAGGACTATCTATTTATTTGATTTCATTATCATCGGTTCACATGTTTTTATAATTTAGTATTTATAAATTTATGAATAAGAAAATTGTTTTCATATTTATTTCTTTATAAATATAAAATTCTTGTAAATCAAGAAAGATCTAAATGTTAAGAAAAATATCCGATTCAAAAATATATATTTGTTACTAACGTTTTTTACAAATAGAAAGAACTTGTCCATATAAATCTGATCGTCTGTGATTCCACACAGGCATTTCTCTACGAACTTTTTCCAATAAATCAAGATCAATTTCTGCCAAACACATTCCTGTTCCTTTACTGCATTCTGCAATAATTGTGCCCCAAGGATCAATAACCTTAAGTCAGGAGAAAGAACAGAAGGGAAAAATAAATATTTGGGATTTCACAAAAAAAAAAAATAAATAAATTAAAAAAACCAAACCCTTTAACTAGCTGTAAAACTATGCTTAACTGTATCAATTTTATAGAAGAATAAAAATATTTAAAAAAAATCAATCTGATTTTCTCTTATATAGGCCTTGTAGAGCAAACTTCATTTTTTTCATTTGACAAAGAAATTTATAGACAAAACAAAGATATAATTTCATGTACCTATGGAGATTAATGAAATGTAATAATGACTTGCAAAAACACCTGACAGTATTTTCTTATAATGACCCCATTTTTTTTAAAGAACTGAATGAAAACAATATGGAAACAATATATTGCAAAGGTTTTCCTCCATACTGCATTCCGAATAAAATTTTTTTCTCTCGACACACATACTTGTAAGACTTGAATTCAAAATGTCAAAAATATTTATCATAAACTATTAGCATGGGAAACATTGAGTTGGGATCACTACTTATGGTTTCTTTGAGTTACTTTATTAGTGGAAAATTTAAAATGAAAATTTTATGAGAGAAAATCTTATTGTTAAAGTAAAAAGCTTGTTATTGTTAAAGCAAAAAGGTTTTAGTCAAATCTCATTAGATTACTTACACTTTTGATGAGTCAAAAATGTTTTTTAAATAGAAAAAAAATTGTAATGTAGTAACCTGTGGATAACTGAAAACTGATTATATAAACTTGTTATTTGAAAGATTATCACATACACAGGATCTGTATCATACTTCTAAAATATTTATAAACATCAATAATCAGGTTTTCTTAAAAAAAGCAGAAACAATTCTGATGCTTTAACTTTTTAGAATGCTAGGAGAGTCAATTTTTGAAGAAATGTTCATGACACAATGTAAAAAATTTAATAGAAATATTCTGATGTACTGACCATTGTGTGACCATACGATGACCTCTTATCATTGTGTTTACCCACTTGGGCAGCAGCTACAACATAACATTGGTTCTCAATGGCACGACTTCGCAGCAATGACTACAATTTAAAATTGATTGATTCAAAATTATTTCTACACAAGCAGAAATATGCAGAGTTACTTACAGCACAAAATGGTATTCAACTATAGACATATTAAGATCTTATTTATGATAACCAGTTTTACCATAATAAAGAATTAAATGTTTATTTCTTACTAAACTCTTTGCTATTTTGTTTTCAGGCAGTTGTTTTCATAAAATATTATCTGTAGCCTCCAGAAAATTATAACAATTAAACAATGTCAACTTCAAAAGAGGCCATAATGTCCCAAAAGCAAAATTAAGCATCAGCTTGGTATTTGGCAGTAGCATTGTTAACATCAGAACTATATGGAGGTGGTTTCAGAAATTTAATTCAGGAGAAGAGAATCTTGAAATTAGATCAAGACAAAGACCTAATTCAGTCCTAATAAAATGATCAACTGAATGCATTTGTCAGACAAAATCTGAAAAAAGTAAAAAAAATTTCACAACTTGGCTACACATTTGTACATCAGCATTTAAAAACTGTTGGAAAGGTGAACAATGTGGACAAGTTTATCCCATACAAATTAAGTGAAAGTAAAAGTGCTTAGAAATATCTTCCATGTTCAAATCTCCTGATTTGAAAATGAATCATTCTTGTATTGAATCATTACTTACACTTTGAGATTTCCATATACAATAAAAAATTCTCTTATAGTGAAGAAGTAGTTAAAGCATTTAAACAGTTTTAAACAGGGGAGAGCTTTTTTAAGAATGGGATAAACAGCTTAGATTTACACTGATATAAAAAAAGTACAATAAAATAGATACCATCTTGATTAAATAAAAGTGCATTTTGATTAAATGTTTTCTTTTTCATCAATTACAGCAATTTATTTTGCTTACCAGAAATTACTGTGATATCAATCATTTGATTTTGTGGCTTACAACATTTAATGAAAAAAGTAATTTATTAAAAATTATTGTCATAAGAATTTAATGATATATAATCTGAAAATCAGTGCCATGTCATCAGAAGAATAGTTTCAAAATAATTTTTATATTATATTATTTTTATATTCTATGAGAATCAAATTTAAAATGAAATGCTTGCAAAAATATTGGAATACAAGTTAGTGAACTCAAAAAAAGAAAAGGAAAATAAAAGAAAAAGGCTTACACAAAAGATAACTGATCTTATCACAAAGAGGAAGACATAAATCGATAAATCTATCCTCTTACCTCCCAATGTGCCACTCCAGTGGGTTCCATAAATGCAGAAGGGTAAGTCAGTATTTGAGCTCCTTGTTTTGTTAATGCAATTGCTAATTCTGGGAAACGAAGATCATAGCACTAAATGCATAAAGGAAAATTCAAAACATTTCCTGAAGACATTTGGATAAAAGATACATAAAAAATGAAAATAGAAATCTTACAGACGATGCACAGTCTACAGCAAGATTCAACAACTTCTAGCAAAAAATTACAGTTGTTATGAGTCTTCAACAAAACATTTTAATTTTTGATTACCAGATATTGTAAATCTTTGTACCTGGGAAAATAACATTGGATTTATTTTTTTAATGTACATTGAGATAGAAAAAGTCCACATTGAAAACTGCTTTTGATCATTTGTACCTTTTGCAATGTTTCTATTATATTTAAGCATTTTGTCATTTCAAATAAAATTCTAACCTGAATAATATGAACAAACCAATTTGGAGATATGATTTAAATTTTTCTATATCAGACATGCCAACATTTAACATTTGTTAGTCTGTTTTGGAATAATGAGTTATAATTCAAAAACTTGAATTTAAATCATAAGATTTACTTCAAAAAATTATCTGATGTTAGAAATTTAGAATAAGTGGCATACTATAAAAATAAAATCATAATTCTCTCTCTCTCTCTCACACAGACAAAAAGCTAGTAGATTGATTTGAACACTCAACCCATATGTTTTTATGTCGATGGTATCTACACTTAGCAGTAATATTGATGACAAATCCAGATTCAACAATTTTTTCTTCTAATGAACTGTTTCATATGGGTAATTTCAAGCCATGCTAAAATAAATATCTTTCTTAAATGTAAATTTTTTCATCACTTTTTGTCACACTTCCTTCACCTGAATGCAGTGAATTATTAAATATAAATCATTAAACATTTGAACTTAATAACAATGTGGGCAATAGAGTTACTTCACTATGCTAGTGTTGTTGCTATGATAATTCCATAATAAGTAGGCTCTTTATGGGGTGGAATTGGAGTTATTCTTCTCCTAGACTAATTAGCAACCAAGACTAGAGAACCCAGTTTAATCTGTTATTTAACCTATTGCTGAGGGGAAAACAAAATGGGCTTATACCTTTCCCAAGACTATTTGTGCAAAAGTGAATGAAACAAGCTTGGCTAGAATTTGAACTTGGCCCATTTTCCATGCTGAGACTATGCACACATCTGTAAACTTAAACATGCTAAATTTAATCAAATAATTTAAGATTCATAGCAGGTATGAGTAACATTTCTTAACTGGTGAACCATATTAGATATTGTATTGCTCATTATGAATGGAGCCATACAAGTAAAGTAAAAATCTATTGTATGTAGATTAATGATTTTTTTAATGATCAGTTTGAATATTTTGTTTATATTGTGTATTTCCCATGATTATTATTTCAAGTAATATTTGATTTGATTGCTATCGAACTCAATTTTCCCTACCCAACTGTGAAGCATCATTCAACAAGAAATATCAGGTACAAAATTTCACAAATTGCTTTTTGACACATTTGATCATTTACAGTACCGTCTCCATAATCTGTACAAATTTTTTTCTTGCATTTCAGTCACAGTTTTAATGTGGTTTATTTTCTTTCATCTTCAATGTTAGAGCAGATAAACAAAAATATGACAATTTAAAAAAAATCATGAGGATATGCGAGCTGTCACAATAAAAGTGTGACAGAGAGAGAGTCTGGGAAAAACACACACACACACATATTTTTTTTTTTAGTGAAATTGGAAAAGTTTTGAAGAGCAAAATTAAATCAGAGCATTTTTTTTTACTGATGGGGAAATCTCATCTAGAGCAGAAGTTGTACCAATTGAATCTGGGTCATCAGAAGACAATGGAAATGGTTGAAATGATTTTTATTGATTAAAAATTGAAATAGAAGCTAGAAGGAACTTTGGAATTCACATGATTTTGGTTGAAGCAGCCAGAACCCTGTGATAATCATATACGAAGTAGTAGGGCCGAGGGTCAGTTATAACCAGCCGGGTTTATCTATATAAATGCGTAGTTATGCTGAAAAAGATAGATGGGAGAAAATTCATGAAGAGAGAAGAGAGAAGAGAGAATTGGCCCGGGCGAGCGTTGGGAGGAGGAACACCACTATAACTTTAAGCCTCGCACAGAAATCTTTATCCCTCCATCGCAAGAGTTATATATTGTTCTGAGATGATTTAGCAACAAGATAATCACATACACTCTCTCTCTGTCTAGAATCCAGTGTATGAGCTTTTTTTTTACTTTTCTGTAACCCGTTTCTCTTCTCTACTATTCTTTTCTGCTATATAAAAGAAAGTACCAATTCAACCATTGAATTGATGTTTGTCCAGCTTTCTGCAGATATTTTTTTTTTTTTTGCTGCATTCTAAATTTCTTAGTGCAGACTCCCCAGCCGTGTCTACATCTTCAGTCGACCGTGAATGGATGGACATCACTTCTGCTTTCTGGATCGAACAAATCACAACATGGGCAGGAAGCAGGATTAAACCAGCGGACTGGTCGAATAATCTACGGATGCTCAGGGAACCCATGGCCACTCCCTTAAGTTCGGTTAGGACCGAGTAGACACTTCAACCCAGAGAGTAAGATGCTGGAGATTGAGGGGCCGGGGTGAAAGTGTTAGAAAAGAACAATGTTTTTGAATGAAGTAAAAACTAAATTGTTGTAACAACATCAAATAACTACTGTTGTAGAATCTATTGAGCTACCCAGTATTACTGATGAAGATGCAAATATTGATTAACAGATCAACTTTCAGCTGAGATCACATCTATTTACACTAATGCACTCTGAGAAAGGCATAAATCTACCTTTTCCTGCACCCTATCTCAGAGCAGATGAGCAGGGCACATGAGAAAACCATTCTCCCATAACTACTTTACCTATCTAGGTGGAAGTGGCAAAAATCTGTTACCTTGAGATTCTATCAAATTGTGTTCGATTAGATTTTGATGATCTTTTGTGTCAATAACACCTGAAATTATTTATGAATAATGGCATAAAATGTCATTGTCAAATGAACTTTTTCGTGTACTGGTAATAAAATCAAGGATACAATGCTGAGCCCAATTTTGCCAACTGGAGATTCAATTGGTGGGGTAATTACTTGACCAGGGTATGTATAATCACTTTCATGCAGTTTGGTCTCTCTTAAATCAACATCAAACAGGTGCAACTTTACATAGTTACCTGCTATTTCACCATTACTATCAATTAACACATGAGTATTTTTTACAGTTTTTGAGTCATTCTGAAACAATAAAAAGAATAAAATATGAAATTAACAACAGAAAATAATACAAAAGGTGTTTTATATATAAATAACTAAAATAAATCTTAAAACCTTTATAGAAAAATAATTAAAGTTGAAAGCAAATTACATATTTAAAAAAAATTGTGAATGATAAATTTAAGCCAAATATTTCAAGATACAAAAAAAAGTCGATGAGGATATGTTTGTTTTTACACAATTTACATTGCTTGGACTATCATCCTCATTTTTGTTGCCATATTTATTACAACATTTCGGCTGTTGTATGCTCTGGCCTTCTTCAGGTGATTGGAATGCCAAACTGAACCCTTTATTTTGCTTGCTGGGATAGACTGTTCTACTCCTACATGCCATGTCTAATGGATGTCAGTTATCAGTTATCTCCTGTTAATTTTATTCTCCAAGTTCTCCACCACCATAACCGGGTATTGAACTCACACTCTTTGGGTCCTGTCACTGGATCTAACTAATGCCTTTATCCACTGTGCCATGTGTCCTTGTTTGTTTTTGTTAACTGACAATTCTGTGTATTTATTTTTATTTTCCTTCATTAATGAAAATTACTGCCATTGGATTTTGTTATCAGATATATTTGTAGTCTGTGCCTCACCCCAGATCATGCCAGAATAGACTTTACCCTCAGTGTCCATTAGAGAATCCGGGTGCAGAATGTAGCTGAAGTAACAATTTGGCTGCTGAGTGCAGATTCACATAACTGACACATCTGTACTTGAGAAGTGTAAGAAAGGTAAATATATAAACATTGACCTGAGAGGTAGCAATAGCAGTCTCTTAGACATCACACATGAGAATGTAAGGTCCATATTCAGACCCAGTTAGAGATGGGGTCTGTAACAATTTTATGGGACTTTACAATACACAGACAGACCAATCAATGTTAATTGCCCAGACATCGTGATCAAAGACCACAAAAACTGAATGTGCTTTCTTATTGACATGGCAGTTCCTGCAGATTCTAATGTATCTTTGAAGATCTTCAAAAAATGATCAAAATACAAGAATCTTGAAGTGGAAATCTCAACAATGTGGCACATGAAGGCATCAATAATTACAGTTGTAGCTCTCAGGTTGATCAGAAAAGGTTCCTATAGTGATTCCTAGTAGCCCATGCCTTAAAGAAATACAAAAACTGTACTCACAAATACAGCTCACACATTATGAAGAGCTTTGGCTATGTAAAATGTGTGTGATTTAAGATTTTTTTTTTTTTTTAACAAAAATGATCAGTGGAAAATATCATGAAGCCATTTCTGACCTTAGGTCTCTGGTTGGAGCCTGGAAAGAAAGGTGTATACAACAGAAATCAAAGGAAATAATGTAACGGAGAGAGTTTGGGAAACACACACAAACACATGTATATTTTTTTTATTGAAATTGGAGTACATTTGAACAGCGAAATTAGATCAGAACAATTTTGTTTACTGATGGAAATCTGATCTAGCCCATTTGGAATTGGGTCGTTGAAAAGACAACGGAGATGATTGAAATAAATTTTATCGGTTAAAATTTGAAAGAGCTTACTAAGGCTATGAGAACTTTGAAATTCACATGATTTTGGGTTGAAAACAGCACTTGTGATAATCGTGTGTGGGCCAAGGGTCGATTTATGATCAGCCAGATTTATCTATATAAACGCATAGTTATGCTGAAGAAGAGGCAGACGGTTGAGAGAGACAGGAGAGGCTGCGATTGGTTGGCACGTCATCATTGCTGCGTGCCATCACGTGCATGGGCACCCGCAGGCGGCCATTACAGGTCGCGGTACTACAATAATCAAAGAGTGGTTGGCTCATCTGCCGGTGGAAGCAGTCGAGCTGGGTGGAGAGAGGTCGGAGAGAGGTCGGACATTGAAAGTGATGTCAGAGATTGGAACCAAACGCCTGCTAACATATGTTGTTGATATAAGTATGAAGAAGCGAATTACTCCTCCAAGACCGCTACTGCTACTATTATTACTACCACTGGAAATGGAAAACTCAAACAAGCTACAATAACCAAAGGTTGGTTTTTGCTCGTCTGTCTTCGAGTGCAGTCGAGCTGGGTGGAGAGATATCGGAGATTGAAAGTGAACAAAGTTGAATTGAAGGCTCGAAGAAGTACTAAAGTGATGTCAGAGATTGGAACAAAACCCCCGCAAACATGTACTGTTAATATAAGTAATGATGCTTCTGCTACCACGAAGATTACTACTACTGTTACTACAGCCAAGGAGGAATGCAACTATAAACTTTAAGCCGCACACAGAAATCTTTATCTCTCCATTGCAAGAGTCGCATATCATTCCGAGACGATTTAACAACAAGTTAATCAAAACCCACTCTCTCTCTGTCTAGAATCCAGTGTATGAGTTTTTCTTTTTACGTCAAATAATTTTCTTTTCTGTAACCCGTTTTTTTTCTATACTATTCTTTTCTGCTATTAAAAGACATTAACAATTTAACCATTGACTCGATGTTTGTCCGGCTTTCTGCAGATATATATTTTTTTTGGTGCATTCTAAATTTCTTAGCACAGACTCTCCAGCCATGTCTACATCTTCAGTCAACCGTGAATGGATGAATGTCACTTCTGCTTTCTGGATCAAACCAAACACAATGTGGGCAGGAAGCAGGATTAAACTAGTGGACCAGTCGAATGATCTACGGATGCTCAGGGGACCTACGGTCACTCCCTTAAGTTCGGTTAAGACCGAGTAGACACCTCAACCCAGAGAGTATGTTGGAGGTTGAGGGACTGGGGCGAAAGTGTTAGAATAATAATATAATAATAATAATGATGATGATATAAGTATTACAAAGCACCCACTCACAAAAAAAAAAAAAAAAATTAAAAACCTTTTGGTGAAATCCTCCAAGAGATAACCACAGCATATGTTTTTTGGCTAAAGCTCTGTATCTGGATATTAAATCTCCACCCAAATCTTCTGACATTTCCACAGACTGCTTCCAAGATTTTCCAACATAATCAAAACACTCAGGAAGAAAGACCATCTGTAAATGGAGAAAAAGAAATTATGATTAAAATTTAAAAGAGTATACTTTAAAATTTCAACAAAAGTTTTCCTATTTAGATATATTTCATGTAAAAGTGAATGGTTTCTGAATGTTTTTTTTTTATACAAAGAAATCTTTAAGTTCTGTAAACCTGTAAAAAAATTTCTTTTAAAAACAAATCTCAACATTAAAACATTTTTAGATATTATACAAACACCTTTCATTTATCAGAAACCACTGTAATACATTAAAATACATGTGTAAAAAGTAATGTCTCTGATTTTATTATGTTGACAGTATAATTTATAATAAATTATAATTTATTTTTTGCCTTGTTATAGATATAAGCTGAGCAGCAGTCTGGCAAAAGAGTATCTGACATCAAAATGAATATAAAGCAGAAGTTCATCATTAAGTTCTTACATGCAGAAGAAATTATATCAATGATTGCTGAGTGTTTACAGACTAATCAGTAAGTGTTTCAACACTGATGACAGTGATATGTTAGAAGCTATGTTCTGGCTGGTGCTGCACAGATTTTTGTTCATCACTGATGAAAACATACAGTGAATAGTGTTGAGAAAATCTCAACCCCCCAAAATCTAGAGACGGTTCAGGCCAAGGAAAAGAAGCACAAGCACTTACCTTAAGTTGCAAAATAAGATTCCTTTAGTGACATAACGTAACTGTCTAATAACTTAAGTAAATATAAAAATAAAAATAAAAAAAAAACACTTCCCTTATAACCACTTCAGGGATCACGTGGTAATAATGTCATGTGACCCCTGTAACTATAAAAAGTTAGAAAAATGTAACCCAGTCAAATTCTCCATGCATTTCTGAAAACCAAAAAAAGGAATAGAAACAAAATAAATTTAGGGATGCATGTACAGTACCCTACTAGTGCCAATTGACAATGTTATTAAAAATCATTTTTGTTTATTATTTTGGTTATAATGGCCCCTCCTAACTTATTTGGGGAGTAGACTAGGCCTGCCTCAACAGTACTTCCAATGTGTACAATCTGGACAGTACCATTTTTACCTTGAAGGTGGGAGAGATTCGACCCCTACACACTCAAAGTGGCACCAGTTATCACATCTATCACAACAACTCATAGCTTGATCACCCTGCGGGGCATTTCATATCAGACAGAGACAAACCACCTCCTCTTTGTCAGAAGGTGTTGCTTGAGGAAGAATAGGAGCAAGATCATCTGCAGCTGCACCAGCAGAGGAGGGCGAAGATAGCACTTCATCTCCCCTTCCCACTGATAGGGACAACTTGAGCGGAAACAGGTGCTTCAAGAAGTGGACCTGCACTTCACCATCCTGTTTAACCTTTGCTGGCCTGACAACACCATCCCTTCTGCTAATCAGTTTCACAACACCACCAAGAACCCAAAAGGGTCTGGGCTTAAGAGGGCTCTTGACTAAGACCACATCCCCAATCTTCAGTTTGTTCTAGAATGGCACTATAGAATGGCCCTGAGGCCTCTCCCTGAGTTGCAACAGATACTTGTCATACCATTGGGCTTTAAATTTCTCCAGGCATCAGTTCCACATCTGCATAGTTCTGATAAGTCTCTCCCTGCTGGGGGAGCATGAAGGATGCAAAATTTTCTTTGTTCAGGTTCAATAGCAGTTCAGAACTCACATTAGCCCACAAAAACGGGCTCAGTGTTACTGCTTCCAGCTCTCTCCGCTGATTCTCGATAAGTTAGGGGGCAATTATTGACAACCCTTTGAATGTCAGAGATAAGGGTTAGCAGAGAGAAATAATCTATTTTCCCCTGGCCCACAGTCTTGTGGAGGCAGGTTTTGATCGTCTGGATACTTCTTTCCCTGATGCCTCCAACCCAGGGAGAGAACATCAGAATAGGGCAGAACTTGATTTGGCAAGAACCAAACTTCTGCTGGAAATTGTGGCACAATAATAACCTCCTAAACAGCTGACCACCATCCAGGAAGGTCTTTGCGTTATAACTGTAAATGGCAGCTGGAATGCCATACAAGTTGGTGAAATGCACCAATGCTTGAAGGAAGGACATCTCAAGTCTGGCACCACCTCAATGTGTATGGCTCTGATACTAAGACAAATGAAAATGAGCAAATACTTTTTTACCTCCTTATCACCCTCTCTAATCCAAAGGTGCCTAGTGTAGTCAACTCCTGTATGTTTGAAGGGAACCTCCAGCTCCACACACGGAGTGGGTAGATTGGCCACATTGGCAGGCAGGACAAGTTTGGCATTGTACCTCCTGCACAACACACAGGTACCCAAGACTGTCTTCACTGATTGTCTTCCCTGGAAGACAATCTGTGAAGACACCTCGGCCAACATGGACCCAACTCCCAAGTGCTGGCACCTGACATGAGCATTAATGAGGTGACTGATTATCGGGTGATGCTTAGCCAACAGAATAGGGTGTTTAACTCCCATATTAAAATGAAGAGAATTACCAATTCTGCTGCCTGACCTAATTAAGTTCTCCTTGTCAATGTACAAATCAAATTCCCCCACCAACTTAGGAACATTCCTGCCTGAAGGATCTGGTAAGAATGCCAATTCCTCAGGATATTCTTGTTGCATTGTCTTCATCAGAAGAATGGCTGCCAGTCTCTCACTGTCATTGATAAACTTTAAGACTAATGCAGTTACCCTCAAGGGCTTTGTAAAGGAAGAAAATTTCCCCAAGGGCAAGCCCATTGAGAATCCCTCTCCCTAGGTGACTGCGGCATTCAATGGAGAACAGGCTATCCATAGGCTGTGTTGAGTGAGATATGGCAACTCCTGTGTGGCTCATGGAGTGGTCCCACAACCAATCTGGACCATGGCACCAGAACCAAATGCAAGCCTTAAACTTTTCCAATGTCAAACCCCTGGTGATCAAGTCAGCAGCGTTCTCTGTGGTTAGTACATACCAGAAAGAGGGGGTAAGGCCAATCAAGGATTCCAACCCAGCAACCATCTGCAAGACATTCTTCAGTCTGTTTCTTGCAAAGAAATTCTTGCTCATGGTTGACCCAGAAATAATCCATGTGAGGACCACCTGAGATGGGGAATTTAGAGAAAAGGTTTTTTGCCATGAGGCAAACCCCAGAAGACTGGTCATTTGAGAAAGCACAGTAGAAAGAGCTTCCCAACTCTGCCAGAAGTGAGGCTGTCCGAGAGATAAATTCAGTCAACATTGAAAAAGACTTCTCTTGTTTAACAGAGAAGTTCAGTATGTCCTGGAAAATGTTGTTGATGATTTCCATCTTCATCCAGAGATTCACCCTTCAGGATAGTGAGGGCCATTCTATAATTCCTATTGCCGATATTGAGATGGTTGATCAGCAGTAAGGCCCTTCCAGAAAGCAGACATTTTAAGAAGCTTAGCCTCTCTGCATCATTGGCCATGCCAGCTACACAATTCTCAAAATGAGATAAGAAATTTTGAAAACTCATCTGGTCAGTATTCATTTACTTGGCTAGTAATCTGGATCTGTGATGGTTTTATGATGAATGAGGATGGACTCCCATCCATCTCTGGGGGGTATGGTGACAATTTCAGAGAATCAGTTGCAGCAGGGAGAAATTTAAGCTCAAGATCCTCAAATTTAAGTACAAGATCTTATTTCACAAAATGTCAAGAGAATCTCAACACCCAAAAATCTAGAAATGGTTCAGGCTGAGGAAAAGAAGCAAAATAAGATTCCTTTCTGCAATGTAATTTGACTGCCTAATAACATGCATTAAGTAAATATAAAAGGAAAAAAGGAAAAAAAGACTTCCCTTATAACCACTTCAGGGATCACATGGTAATAAAGTCACATGACTTCTGTAACTATTAAAAGTTAGTAGAAACATAACCCCTTTTAGTTAGAAAGAAACAACAACCCAGGTAAGTATATTGCCTTTCTCCCAGTCAAATTCTCCACAATAGTGATGACTATGTGGGGAAAAAATAATGTTTTCTAACTGAAGACTTGCTCTATACAATGGTGTTACTGTGCTCTTTTTATCTGTTGTGATTTTCATGGAAATAAATATTTCAGAATGTCCTTTGTATTTACATAAAAAAGATAAGTTGAATACTTAATCTTTAATAGAAAATTTCTAAATCTGCAAATAAAAACATTTATGGTTCAATTTCATAAGTTGAAGTGCTTTTTAACTCATATTTTAAAAATGTTTACTTAAATTTGAACAAATGTTTTATACTCACTGTAATCAAACTTTCAAGCTGTTTTTCTACCTTATAGTGTTTTTTTTTCATTTTTATCTTGCATGAGTATTGTACATGATGTTTCTTTTTCTAAATCTCTCTTTCACACACATCAGTTAAATCATTGACATATTCTTATTTGTGTTTAGTTTTTATTTTTATTTATAAATTTGAACTTTAACTAATCCTGTTATATAATTAGAATACATTTCAATTAAATATTTGTTTGCATTGTGTGTATATATATATATATATACGCACATATATACATACATACATACACACAATGTAAACAAATATGTAATTGAAATATAATTCTAATTAAGTGCCGGTTATCACTAATATTGTGGATATAGTACTGTAATAACCTCTGGATTGCACCACCTATAGTGCAAATGTATATTTATTTAAAATCTTATTAAAAACATGACAAACATATGGTTAAATAAAGTTTCACAATGATAAAACCAGTCATTAAAATTAAGCCAGTCCCATTATTTGTCTGTATCTATTTTATTCACTGAATATTCAACCCTTGGGTGGCAGCCAATCTAGGCCTAAATTTAAAGCCATAGAGAAGGTAACAGGAACCAACTGTAATATCTTTTGCAAGAAGTTAAAGCAATTCATAAACAGTAAAAAACAGAATTTGTAGATAGCCATAATTGCCTATGTCCTGAAAGACATTTAAAAAAAAAAAAAAAAACTTATAAGGATGCTGTCAAAAGGTAAATTTGGCTCAAGATGGTCTAGAGTGTTCTAAGAGTTTAAAATATGTTTTATAAATCAAATCTATAAAATATGTCAACTCACCTGTACTCCTCGGAACTTGGCATTTTCAATAAGTGATTTACATATTGTAAAATTGTCTTCTTTATTAGCAGTAGCTGTCATTTGGCAAACAGCAATCAATGGCTTTGGTATGGAGAGATTCTCTGTCAGATCAGACATCCTGTGACAGTTATGGTGCTGCTTATGACACTTGAAATGGTGGGACAAAAATCTAATGATAAAAATTAACAAAACATTTGTTAATGGAATAGAATTTGTCATTTGCATTTATAATAGAAATGTGTTTTTGTTCATTCAAAAGATGCCCAACCAGTCAGTAATAATCATGTTACAAGAATCTACTTATCAGTCCAGTCATAATGAAAAACTACTGGTAAAAATTTTGCCAAGCTATTGGAATGAGGACTTTTTTTTTTCAGATTCAAAAACTTCTTTCTCCTTTTTTGGGGAAAATTCTATTGACAATAATTTACAGAACATATTTTTCCAATTTTATTTTGGTTGATTATAAAAAAAAAATTGATTAAATACCAATTTTCATTCTTCAGTGACTCATAAGAAATTTGTTATTTTCAATATTAAACGCAGAACTTATCTATTGGGAACAAACTGAAATTATCAATTTTTGAAATCAGGTAAATTTATATTTTTCAATTTTTGAGTTTTTTGTCCATAACTCAGTGAAGAGGAGGTAGAAATTCATCATTTTTGTTTTAAATGAAATATTTTAACAATATCTATTAGGTTATAAGTTTTGTGTTGCAGATAGGGGCCAAAGTTCAATTTTTGTCCATTTTGTTAAATTTCATATTAATATTTAATACTAAAAAGGTTTTTAGTTACTTAAGTTTATCTTGGAATATAATTTTTGGTCACTTTCACATTTGGAATCCTGAAGACATCATAAGTTAAAGTGAGTGATTTAAAAAAAAACAAAAATGCCATTTTCACACACCCCTAAAACATTAAAAATATGCCACTTATTTCACCTAGAAAAGTCATTTTTCTGGAAGATTTCAAGGTATTAGTCATTAAAATGCCCTTTAATATCTTAAACAATTTCAAAATTCAAATGGGCATAAATAAATATAAATAATAAATCTATGAAATTTGGTGTATTTTCATGACATATATTTAACTAAATTTGAGTAAACTATTACAGAAATTATATTTATGACATATCTTTGATACCAAAAACAATGCTCATTTGTATTTTGAAATTGTATAAGATATTAAAGGGCATTTTTAATAGCTAATTCATTTTCAAAGATAATAGGAATAGAAATGTCCTCTTATCATCCTCCTTTCCCATTTTTTAAACAGAAGTAGAGGTTTATTCCATGTTTTCTGTTCCTTCTAAAGTCTTCTCATTTTCTTTCACTCATAGTAACCCCCTTGTGTCTTAGTGGCATTATCGCCTTGCTTGGGTGAAATAAATAGAAAGTATGGATAAGTTTTAAGGATTTTTAAAATTTTGTCCTAAATGAAAAATGGTATTTAATCAATTTTTTTTTCATGGTCCAAAAAAATAACCTGATGAATTTGAAAAATTGGGAAAATCTTTTCCATAAATTATTATGATTCCCCTGCCCCAAAATGGATAGAAAGATGGGTTGATGATTCTAAAAACTAGAAATCTTTGTAGTTCCAATGGTACTATAGAGCTTGTTAACATTTTTTCCCAGGTAACATTGTGACTGTGATCAACTAATTCAAATTCCAGAGAAGGTAACAGTTTATTTTGTGGCATAATAATAATAATAATAATTATTATTATTATTTCTTCTCCTCCAGAATTCTTATGAGATCTTCAAAGAAAAAAGTTACAAAAAAAAAAATTCAACTTACAGAGAGTCCGAATATCTATGAAAAGAAATTATAAAAAAATAATTTTTTTTTCTATTATAAGAAAGTAAGAACTTTTCAGTATTTATTGTACAAACCTTTTTTTAACTACTAGCAATCAAACACAAAAGATTCTCACAGCTAAGTTGAAATGAATCTATTTCTTCAGTCACAGTTTGAATGCAGAATTTATTGCTATACTACATATACTGTGTACATTAATTTATCATGAAAAAAATCATTTCATATCTCGTACATCAAAGAGAATCACTATGTATAGTCACGTGCTAAATGTAATCTTTCAGATGGTTCAGATTACTGCTTATCTAATCAGAAGCTGAAGTCTTTTCTTCTTTTAACCTTGTACAAAAAGGTGATTTTCTCTATTATCCACTGCATTGGAAAACAAAATTTTTTTTTGCAGTAATGTAATTTGAGGTGGGGTTAATTCAGGATTTTAAAAATTTATTGCTTATATTTATTTAAATCAAATCTCACAAAATTTACAATTATGGTAAATTGTAAAATTGAAAAAAAAATGTTGTTTTTAAAACTAGCATCATATTCTGATCTCTCTTCTGAACTTGAACCAGCATGTTCGAAAGTAAATAAATCGTTTAAAAATGTCATCACTTCTACTTTATTTTGTAGGTGGCTTCTGCGTAACGCAAATAGACCAAAGTGAGGAAGTCGTGTTACAATTACCTGGTTACCACAAAGTAAAATAAAGACCATCGCAGTCCTACTGTACTTTATGTAAGATAAAAAATAGTTGTAAGCTAATTTTGTAGGAAAATTGAAAAATATTGATTATTGTTGATTTTCGTTTAAGGCATTTCATCTCAATCTTTAATTTTCTATGAGATAACTTATGACAAAGAAAGGACAAATGAGACAATTTCATTGGAGTGATATTAAAAACCTGTACTTGTCTAAAAATAAATAAATAAAAAACAATAATAATCGAAGACTTAAAGTTTAAGTCGTAAGTTCGGCGATCTTGTAGTTTAGCGTCCCAAATTTATTATCACGATTGCTGCGAGATTATTTTTAGGTGAACATTAATATAATTTTTAAAATTTCAGTTATTTTTTTTCGACATTATCAGCGTTTCAAACTTTAAATGCTATTTTTGTGTGTTTTTATTCATATAATTAAAAAATAGCATTAAATTTTTCTTTTATTTGGTTTGATTTGATCTGCTTTGTTGTAACCTTTCCCTAACTGTGATAATTCTACGAAGCATGCTCTAAAGCTCAGCTATTAACCAATAATCCAGGTGACAAAAAAATGAAACATCCCACTTTGACTTTAAACAGTAAAGTTTCTTTCAATAAATAAATCCTACAGAAAAATGTAGTGGAATTTTTTCTTAGATTTTTTGGGGAAAAATTCTATTTTAACAGCAAATACTTAAATCGTAAAAGCCAGTACTTTGAATTCGCAAGGCAAATTATACAAGACAAATAGTAACCACTAACCTGTTGGTTTGATAAAGAAGTGCACCGAATGATCGCATAACTTTAATTAAAATCAACGAAATTGAACTTTACAACAAAATAAAATAAATTACCGTAATTTCCAGGGGAGACAACTAGAGCAGTTCCCGGGCACCTTGGTTTGATGTACTGTATTTGTTAGCAAGTTAGTCTGATTTACCATTACAAGTGAGTAGCGAGTTCAATCCTCATTTGGTGCCTCATGTGGCTTTCTGCGAAAACTAAGCTTAGTAAATGACAATTAGAGAAGTTATTTAGGAAAGCGTAAAAATTTGTATAATGTTCAAAAATGGACATAGGTTGTAGTAGGAAAATAGGTTTTCTAGCTGGAACATGAGATCTCTAAAAAAAAAACAAAAACAAATAAACATTAAGAAGAAGTTGCAAAAAGAGTTTTTGTGAACTCTCTCTTTACCTTGTTTAAAAAGTGTTCAAATATCAATTCTATGACAACTTTACAAATATCAAATTATTGTTATTTCAAATAAATACGTTTCCTGCTGTTTGACCGACCTATAGCAATAGCGTGTTTTATTTTTTTTTTACTTTTGAGTTTTACGCATAACTTTGGTTTGGTTTCTCCTTTATGCATTCTCCATCCCAACTGTTTTTCTTTTCAGTTGGGTTGGGAATTGCTTTAGCCACCAAATACTAATTTAAAAAAAATTAAATGGTATGTAAGTTAAAAAGAACTTTAAGACTCACAAAACAAATATGCACTATTGTTGGATTTTTAACAGAAAGGAATTAAAATATTTTTGCACACTGATATAAATAATTTTCATGTTCTAATACAGGATTTTTTAATACAGGAACTCGTTACATTTGCAAAATAATTACTGCCAGCATTTAAGTTGAATTTTTTTTTTTTAGAAAATTTTCCCCAAACGCCTTACCAAAAAGTTGCTAATTTAACATTTAACAGTAACATCAAACAGTAACAGAGGTGTGAAAATAATAGCACAGAGCTGAAGGGAATCTCCTGGAAGAAAAGTCATAAAGTTAATAATATACCCGTTTTTTTGGTTTTTGTTTTAATCACGCTTCGGTAGTTGTGCTCTCTGGCCTTCATCGAGTCAGTGTATGTCGATCCGGGTAACTGACAGGGAATTTCGAATTGAAATTTAATCTACGGGGGCAGATTGTTCTTCTTTCACTGCCCACTTCTAGGGATATCTTGTCCAGTTCTTATTTTTTTTATAGCTAAGTCCAAGAACACCTGCCTGGCCCAGAGACTGAACAATTACGTTACCAAAATCACGAAACATCTTGTTTCAGAGTAATATTTAACTTTTATAGATATATAGCTATTTTAATTGAAAATATTTTCTGATTTTTTTTTATGAACAAGCCAAAGTTATGACTTTTTTCTAAAAACAAGGGTTACCTTGACTTTTTTCTAGTCATCATGAAAGAAGGTCAATATTACCAATTTTATGCTTTTATTTTCAGAGTATAATAATTGTGGTTTTTATCACTAATAAAAAAATGCGATATCATATCTCATCAATTTGTGCTAAAACCTAATTAATTTATCAATCAGTTTTCTCATTATTAGTACAACTTATTTTAACCCTGAAAATATTATGTAGCGAAATTCGCGGTCACGATAACAACTCCCAGATTGACCGGAATGATAAATGGAAAATCTTTTTGGAGGGGAATAATCCTACAAGGAGTTATCTGCCCTTACGAACTTAGCAACAGCCTTTATTTAAAAATCTAAACAGACGTGTTGAACGGGATTTTACGTTCTTATTTTTTTCTCAGAGAATATTCAATATTTTTTTTTTTTTTTTGTACACAAGACAATGGCAGTTGCTGGAACGGTATGTTCTGAATGATACTTTCATTTCCGTTAGGATTTTCGACAAACTTTCACTGTAATTCATTTCGCAAACGAAATAATTTATTTTACTTTCTGTGTAAAGTAACGTGTTTTTTTTCTTTTTTCAAGAAGTCTTACAGTAAGATATGGAGACAAAATGTTTGTTTTTTTATTTATTTATAGAGAAGACTTTTAACACGTTGAAAGGTTTGGTGGAAGGTTTTTAATTGACGTATGTAAGAATCGATAAACTGACATAAAATAAAAACATAAACAGACGGGAAATAAAGGCTGCTTGGTTATCATTCCAAAAAAAGTCATTAAATTCGAACTTAATCTGTTTGGACATGTTCCTTCTCTCGGGTATCTGTTATTTTTTTTCAATTGTAGAAAACGAAAGCGTTAAAATAAAAACGGCAGTAAAAAAAATCTTAAAATACGAAATTAATTATTAACTTGAAAAAAATAAAACTGGAATATTTCGGGTAGGTTCTCTGAGCCGGGTTACGTAATAAGTTTACATAGTCTTTTGTTTGTGTGGGGAAATATGATTTCTTGGGGTAGGAGTCAACAAAAATGTTCTATGGCTACGAAATAGTAAATAAATACTTTTCAATCTTTTGAAATCATATTTCCATGTAAATCTTAAATGCAAAACCTAATATTTCACATGGTTGTTTCACAGGCAATTGTTTGAACTTTTAAGAAGTATTGTTTTAAAAAATTGTTTCCGAAAATTAGGTATGTTTCATTGTTTACTTATGACGAAGATAGCAGCACGGTGGTCTTCATGTCACGGCCCGCCATCGAATCCAAGCAATTAAAGAAACTTTTAGTTTTTTTTTAGGTATCGTCAAAAAAGGATACTTTTTTTCTGAAATGAAAGCAAAATATCGCTACTCCTGGTTTTAAAATATTTATCAAAAAATCAAGTAATTTTCCGATTCAAACGGAATTTTCAGTACTTATTCGTTAATAAATGAATTCTACACTGAGCTTTTAGCGATTTTTGCTTTCATTTTAGAATTAAAAGAAAATATTAAATTATAATTTATATAAGAATAGTGTACGGGAACTGTTTTATGGATTGTTTAGGAGGTAATATTGTAAGATAGCCTTTAGGAGCGAGAAAAGTAGTATTTTTTTTTTTTTTAGGGAAAATGTAAAAATACAAAAAAAAAAAAAATATATTTTTTTTCTTTACCATTTTAATTTTCCCTTCAGACATGAAAAAAAGTATAAAAATTTATGAATTTTAATGTTATTTAATTTATCTGACTTAATTTTTTTAACCATTGAATTTATTTTTAGTTTTTCATTATTTCATTTCTTTTTTTTTTTTGTTTCAATAGAAATTTTCATTATATTTTTTATTTAAAACCTGATTAATAGCAAAATTTAATGTCAGTTGTTGAGTATTGTAATTTTAGCATATGAGGTTCGTTAACACTTTGGTGCAGAAAGTGAAATCTGCATCCAAATTCAGATTCTGTTGCGTTCACTTTTGCACAAGTGCATTTGGTAAAGACATGACTCCATCTCTTCTCCAGTTCAGGTTCAAATAATAGGGTAAACTCTCCATCCTTGGTTTGCAGGCCCATCACCAAGTGGAGAGAATCTGTAAAATGATGTAAAAAAAATCTTTAACTTATGACTCCCATCTGATTTAAAGCCCCCAACTCAAAACACTCTGGCAAAGAGCTTGTCCTCCTTTTTATTTCTAAAAGATTATTAGCATGTCATTAGAAATCATCATAAGTCCCATGACTAAATGTGGTCATAGGGGCAGTTGAGCATCTGCCCAATTCCCTCCACATATCTGGGTTCATTCATGCATAGCATGTTTAGGGCAAGTGAACCTGGCAGTGACTATCTTTCTCCAGGTCAAACCACAGCTGATCTCTAATTTGAAAGATTGCCATGGACATATGGTCATTGATTTCATCAAAGGATCCTTGTTGACATCAGTGCTATGTCAGCACTGCATACACAGCTATGGTGTCCAGTTTACTCCATTGTGCTAGATGGCAATTGACCATTGAGTTTATCAATTCTTTGACAGGACTTGGTTTTAATCCTACTGGGTACCAAGCCACACTCTTTACCAGAAAAACCTGATAGGAAAAGCAGTTCAGCCACAGATGACCTGACCATGCAGCAAGTCGTACTGGGCTACCTAGTATCAGTAGCAACTCTCATAGGCTAATCTGACTTATTGTGTGTTTTTAATACTGGACATTGGAGTATTGTTATTAAAACACTTTGAATGTTAAATAATAGAAAATAATAGATTATACAGAATAAATAGTAAAAATAATACAAATTAAATGATAGCATTTGAAACATCATGCCATTATTAGTAAAAATTATATTTATATCCTCAAGAATGGTCTTGCTTCAGAAAATGTTCTATTTTGTGAATATGTGGTAAAATAAACTAAAGAATTAGTTTAAATTTCAAAATAGCTTCGAATTTTTATCAAAAAATGTTTTCTTTCTTTAATGACATTGCTTTAATTTGCATAATTTAAAAACTGATGATAGCCAATAAATGGTGGTATCACAACAAATAATTGTTACTAAAAAAAAAAATTGAACCACAATCCTAATTCTAGCCTTCATCCATTTATTCATCATGATTTATTTATATTTCTTTTGAAATTTCATATTTCTTCAGGACATGGGCAGTCATGACTCTCTACAGATTACTTTTTTTATTTGGTATCTATTAATTGCCATGATTACTTGGGTTTCATGTTGCCTTTTCCACTGTTTTGTATTTAGAATAGTCTTTCTCTTAGAATAGCTAACACATGAGGTTACTTTATTATTTAATCCACATCTGGGGAGAAGAGATAGTACCTTTGCCAAAAGTATTTGTCTGAAAGTGAATGCAACAGGCTAGCCTGGAATTTAACTTTGGTTGGCATTATAAGATGCTAAAATAAGAATAAAAAATAATTATATCTCTCTTAACATCCATTATGCAAATGTTAATTACCCTTGTTATTAACAGAGAAGTAATAAGTAATGAAAGTAGAACAGATGATAAAAGAACTTGTCCACCCCACTCTTTTGAAGGGAGTATTTTAATCAAAATAGGAATCCTCACTTTTTTGTTAAGCAATCAATAACACTTTTTTTCTTTGCAAATTGTTTTTCTGGTAGGCATTTTAATCTAAATAAAACCCCAAAATTCAATTAATTGATGCAATTGCTGTTAGGAGTATTAAACATTAAAACTGTCTTATTTTTACTAACTTTTTTAATCAATATATATCTTTTCAATAAAAATAAAATGTGCAGAATTTATATTTTTAAAGTAGGGTCTCATTTAATGTTATATTCCTTTTTTCAGTCATTCACAAATCTTACCAAAAATAAAACACTTTTTTAACACAGAATTTACTGTAAAGTTGTATATGACAGTGGTTGATACTCAATTAAGTAGTCACACAAACTGAATATGTACAATTTCCCATGGAGACACGATAGCAGCTCAGATTGAGGAATTGGAGAGCTGAGTTCGAATTCCAGTTGCATCCATTACCTTCACTTATGTGCTAATACCTTTGGGAAAGGTATGACTCCTCTTCTCACCCCCAGCTATGAGTAAATACAGGACAGGCCGGGCTCTATGGCCTTGGATGGCAACTGATCCACTGCAGAAGGAAATGGCAACCTACTGCGGAAAAAATCTGCCTCGTCAGTCCTGTATCGAAAGATACATGATTGCTTAAGCGTGTATCACGTATGGCAAATATAATAACTGACTGACAATTTCCTCTATTCTTGTTTAGGGGAGACAATTCATAGTCCCCATTCTTTATTTAAGTTAGATGATCACCACAGAATTTTTAGTTTACGATTTTTTTTAACTAACTTTACTGAACATTTTTTGGGGGTTGTTGAACTAGTATTTATTGATCTACTTAAAGCTATTAAGTATTTATTTGTACGATTCATTGTCACTTTTTAACTAATATGTCATAGATTGATTAAAAATTATTTCTACAACATGTGCTGTTCAGCTTGCACTCCTATAGGTTCAAAGACTTTACAACTGTTGCTGTTTTATTCTTGTTTGTGTATTGTAATTAACTAAAAATGTATTTAGAAATGTATCATAGATTCCACATTCTTTCAGCTATAATTAAGTCTTATAGTAATGTAGTTTTTTTCTTTATAAGACCCATTATTTGCCAGTGGTAAAAAGTAGACCACTTGTGAGAAATATCTGACTTCTTAATGACTCTCCTCTTAATTACAGACTTTGTAAAGTAAAGATAAGGCCATTTTAAAATCTTAGTTATATTTTTGGGGGTGAGAACTGAGGAGTTATTATTTATATGCAAACTATTGCAAACCTACATAGAGTTTGGAACTGAATTATTTATTTAATCTATGGGAGGAGACTGTTCCCATTCCACTGCTCATGATTAGGGATATCTCATGTAGTATTTATTTTAGTAGTGCTCAATTATTAATTGTGCTGGTTCCTCTAAGTCCAAGTACACACTCACCCAGGGATTGAATTTGCAAGTTCATGAACTAACATGTTAGTCCACTAGCCTATTGTCCTGTGTATTTGGTGACATAATAATTGAGAGTTCAATCCTTGGGCTGGACAGTGTGTACTTGATAGAATTTATCCAACAAAAATATTTCCTAAATCATTCAAAATTAAGAAGTTTAATGTTGACCAATTTTAGCAATTCTTTTCTGTTGTGATTTGAATCAATCCACAACAAAGAAAAAGGTGAAAAAGGTTTTTAAATATAAAAATATAAATTTTTTATTTTTGTGTTTTTACAACTGAATTCTTAGCGTGTTTATTATAAGTTCTTACATTCCTTGTTTTTAGTTGTTTAAGATGAAAAGAAATGTGATTTCTTTGCATGTATGTGTGAGAAAAAAAGAGGCAAGGCGGAAAGTGTGTCACATAGCTAGGTGAGGAAGACGAAAGAATGAGTAAGGAAATTTCTTTCAAGTTTTAAGTCTAGATGTCTGCATGAACTGTTGCCATCCTTTCTCCTTCTCCACTTGTCTGGTCTAGAAACGTTTCTTATATACTCTTCAAAGGGGTCACAAAGCATGTTTTTTTTTAATTGTTGGCAGGAACACAACCCATTGGTTGAAAAATGTTAAAAATATTTATTTTCAAAGAATTAATTTATTAACCAGAAGGATGTATAAATCCTCCGACTCATTTTTTATCATAGTGTTTGTCTATTTTGCTGTTTATTTCTGTCTTCACACCAGTTCTAACATATCACATTTTCAAACTGATTTAAAATTTGAAAGCATTATTAATTTTGAGAAGAAAAAAAAAATGAAAATCTGAGAAATATTTGATAAAATAAGAAAACCTGACTAATAACTATTGAGAAAGTTGGCTTTAGAAATTCTGTGTCTGCTAATCTTTCCTTCTTTTTCAGTTTTTTACTGCAAACTTTCTCCAGAGTTTTAAATAAAGTATTATTGTAAACACATTCATTTTGTATTGTATGTGTTTTATTGATTAACTGAATAATTGTTTATTGTTTTTGTAGGAAGATCCTTGCCTTGAACGACATTTCAAGGGACACAAAGATGCAATCACCTCAGTAGATTTTAACCCAAACATGAAACAGTTAGGTATGCCATTTCAGTTTCTTTTAATCATAACTTATTTTTTTTAAATTTTCTTATGCATTCATGTTAGTTCACTAAACACAGCTGTTTGAGGTTTCCTATAACCCCACTAAACTTAAATAAAATCAATTCAGGTTTGCTATGGTCAAAATTTTCTATCCCAAGTAAAAATCATCACAAAAATGGCAAGTCATTTTGTCACATCTTATTTTTCTCTGAAAAAATGGATTTTCATACTTTTATAGGGGTAAAATATTGAAAAATGACTGTTTTGTCTTTACCTGAACAAATATCAAGGAAATTTTGGATCTGAACCCCATGAAACTAGGTATTTTCTGAAAGCAAAGGATATATTCTTTCATTTAAAAGTAAAATTCACTGGTGTAAATGACACAAAGATTTTTCAGGGGTTGCATTTTTTTCTAGTTCTAAACAAAAATTTTTTGTTCCCATTAAAATGGAAATTAACATTAATTTTTTTTTTTTTTTTTTTTTTTTTTTAAAAATCAGCCTAAATCATAATCAAACTATTTCAGGCATATAATTGAGAATTTTGAAGGAAATCAACATTCCTAGGAGGTCAAAATGCGACAAAGTCCATTGGAATTTTCAATTATATGACTGCCAGGGGTCAAAAAAATTGACACCCGGCCATGGAAATCTTTAGTAAAAAGCGAAAAGATTTATTTGTAATTCCTGACCACCAGAAATCAAAAAAAATAGCAGCTATAAAGAAAATTAAGCCAAATTGACTTTGACATGTCTGGGTCAAAAGTCAGCCAGCAATAAACATTTAGAACAAATTGTTGTCAGCTTGTAATAAAACCCACCACTCCCAGATAAGAGCAAAGAATGAAAAAAAAGGGTCAACATTGGTAGGGCTTGATATAAGGCTTTTTTTTGTTTTGTTTTTCCAAACCTATGTTTTAACAATGGCTTGATGTGTTTTGCTTTGTTTTTAACCCCTCGTGACCTGGGTGATGACAACAACACTTAGCAGACAACATTGATTTTTTTGCTGCATGTCTTTCGTATATCCCATCGCCGGGCCATTTAGCTGTTCCTTTTATTCAATGATGTTCACACCAACTTAAGGAGAAAGGTATGAAGTTTGAATGATATTATTTTGAAGTGAAAATAAATATTTTTCATAAAAAAAAAAGGTGATTTTTCTCAGAAAATTGGGCATAATTTCTTAATGCTAACCCTCGAGTGATATTTTTCACAGCCAAATCGAAGATTAATTACCAGTGAATAATTCCAATAGCTGTCTAGATACTATAACATCACCCGAAAAGGTCCAGAAGTTTACTGATTGATCGAAAACTTGTTGCGCATAATTGTTTTTCACAGTCAGTTTCCATTATTTCATCTTGATGTTGTCATTTTCAGACAGCCAAGTCATCAAGGATTCAGGAAAACAGTTTGGCACAGGTTTGCTTTAAGAACTTTACATTCTATGAGGTGTTTAAAATGTAACTGACGAATGGGATTTTTTTTTATTTGCCGAATATTTTGTTTACGCGCCATGTTGGATTTTCATATATGACAAAAACCAGGATTTTAAACAGCCGTGTAAAATGTAATGTTGATAAATCAGGTATTTAAAAAAAAGTATTATTTCAAAAACGTGTAAATTGATTTCCTGTACTTGGAAGCCATAGTTAAGAATATAATTCTTTTACATCATTAAATATATTTCAATTACTTCTTAACATAGAAAATGGCTGAAGAAGGGTAACAATAATTTTCTATTGCTTTTGCATAGGTAAAATTTAATATTTGAAATTGAATACAATCAACTCAATTTCTCACCCTCTTCTTTAATTTCTTTTTTCCTGCCTTCATTTCTTAAATGATTAGTTGTCTCATTGGTAATTTGGGATTCATTATTTTTCCTAGTTCATGAAATGAAAATAACAATCATTAATAATTTTTTAATTAATATTTCTCTCACTGCAGTTTCAGTTGTTTTTCATTACGACTCTTTGACCCCTATTCAGATAGCTTGCTGATGATTTTAGAATGTTGGGTTGTGATAAAAACAATAGTGAAGAGAAAATATCATCCTGAACTTGCCATAAAAAAGTATTCATTGGAGATACATGCCTGAAACTTTGAATCTTAACTAATTTTTCAACAAAGCTTTTCTTTTCTCTGTAATATAAATTACTTTTGTTGTGGATGTTTTGGAAAATTTTGTAACTTATGCAATTTTTAACTTGTCAAAAAAGGACAGTAATGACTATAAAATTTGTTTCATAAAATGAAATTCTTATTGTAAAGCTTTAAACTAATTTATCCTCAAACTAAAGAAACTGAAATGAATAAAAATACATTTATTGGAAATGATGAAAAAGTCTTTCTGGATAGTTGGAATGGTCCTCCTAAATTACCTCTTCTAATTGTGGTTTGCAGTTCAAATTTGTTTATAAGCCTCTACTAACACCAATATTACGGTAACACTCCATATCCTATCATATCTTATGGTATTATATCAAAGTCCAATCTAAAGACAAATGATGACACCACTTGTGCAATATCCTTTAATAAAGGCCATCAAAAATAATAATTTCAGCCTTTGGTTGGAATTAAATTTTTATTATAGTACTGGAAACTTATTAGATAATTGCGGAAAATATGTTCATTTGTAAAAATTACTAGGTAGTTAAAAACCGAAAAAAATGCGTTCACTTAGATTTCTTAATTTTGTATCAATTCTAGCCAGCCATACTAGCTGTCATCACATCGTCACTCATTGGCCATTCATTATCACCTCAGATAAGCTATGATAAGCAGGACCAATCATTAAATAAATGGTTGTATATTATTTTTTTTATGCTATAAGTAAGTAATATTTATTTCAAATCAGATTAATTTAACTTTAAATTTTCTAATTTTACTCAAATAACATGTCAGAAATATATATAACTTTTTTTTTTTTTTTTAAATAATTTTAAAATCGATAATTTTTTTTGTTTACAAATTTCTTAAAATTAAGGAAGTGGCCACTTTTAAGAAAATTTTAAGAAATCAAAATTAAATTTGAAATTCCACTCTATATAATTTCTATGTGAAATACACCAGAATATTCTACTTATTGGAAATAATAAATTTAATCATTTAGCTTTCAATTAAAACTAAAATGAAATCTTCAAGAATGTTTTTTCATTTTTAAAAATTCATCTTAAACTTTAGGTATCAAAAATGTATGCTGAAATATTGGAGGTACCTAGGTACCTCCAGAATAATTGAATCGCTAAAAAAAGAGCATAGCTTGATGAAAAAAGACGCCAACCTTGCCGAAAAACAAAATTTTATCGTCTAAATGCTTGTGTTATTATTAACAGGAAAGACCAAAGTTTTTTTTAATTATTTAAAAAATTTTCCTTCTTTTTAGAACATTCTAAATTTTGATTAAAAAAAAAAAAATCTCTTTGTATCACCGAACTAGTAAAATAACATAGACAATTTTTAGCACATTTTTTTTTTTATGACACACATTAATTTGGAAAATCTTGCAAAAATAAAAATAATTGTCGAATGTTAATGAAACTTTCAGAAACTATTCACAGATGATGAAAAATTATTATAAATATGTTTTTTTTTTAAATTTTTTAAAAGTCATGGCAGAAATATTTTTTATTTTATTACCCCCCCCCCTAACTAATTTTTTATGGAAAACATATAAATTCGACCGCATCGGGTTTAGTGATTACAATAGCTAAAAGCACAAGGCTTTGAGGAATGCAAATCATGTTTTTTTTTTTTTTTTAATTGGACCCCCTACCTGAAAATCAGCTCTGAATTGTAACATACAAAACTCAATAAAACAAAGATATTATTTAATTTCAAATGCTTTTATTTGCTTTTATGTTTATGAATATGGACAATATTTTCTGAAAGCAAAAAATTTTTTCGATGAAAAATGAACTTTTAATACAATTATTTATTTTTTAATTATAATAGATTTTTACATTTAAGTTGTTAAAATATAAAATTAGTTAAAAGCTGCATCGGGTTTCCTAAGTCTCCTTATGAGATAGATCTTTTTTTAGTGCGTTGTAAATTGTATCATTTTGACTAATCAGAATATCTGCAGTGATAAAGAAATGTAATTTTGTGTTTATAATCAGGCTGTAATTATAAAGTATAGAAGACCAAACAGAATACAATTGTGTTATTTGAGTTAAGCATTGCTCTCCGCTGTTAAGGCCTTTACTTTTGTGAAACATGTGGAGAAGTTAATTTGATTTTTCAATTTCAACTGAGAAGGGTACCTACAAGTATCAGTATCATCTTATGAAATTTATATGATCTTATTTTTATATTAATCTCAGTTATGACATTTTTCCATAAATGAAATATCAAAATTAATAAAATGAATGGAAATACAAATAACACAGTAAAATGTACATAAAATTATAGTATTTTATGTATACTTCTGATAAAATTTCATAAGAAAGGTACCTATAACTTAATTAGGTATCTTTCTTATGAAATATGAAATTTAATCTCACTCTTAACACTAACAGTCTTATTTTAATTTCTTTAGACTATATTTTCCATAAAGCATCGTAAACGTAAAGGTGAAAGCTAAGTACAAAAAAAATTAGCTGAAAATGTACCACTGAAAGTTTTCCTTAAAAATAATGAGGTAAATAATTTGTTCACTTAAATGTAAATTATTTCACTTTTCTCCTTCTGTAGAACAAATTATCCTCATGGAATCCGTCAATATGTCATTCATCACCTGTCAAGTGACGCGAAAGTTTATGACCTGCCTTGTTTTATTTTCAAATTACATCTTTTCAGCGGAGAAGCTAAATTAAGCTTGGTTCGAAATATTTTAAATAAACATTATAATTTTTGGTTTTCTTAAAATAAGTTTTGAAAAAATGATAATTGATATTTAAAAGAATTTCAAAGTGAGATTTCTAGTTTTTTTTATAAAATGGAAAAAAAATGGTCAATTTTGCTGACTCAAAAAAACAAGATTTTTAACAAAAATTTCGGACGTTCTAGGAACGATTAAAAAAAAATGTAAAAAATACCCCAGAAATACTTTGATCTTTCCTCTTAATAAACATAAACATTTAGACGATTAAATTTTGTTTTCGTCAAGTTTAGCGCCTTTTTCATCATGCTATGCTCTTTTTTTAGCGATCTATGTACCTATGGTACCTATGTTAATGGTTAACAAAGTTTTGTTGACATGCTACACTAAAAGCACAAAAAAAATCAAATTTTCAGTTTTTGTTTTTTTTTTTATCTCTAAAAAATCAAGTTTTGATCTAAAAAGTGATACATTGAAATGAATATGTAAAAAAAGATTCTTAACTTTTACAAAGAGATTAACAAGCAAACTTATTTTTCTGCTTGCTGGAATACATGTTTAAATATAAAATAAAAATTTGGATGTGTGTGAATTAAATGGTATATGGAAGTGTTATGATGTTGATTTGGGGTTAGTAGAGACAAACGCCAAATAACATGTAACAATAAAAAGGGTTTTAATAGGTTGGTAAAAAGGTACAGAAATCGCCTGAGTAGTCAATAACTAGCTCAGCTAAGAACTTCTCTGTCTATCTGTCTTTTTTATGTCAACTGACATGCCACTATTTTAAGTCTTTGTTCACAGACGCAGACAAGTTCATCTTCAAGAGGGGTGGTAGGTTTCCGACACAACAGGAAGTGTATCTTAATCAAGTACCTCCTCAAGCAAAAGATGGTAAAAACATTAAACATTATCCAGGATTAAAAATTTTACTGTACATAAGACTGGGTAGAGATAAACATATTGGGTGAAATTGCTGTACAATATTTAAAAAGTCAATATGCAACTTTATGCCTACAACAGAACATTTTTATTTGCTTAATTACTAAAATATTTTTTTTTTTTTTTTTACATTTTTATTGAAAACAAAATCCCTATCAACAAATTCCTGGCAAAACACTAGAAGACCTAAGTAGCACTGTCAAAGAAATGAATGCAAACTTCATTTTATTACTTCAGTATAAGTTAAGAAGATATTTTATGTTTATAATTAATTGATTGAATTAGTCACATTTTTCTTTTCAAATAGTATTGATGTATTTAATTAATTTAAAACATTGTTGTCTTTTTCATTTTTTTCCCAATATTCTTGGTTTGCATGTAAATTTAAAAAAAAAAACAAACAAAATTAACATGTTAATGTGGACATGCATGCAAATCTGTTGTGATCTAAATTCTTGAAGTTTTGGTTCTAATTTCAGTTTCTGGTTCTTTGGATTCATCCTTGATGGTTTGGCATTTCAAAGATCGAATGAGAGCCTACAGGTTTATGGGACACAAAGTGAGTAGAGGTCAAATTATATGTTACTTGGTTACTTGTATAATTTATTCTTTTAAAGATAGATGACTTCAACAATTCATCTCCCTCCTTTAAGTTTGACAGTAATGAAAACTTTATAAAATGTATCAATACTTAAACAGAAAATTTGTTTAATCTTCATTTAGAGAATCTATAACTATTTATTTTTTATAATTGAAAAAAAATCTAACAGCCAAACATTGGAAAATCAATTCAAATTTGATTTCTTTTGCCATAGCAAATTGTTTAAAAATTGTCAGTATTTTTTGTAGATTTCAAAATAAAAATTGAAAGCCTATCTTTCCTGCAATGAAACTGTGAGGTCCTGGTGATTGTCAGTTTTTAATTGATAGGAGATTAAGTAATAGGCTGTATCTGGCTTAATTCATTAAGAAAAAGTTATGCTTAAAGGGGAAAAATGTTACATGAGGGAACTTTTTTTCCTCATACATTCTTCTTTTTAACAACCATTTTGCTTCTATTGCATTAGAGAATTATGAGAAGAGCAAATTTTCTTTTACTTGCTTCAATTCTCATCATGCTATCAAATGTCAAATTATCTAAGACATTTATTAAGTTTATTTAAAACTTGTTGATTTTGTTTTATTGTATTGCAGTGTTTTTCAACCTTTTTTTACTTCAGGGTGCACTTGTAGAATAACTCTATATTCCTTAAGGAAAAATTAGTCATGAAATTTGAAAATATGAAATTTTGGTTTCTAATTCTCAAAGAATTATGAAGAATCTGCTACTTTTTTTTTTTTTTTTTTTTTTTTTTTTTAGAGAAGCTGATAATGACTGATGTAAATCCCCTGAGGGAGGTAAAAGGAAAAGGATTATCCACTCCTTAAGGATTAAGTATCCAGTTTAAAATCTCAGATGACAAAGACTTGACTTAGACATGGAAGCCATGTACTTGATGTCTCTAGCTTTTTAAATAGATTTTTTGCATATAAAAATAATTTATAGATTTCTCTTCTGTTAACTGGGGTGCACCTGGCTACCTTTCAGAGTGCATTATTGTACCCATTGAGAAATGGTGTTCATGTATACTGTTTCTCTATTATTTATAATTGTGGATTTGTAATTGAATCTACAGCGTGATGCTATAGTTGAAATCAATAGGTTTTTTTTTTTTTTTTTTTTTGTTTTTTTAATGTGAGACTAAAAAATGTTCATAATGTAAAATGTTACTAATTTTAACATTTTTCATTTACAGGTCAAAAATCTTTAAATTCACTGAAAACAAATCTTAAAATTTATTTTTTAATATTGATTCTGTTTATATTAAACTAATTACTCACCTAAATTGTCAGTTTTTTCCTCTTAGGATGCAGTGCTCCATGTCTGTTTTGCCCCAACTGGAAACCTTATTGCTTCTGCATCTCGTGATCAGACCGTCCGACTTTGGGTTCCATCAGTGTAAGTGACTACTAATATCTTCTGCTGCTTAATTAAAAACTAAATAAAACTTTGACAAATTAATGATGGTATTTTGGATAAATTTCCATGATTTTTGTTGGAGGATTGTTAGTTTTGCTGTTTTATTAATCATGATTTTACAGGCAGAAATATTTTTGTAATGTCTATTAATCACAAATTTCTGTTCATAAAAATATTATCTTAGTGATATAGGGTAGAATAGACTTTTTTTCTGTTTTGTCTGTAAAGCTTTCAAATGGTTACAAAAGAATGATTTCTTCATGATTTATTTATTATTCACTAACTTAAAAATGTTTCTTTTGATTCTATTTGAAGAAACGCTTTTGATTTACCATCCACATTAACTCACCTGAGGCAGATTGGATTTTGGAGAGGTTTTCTTATATTTTGTCTTTTATAAAGAAAGTAATTTTCAATTTAATTTTTCTTGTTTAACACAGTTTTTACCAAAATAACATTTTAAGCAACACAGGCTGTGTTTCACTTCAGTTCCATCAATTAAAATTAACAGGTTCAAATTTCAGTGATGCCTTTTGCTCTAATCTCACTTTTATTGTTCTTATCATTATATCAAACTTATTGTCCCATCAGTAAAAATTTATTACTGAATAACATAAATTCACATATATAATCCCAAAGATAAAAAACTCAAAATAATTAAATATATAATAGCTTGACAAATTATATATGTAAGAATTTTTAAATAAGTTTTTAAAAATATTTGGGGCTATTATTTTGATAAAATTTCAGTCTTTTGATTGGTAAGCATATTAAAAATACCTATTTCAATTCTTCTCTTTTTTTTTTTTTGTGTTCCTTTTAGAAATTGCATTTGTTGATTCTAATGATATCCTCATTATCATTTAAAAATTTTTATTGATATGTTTTGGATATTTTTGTGTTGTATATAAATCAATCATTGCATCAACTGGGGTGCACAGATTTGAAAGTGCTGCACAAACTAAATGGACATTTTTCATAATAAAAAAAAAAAGGTAGACAATAAGTATATGAAATATAGTTGTTTGCTTTCTGCTCTTTCTTTTACTTGATACAAGAAACAGTTTAAGACACTGAAAACGGTTTGCATATACTTTGCATATACACTGACTTTATTTATTCTTTCCATTTTTAGTCATTGTACAGTAGACTGTACAAAAGTCAATGTTTTGGAAACTATATTCACTTGTAGTAATAGGACAAAGTCACTGGAACCATAAACTGTTTTTACAGCATTTGTTTGTAAGTTACTAATTAGTAATGTCCCAAGAAACAAAACTAATTTTTCCAATCAACTTCACTGTTTCAGGAAAGGTAGGCTTAGTTTAATAGAAAATGTCTGCTACCAAAACAAGAAAAATAAAGTAGTACATTAGAAAGTAGCTTTTTATATAAAGGGTATAACTTGGTTTTATTCATATTCTTTTATGGAAATGTGTAATTTATTTCTTATATAATTATAAATGTATTGTAGGGAGATTAAAAGGATTTTTTTTGGTAGGAAGAGAATATGTCACATCTCCTTTTACCAGAGTATTATGTATGATGTAAATGAAAACAAACAAGATTCATACTCTGATGTGAAATTTGAAAGAAAAAACATAAAATAATAGCACAGAATATAAAATTTACAAAACATGCTGGCATAAAATTTTCCTTTGCATGTCTTACACATTTTTGTTATGTTTCTTTCTTTGTCTATTTCTTCCTTTCATCATTGTCAACTTAGTATTTTCAGAAACAGCTCATGGTTATTCACCTGTGTATGCCAAAATGCTTTTGGTCCTTAGACTAACTCAATTTCTTAAATACTCACAAATTGGCTCCAGATTCAATACAAAATTTCAAATTTATGGGGCATAACCTACTTTCTCCATTAGTTAAAAAACAAAAAACAAACCCAAAATGTATCTTTTTAAATCACACCTATTCACAAACTTTATTTTGGCAGGTTTTCAGATCCTAAGACTTGAGATTCTTTTTTTATAAATTCGAAAACCAAATTTTACTTGTGTATCTTTTTCATAAACCATCAAGCCTTAATTGCCTTCACAGGCATTGTCTGTTGAATACTGTCAACACTTGGCCCGTCGTACAAACCAAGCATTGCTCTCAGCCGGTCACCTGGTTTATTTTATAAACCTTGATTCTCTGGGAATCAATTGTTATCAATTTATCATTCTTCATATTCATTTAACCCTTTCCATGGTAGTTTATTTATGGCTCTTTTACCACCTCAAATTAACAAATTTTATTCATGTCATTTTTTATTAACTGCCTGGCTTCACTATAGCTGTTCTTTTATATCAACTTATTCAAGCCATTTTTATTAACCTGGTTAGCAGTTTTTTTATTTAAAGAATACATGTTAGAAACTTTCTTCTTTTTATAAATCTTTTTCAAACACTCCCTTCAAAAGAAAGTGTAAGAAACAAACCTAATTTATTGTCATTTTTTTTTTAACACTATTTTTATATAACTTACTTTTCTCTTTAGTTATATAAATTTTTATAGGATTTTATTTTCTTGTAAGTTCAGGTCTCAAATACATCTTACTATTGTTTTTATTTCTCATATATAGTTTCCATGTTTTCTTTTTTAATTCTTCTTTGATCTATGACACTCAATAAGTTATTAAGATTTCTCCTTAGATTCAATTCAGCCAAACTCAAAACAGTTTATCAAATGAGATTGCAGGGAAACAAGTTGGATAGGATCATTGAAATTTGAAATATTGGGTCTCTTGATAATTTCTATATAGTGTGTGTGACACATTTATTAATTGCTCTTCTACAGGAATGGGTCTTCGAAAACACTCCGCGCACATATCTCTGCTGTTCGTAGTGTTGAGTTTAGTCATGATGGAGCCAGTATGTGCACAGCTTCAGATGATAAAACTGTCAAGGTATTTGTTTTTCTTGTATTTAAAGAAAGATAACCTTAGGAATTTTTATTAATTATATAATTATTATTTTAAAAAAAAAAAAAAAAAATGTATCTTAACACATTTTTTTAATAATTGATGTATCTCTTTACATGTGTAACACCTTCATCATGGTCAGCCCAGGGTGAATCCTGGTTTGATCAATGGAGTGATCTCTTCGATCCTGACCTGCCCCACCCCATGTGATTGATTGATTATAAGGAGGCTAAGATCGATTCATCTCGGGTATCTTCATGTTGGGCTGGTCTAAGTTGAGCGAAGTCATACAGTAAAATTGGAGAAAAAAAACAGCACTTGAAATATATAAAAAAATATTTACTATTTTTATATTGAATGCTGTGTACAATGGTTCGTTAGTTGTTGTTAGAGTCTAGGTGTCAGCTTACACGTGTTTGTCAACCCAACCCATTCCTAAATCGGACGCAACACTTGGGTAAGCTCATAAGTTTTGTCTTTCAGGGTTAATGAAAATTTATTTTACTGATTTGGTAAGTTTTGTTCAAGGCTCATGTCGAAGGTTCTCATGTTCAGCAGGAGTTGTGGAATCTCTCAGTGACTGCCGCTACTTCTCTTCTGTCTCTTCTCAACTCTGAACTCGCTTTGCACATTCGTATTTATGGACTCCAACTAGAAACTTGGTGAATCCCCTGATTTCTAACAAGAGTCCATTTTTGTCTGCCAAAACAAAACTGGTGTAGTGGTGAGATGTAGTTGGTGGGGAATTGGTATTTCATCCACCTGTCATTTCCATTGTTTTTGGTCCTGAGAAATTAAATTAGTTCATAATTTTGGGGAATTCTCCTTCTTTCATGGGTGCAGGCATTGCTTTGTCTGGTTACTTCTACTTTCTCTTACCATCTCCCACCAGTGCTCTCCAGTAGGTGCAGGCAGCTCTTCCTCCTTCCTTGATTGGTCTTCTGTGCCATTCACCTCCACCATTCAGTCAAAGACTAATTAAAAAAAAAAAAAAATTATTGTTCCAAATGCTATGACCTCATAAGTGAATTGACACAACAACTGGCTTTCTCACCTTTGACCCGAGATGCTTTCCTAGGGAAAATTTTGCAACTCACATTATGGTGACAATTCGTTCGGCTGAAGATCAACATATCTGCAGGTATTCAGCTTATTGTTTTCAATCCTGACATCTCTGCAAAAATATTTTATTTGTAACTGGATTTAATCCAATTCACTTCATGTTGATTTCACAAGCATTGTCTGTTGAATACTGTCAACACTTGGCCTGTCGTACAAACCAAGCATTGCTCTCAGCCGGTCACCTGGTTTATTTTATAAACCTTGATTCTCTGGGAATCAATTGTTATCAATCTATCGTTCTTCATATTCATTTAACCCTTTCCATGGTAGTTTATTTATCAATATCTCATTTTCATTAATATTCCAAGTCTTTATTATTATTAATTACCAGCAACACAAATAGTATTATACATGTATAAATAAAAACAAATCTACAACAGTGAAATAAGATGCAATTTGAATCCATAATTAGATTAGTACAATACAATTCTTCCAAAAATAAAGTGCAATTACATTTTATTCAATTATATATTAACCATTATTTGCAAAGACTTGTTGCCTCTTATCAAACAGCTCTTTGATACCTTTTGAGTAAAATTTCACAGTGAAAAAAACTTTGAATTTATTCACATTTTTCAAAGTTTAACACTATTTGTTTAGATTTGGTCTACTAGCCGCCAGAAATTTCAAGTAAATTTACATGAACATTCCAACTGGGTACGAATTGCAAGGTAAGAGAAACCAATTTTTATTTCTTTAACCTAACTTTACTGAACGTAGAAAAATGTATATTTTTCTTTAAATCTAAGAACAAACCATTTTTCCAATATAATGGAAAAAATTTTGTAATTCTTTTTTACTTTATTCCATTAAGTGCTTTTGCATGAGAGATCAATGATGTAAAATTTCCAATCTTACCTGATTTCTTTTACTCTCATGAAATTTGGTATTTTCTTCTATGATTAATATTATGCTTGTTGAGATAGGAAAAAATCTAATTAACTTTTAAAGACTTGTGAGGAAAATCAAAATTTATTATAGGTAAACTCAACTCTTTTCTATCAAATCACATCAGCAGCATCCCTTTTTGACATTACCAATTTTGTGCTTGGAATTTTTGCATTAAGCAAAAAAGCTTAATGCAAAAATTCAAAGCATTTGTATGATGTGAGAAAAATTTTAGAAGTTTCTTTGAAGTCTACTTGTTTTTTAATACTTGTGCAAACACTTTTTAGAATTGCTTACAGAAAACTGATTTACTTTATTTTGATGAAAAACTTGGCTGAATATAAACTGTGCATTAAATGTTGAATGTGAGGGGTTAAAATGCAGTGGGAGTTTTGAGTTTTGTCCATTAAATTAATTTTTTTGAGTTTTTGAGTAGTGTTGCTGGGTAGTGTATTTCCTCCGTCTTGTTAATTTAGACATTTTTTTTTTTTTTACTGTTTAGGTAGGTGTTTTTTGTTATTCTCAGCTTTTTTCTTTTTGGTAGAATTTGAAGATATTCTTTTTGTTCTAATTCAAATTTAATGTAATGCTTGATATATCTTCTACATTGAATAGTTTTATCAGACATTACTATAAATCAGTTAGAATTATTGTCCATTTGGATATTTTTCAGTAATTCCGTTACTGCTTTCTTATCATCAACTGTATATCGATTTAAGAATATTTTATTTATATTTGCCAACTCATAATTGCCCATATTGGTTATTCCACATAAGTCTCTTTCCCAATGGCAAGCAATCATGTCAATCACAGATTCTTCTAAATAGTCTCTTGGCATGTTTTCATTCTTATAATGCTCAGGATGATGATCTTCCTTATAGTAATGGTCCTGTAAAGCATCTTGCCAAATTTCATCCTCCCAAGAACAAGAATGAACAAATCTTTTTGTGTACCCAATGACCTGTTTAAAACTGTATTTGCTTTGATCATGCTTTTTTATCTGAAACTCTTTCACTGTTGGAAAATAAACTTTCAATCTGTTGAATGTCTTCATAATATATGCTTGATGGCTTTGTGTATATTCAATATGTTTATCTGCATGATAAATATCGACTAATAACTTGTAATAAGGACTTGAGATTTTTTTGTTGTAAACTGACAATAGTGCTTCACTCTGCTGCTCTTCAGTCCAGTCACACATGCTACTTGCTAAATAACTCACAGAATCATCAGTCTGTAAAGGTTTTTCTCTCTTTTGGGGATTTGTCAATGATAGGAGAGATTTTATTTCTTCTATATTGTATGGAATTGACTCCATTGTTTTATGGTCTTAGACTTTCTGGGTATCTGGCTTTGAATGCTTTTGAAAATTCTTTTCATCAGATTCTGAAAATAGAAGAAGAATTATTATTTCAATTATTATTATTATTTTTTTAAATTGAAAAATAAAAAAATGTTCTTTTTTATTAATTTAAAAAAATATTTACAAATAAACTATAACATTACATTTGGGTGGTTGGGGTACCACATATGCATAGCAACAGCAGAGTGTCTAAAGCAGGTTTTGAATTCAGAGTTTTCTATCTCTTAGTTGGCCTTGCTATTTAATGCATAGCTGGTGATGGGAGAGTGGGGAGGAGATGGATTCAGACTTTTTCCAGGGGTATTTGTGTGAAAGTGAAAATAAAAAAAAATTGGCCAGTAAATTTCTCTAACCACATAACCTGATGAACAAAAAAAACAGGAAGAAATGATAAACTATAATACAGTTAAACAATTACTAATTAATGTAAACTTTTCACTTAAACTAGATGCTTTTCTTTATTTGATGATTTCAATAATATTTTTCATATGCAAAAATTAAGCTGGTCTAAAGTTATTGATTGTTTCAAGCTTCATTCTGTACTTTTAAGCTATACTTTATTAACTTCATGTAAAACTTATACCAATTAATTTGATAAAGTGTAGAATTTTGAATCAGATCTGAAAGGTTAAAACTTTAATATTTTAATTATTGTAAAAAAAAATTTGGGTAGATGCAGATAAAAAGTTGAATCAATGACTAAATTCTTCAATTGATAAATTATAAATGCACACACACACACCCATCAAAACAAACTTTGTTAAACTCAACTGACAAGGTCATGTTTAATTTTTTTATTATATTTTTCTAGTTTTTGCATAAAATATTGTGCATCCAAATAAAATTTGGGATAAATTCTCTGCAGTTCATGTTTTGTTCAACTATTTTCAACCATCTTAGTCATTATCAAATGTCAGTGTAGTAGACAATATTTTGTTGACTACATCCTGGCTCTTATATTTTTTATTTTATTTCTATTTATTTGAACTCTGGGATTCAAAGTGATTCAACTGAAGCAGAAAAGAATGTATCAAATATTTATATGTATTCTTATTTTGTATGTATATTAAATATTTCATACACATTTTGAGGTACCATCTCCTTTGGTGAAAGATATTCAATGTGGATTGTCCTTTTTGTATAATGATGCGCAGTGAGTGCTGTATAGTATTTTGGTATTATCTACTAATATTTGGTATATATTGTATTTTGGCTGTTTGTGATGTGATTTTTTTTTTATTTTGATGTATAGCACCTTATTTGAAAAATGAAAATATACAATGAAAATTTAAGCCAGCAAACCTTACTGGTTGAATTTAAAACTTATTTAGATTTACTGAATATTTATATATATATATATATATATATATATATATATATATATATATATATATATATATATATATATACACATACACATACACAGTGGGTGGATACAAATTTTTGTACGCATACAAATTTTTTAATTTATTGTATTTCCAACTAATGAGTAAACACACTTTTTATATAATTAACTGTACACAGATGCATAACTAAATATGCTTAGAAAACAAAAAAATTTGATTTAATTTCACTTGACTTCTCTTCTTACTAGGCAACATCCCCAGTTGAAATCAAATTGAAGAATTTTTTAATGAATTGATTACATTTGTAATATTTTTTTTTTTTTTTGGAAAGACAAATTATTAGAAAAGGGTACACTTTGCTGCCAAGATTAAATATATTGAGGCTGAAGAGGCATATTTTTATTAAATTAATTTTTTCAATTAGTAATTTTATATTGAATAGACTGGTACATAAAATGCACTAATTCACCATGATTTTGATATTTTCATTGATTCGCTAATAGATACAACAATACTATATATTTGAAATAAACTTTGAAAATAATAAAACAAAAACAGTTAATTTACTTCGGAATTGTCAAGCAGAGAATAAACAGAAAAATAATTTTGATTGTTGATACCAAAATTGTAAGAGAAAAATGTATTATTGAGAACATATTGTTGAACAACTTAAATTGCTTTAATGAAAAGGAAATCCTATCATTGATGTTTCTTTGAAAGAAATCTATGGTTTTCTTAATTTAGATAGCAAAATAATCTGTCCATTAAATTAATTTTTGTTTTTAATAATATTTCTTTTATCTCTGGAAAAGGCAGGGTGTGGCAATTTAAGGGGGTGGGAGTAGAACTTCACAGAAGTGATTAGTTGAGAAAAGGTGGACCTAAAATAATAACTAAACCTGATTGTAACATGTGAAATTCAAGTAACCAGTCTAAAAATAAATTTCTTTGAGTTGGAAGAATAGTAAAACCATAGAGGAATGAGAAATTAAGTAAAAGGGATAATTAATCAAAATAAATAAAATTAACATTTTGGATGGGGCTTTGAAAGGCTGGGAATTGAACTTAAAATTAACTTGAGCAAAATGTAAGGAATGAGAAATATTAATATGGAATATACTTTTAGAAAAGTATATTTTCTTTGAGGTAAAAATCCATATCCAAAAGTTGAAAAAGAGAAAAAAGTTGTAATGGTGTTATGATTCTAAAAATCCATATGGCTCTAAAATAATGTTTAATGTTGGCCATTTTCTCCTGACTGTCAATCTATAGGCAACTGGAATCCTGCAGACATTTTTTGAATTTTGACAGAAATTATAAAGGAATTTACATTTTCAAATTGTCAAGTGTAATCAAGTTATGAGGTTGAAAGCAGGCTTCAGAATAAAGACTCTTTTTAGGTAAAATTGATTAATGAATGAATTTAAGTAATTTGTCTTGTCACTAGGAATTTTTATATAAAGAACACCATTACTAGGCTCAACAGTTAGGCGTGAGATAGACAAGACAGACTAAAATCCATGCCATGTAATCTAATAAAAGGAAGCAATGAAGAATAGAAGATGTGTTTGACTTATAGGAGACTTCATGCATTAAAATGAATCAAGAACTGACCATTGTCATGGAGATTAAACTAGACATCAGTTTAACCTGATTTGAACTAGACAAATGAAAATTGGAGCCCCCAACAAAATCGTCCTTCCAACAGAAATGAAAAATTTTGATTTAAAGGCTAAAGAAGAAAAGTATCCCATTTCTACTAACTGTAATCTACCACTGCCTTAGAAACAAGAAAGAGCTAAAATGAACTTTAATGTTGACAGAATCGATCTATTTAATCTTATTGCATTTGAAACTAACCTGTTCAAGTTAGTGCATTTATAACCAGCATCCTTTGTATCTGTAGATTTTTCAACCAGTTCTACCAACAGACTTCCTCAGATCTAGAAAGCTAACATCGGTTAGGGTGGGGAAAAACAACTATTGGAGTAATGTCTGCAAACCTGGTAGTCTTATGTTTGTTATAAGAGTATGTCAAACAAATTACCAAATACAGTTAACTTTGAAATTAGCTTATATAGTACATTTTTGTTTGTTCAAAAAATGCTGAAGATTTAAAAAATTTAAATAGTTCTTGTGTATGGCAATAAAAATTATGCTTTATTTTTACTTTATTTCAAATGAAGGCAGGTTAGAAATGATTTATTCTGACCTTTCAGATTTTCTAAAGATTCCAAGCTTGTGGCTTCAGGGAGTGATGACAAAACTCTGCGTTTATGGGACATACGGTACAAGAAAAGTATTCAAACTTTTAATGATACAGGGTAAGTTTTTTTTTTTTTTTTTTTTTTTTAAATTTATTTTCAGTTGTTACTTATCTGAATTATGGCATAAAAGTACCTTTTAATTATTTACTTGATGTAAAATTAAAAGACTACCTCCTATTGATTTCAAGTAATCTGGAATTACAAATAAGAGATGCAATATGTGCTCAATTTAAACTCCTGCAAATTTTCTTTGAATTTGCACAATTCAAACCATGCATTAAAATCCTTAATTTCACTGCAAAAATAGCCATTTTAACTGTTACTATATAGTTGGAAATGTCCATAATGCCATAACTTGTCACTTAACAAAATTCTATTTATTTGATACGATACACCTGTAGTGGATATGAATAAAAGAAAGATTTTTTTTCTGATAAGGAAATTAGTAAAAAAATGAAGAGCAAGATTATAAAAGAGCAAAAAAAAATTGATGTAATAAAGAGGTACAGGATAGGAATTTCAAAATGCATAGAAATCTTGAGCTTCATGAAAATATAGAACAAAATACAGGATGCAATGTGTAAATTGTTACCATTTTATATTTTTAATTTTGTCAAATGCACATTATAGTAGGATCAGTTGGGCACTGTCTGTGAGAAAAAGAGCACCCTGATGCAATTTATTCCTGTTTGGGTGTCAAAGTGCAGAGGATTTGGAAAGAGTTGGATGAGTCTAATGGCGATTACGAAGGTATGGCAGCTCAGAAAACTTGCTCTGATCATTCTGATGGGAAAAGAATTCCCAAATTTGTTGGAGATCCAGGCCATGATTGATAATGATCCCTCCAAGTCAATCATGTCCATAGCCAGGGACACAGGAGTGTCTGAATTTCTTATCAGGCAGGTAGTGCATGAAGACATTGTGTATTTCTCATACAAGATGAGAAGGACAATTTTTATCCCAAGCCATAAAGGACAAGAGAAAAGACTGGGCTATGAAACTTTTGAACAAACTCTAGCATCTCCTGTAACTGAACATGCTATAGTTTTTCTCAGATGAGAAAAATTTCTGCCAGGATAAGATGGTGAACAACCATTGGTTTGCTGTGTCCCCAAAAGATGTACAGAGATTGATGAAAATCCAGTCAGCATCATGGTGTTTGGAGTGATCACTAGTGATGGTGACATTATACCTTCATTCATCTCCCCACAGGGTCTCAGACTCAACATGAAGGCCTACATCAAGTGCCTTGTGGAGGTAGTGCTGCACCACGCCACAAGCAGGAAAGCCCAGTCATGGCTGTCAGACAATTTTTGCAACCACATCACCCCTTACATCCTAACTCCCCAGACTGCCACCCCTTGATTATTTATATGTGGGGTACAGTTGAGTGAGAGACCAACAAAACTCCTTGTAACACCAAAGATGAACTGAAGGCAAGGATTATGACAGCATTCGCCAACTTAAACAAGAAAATCGTCCAGAAGAGTGGCAGGAGATTCTGAAGCCATTTGGAGGCTGTGGTTGAAATAAATGGCGATTTTATTGAATAAATTTAATCTTTAGTATTTCAAGATATTTTTATGTAATTTTGGTAAATATATCTGTTAAAATGAGATGTCAGTGTTATATTCCTTTTTGTGTAATTTAGATGACAACTTATCCATCACACCCTGTATTGCGATGTGTTTTAAAAATGTATTAAGTAGTATTCACAAGTCACTTAGGACATTTACTAATATAAGCTATGTTATTATTGCTGTTACTACACCATGTAGACCTTTTACATTCTTTTTTTTTTTTTTTTTTTTTTTTTTTATATAAATCAGGCAGCCTCTCCTACAAATATATCATTACAATTACAAAGCATGAGGAAGAAAGGAAAGTTGGAAATGGATAATAAAGATCTTAATTTACATCGACAAAAACAAGAGAATAAATCTGGGAACTTCTAATCCAAAGATAAAGGAATTATTAAGTTATGAATTCTCATTTTATTAAATGTCTAAAGTTTTAAAAATAGAATTTTACATTTTGTAATCACAAATCAAATGGTTTTTTCAAATTTGAATTGTAATTTTGTTTTGTCAAATGTGCAGATAAATTTTAATTTAATCTATGCAATCATTTTAAAAAAACTCATATTTTTTAATCATTGTGTCATATGACTTCACATAGATATTGCTATTCTCTAACAGATAAAATTAATGTTTTGAGTTTCTTGTTAATAAACAATGTCTATTAAAAAACACTGTTCATTTCTTCAATCATTAGACATTACCTTGTTCATATATTTAAATATTAACAAACACTATCATATCTTCAGTGAGAACTAGCAGATGGACTAATCAATGCTCAAAGTTAAAAATCTACTTTTAGATATTAAAAACTTGTTGACATTAGTACAGTTTTATTATTACTTCTCACCAAAATAGAATTTGGATGGTTTAAATTTGGGTCAGAATTTTAGCATGACATTATGGAATGCTTAGAGGGGTAATAGTCACCAATAAAATACATCTGTGAATAAGGTCTATTAAAAAGGATTAGAAACTTTTTACTATATATTGTGTGCAATAATTTGTTGTAGCCAAGTAAACATTTTGCATATTATTAATATTTTGTTCCATAATAAAGTAATATCTAAAAAATTGGTTTCTGTTTATGTATTGTTACTATTTCAAAGAAAAGGTTGACAATCTACACATTTTTGTTTTTGTAGATTTATTTATGATCTTCAATTTCATCCATCTGGATTAGCAGTAGCTTCTGTAGGCAGTGACAGTTGTGTCAAAATGTGGGATATTCGAACTAAAAAACGGCTACTTCATTTTACAGGTATTTTTTGTTTTTGTTTTCTAATTAAACATTAATTTTTTTTTTTTTTTTTTTTCAAACCTTATTTTCCATCTTGTGATTGTGATCATGATAGGCATTAATAGTAAGAATACTATATTCTAAATGGAGCAATTTCTATTGACTGCAGTTACTAATCCAATGTAAACATTTGTATTCAGTCTAGTTTTCTACTAAACTGGTCATTCTTTGTGGGCATGTCCATACACACACACACACACACACTGTGACCTGCTCCTTTGGGTTGTCTTGGAAAAGAGAAAAAAAATAAAGACAACCTTAGCATGCACACACTTAACCCGGAGTCAAATCCATTTCAGTTCTCTCTCTGTAATATCACTCTCCTCTATCTTTCTCCAACTCCACTCTCTCATTAAGTATATGCTTGCTTGTTCATCTCTCGGTTGACCCCTCACACTATAAATAAATAAACAGCTGAAAAGACAATAGCAGTCGCATGGATAATAATAAAGGGGAAGATGATATGCTCAAATAAGGAGTGAGACAAATGATCATCCAAATCAAGGCCCACGTGACCAACCTAGGCTGCAAATGCAGGAAATTTAACAGTGGCATCAATTTGGGAATCAACTTTCTAGGTGATAGTATCTTAAAGAAAATATTCCCTGAATATGAGATTTAGCCATCTTTTAACCTAACCTGAAACTGAGTGAAATGAATGTTCACATTTTAACTCTTGATAAAGCTTCAACGGATCCGAATGTGACAGAAGGAATTTCTAGGAGACACCAATCCTCTGAAGATGTGATTAATCTGACACAAAGTTGAGAAGAAATTTTATTCACCTGTTGTGGAGACAACTATCTCTGAAAGAAAGAAAAGGCATTGTGCCTAATTGATTCATACACTACATGAGAGTTTATAGACTAAATTGGCAAGAAAAAGGAAATTTATAAAATGATGAACTAAAGAAAAGAAATATGAAGAGATTTGTGAAAAATAAGACAATGAGAAAAGAGGAGGTGACATTAATATATAAAAAAAAAAAAATAATGAAAAAGGAGAGAGAGAATTTTCCTTTTTTTATTTTATTTCACCTGACGACCTCTAGTTAAGTACTTTTGTCATTATGGAAATCACATTCATAATTCTGCATACATGCTCACACACACTTTCTACAAAATTGTTGTAGCATACCTATGGACGATAATGGGTATGTCCTCATTCACATAAATACAGTAGTAAATACTGTATGTTGGTCTGCAGTTGGAGATTTGGACAGCATTGAAGTCCTTACCAGACTTGATAAGACCGTCTTTACTGCCACACTAGGAAATTCATTTTGTTCTACAAACTCCGTTTTAGTTCTGAAATATTTTACTTTTTACGTTCTCTTTTGCTGACTGTTATTTGAAAACTTTTTTGATTTTTTTCTTCACTTTTTCCTTTCTTTTTTCAATTTATTACATTCACATTTTTTTTCCTTTTATTTTGTATTTATTCTATTAGTTTTGATTTTTATGTTAAAGTCTCCTTTTTAAGTTATTTTTTTCATTTTTGATTTTCTATACCCCACTCCCAGAGTTTATCTGTTTATTTTTCTACATGTTAATATTTCTGTTGTCATCAGACTTTATTTTTTCCTTGTTCATTTACTACGTGTTATTTATTACGTGTTACTTTGTTCTTTCCTTTTAAATATCCGTTAAGTGTTCTGTGTTTTATTTGTTTAATTTCTCTGTTTTCATATTTGTCCTAATTTTTTTGTGTTTATTTTTTGTCTGTTTTTATTTTTGTATTTCGTTTATCAGCAAACCTTGATTTTTAAGACGGCCATATTGAATTTTTTGTTTAGTTTATACATATTGTTTGTTTCGTATTTGTCTTTGTAGCTTGTCCTTTTTACTTTTATATTTAGTTTAAAAAAAGGTTTATTGTTATTTAAAGTGTTTTCTTTATAGTTTACCTTATTTTGTGTAATTTATTTGGGTCTTCGTCTGTATAATGTTTGTTTTTGGTTTTTCCATTTGAATTATTGTGTTCCGTTGTAATTTTGTGTATATTTATTTTTTTCGTTTGTTTGTGACCAATTGTTCATGTTTTTCTTGTCAAGTCCTTAATTTGGCTGAAAAGTTTTACTGTTTTTTTTGTTCAACTATGAAAAAAAAAAAAAAAAAAGAACCCAAAGCTCCCCCACCCCATTTTTTAATATGGTCTGTAAAAATCTTTTCGGCACCAAAAGGAAAAAAAAACTCCACCTGATAAGGATCATGAAAATAAAAAGGAAGAAGTTATGGAGAAAACAGTGGTTGATGAGGAAAAAAGCCAACAGCAGGAGGTTGTTGCTGAGATTTCTGGTGAGAGTATGGTAGCTGGAAAGGCACAATATACTGAAATCAGACAAAAACTGACAAAGCTATGAAGGCTGATAATGGTCAAATTTGACGATTTGACCGGGGGTTGGAGTTTTGAAATCATGATAGACCGAAAAGCCTTCATCGCCATCCCCCAACTGTCTGGATGTAGTGGGCCAGAAGATTGCGAATTATAGTCACCAGGTGTAGACCGACATGCTGGAAGTGTGGGCAGACTGGTCACCTGTCCTCTTCCTGCACAGCGAAGAAGGCCTCTGAGATTCTGGCCCCCATTGACCCAAATCCCCCTGCGACAGTCTGTTACATCCGTCTCACCTGTAATGGGCATGCCAGCGATCGGGACTGGTGTGGTCAAACCCCTGGTTGAGCCTGTCTCTCAGCCTCCATTCCCCAAAAAGTTTTTGCCTGCCGCTAGTGCGGTTGCGAAAAAAGAAGAGGGGGAATGGCAGGTCGGTGGTATGGTCAAAGGGAAGCTGCGAGCAGCAGGACCTCGTTCCACTGATGACCCCACGGCAAAAGACAAGCACAGCCCCACTCCTTCTACCAGTTCAAAGGACGACTCTTCAACCACTTATTCAGACAAAGCCTGTCAACAGAGGCTCAAATATGAGCTCCCCCTTCGAAAAAAAAGGGAAAACTTGAACAACTCAAACAAGCGTTAAAGGATAATCGGCATCACATGGAAAGATTAATAAGCCAAACTACATCAGTTCCGTTGTCTCCATCCTCTAAACAGCCCCCTATTGCTCCACCCCTAGTTTTACAAACAATAACCCTGACCCCTTCCAAACTGACGCCACTGAAAAGAAATTTTCCTCTTTCTAAATCCCCGCTCTGGCCTTAACACCCAAACAATCACCTGTTAAAACACCTATCAATTCACCTCTAAAAACTGAAGCCCAAAAACGTCAATGAAGCCCTTCCTCTGATGCTTCAGAATGTATAACAGAGAAAAAAAAAAAAAATTACTCTTCATTGGGGAGAAGCATTTTCCCTATCCTGCAAACCTAGACTTGAAAATACCATTAAACTTAAAAAAAAAAAAAAAAATAAACTATTTTAGTCATGGGAAAATCCTAAACATTTTCCCATGACTAAAAGGATTTTGACTGTTGTAAAAGTGGGACATGGCTCAGAAAACATCCGGTCTATGTTGGGAGAAGCTAACCACGCATTCGATGTCTACCCACCTTTAGCTTATTTTGACATTGAAAATGAGAAGAAATTGAATCAACTCCTGCTTTTCGTCCACCTCTGTCTGTATAGAGCACTTAAACTAACTTTTCCCCTGGACATTGGCAGCCTGTCTCCTGATGGCACCATCAAAAATGAGATGGGTACTGGCTCCATGGGAGAGGTCGTCGTTGTCCTAACCCCAGCCAAGTTCAATGTAGGAAAGCAACTCTAATCAGTTTTCATTATGGCTCTCTGGTTAGCAAGTATAAATGCCCGAGGCCTGAGGTCGGAGTCTTGCAGGGTGAGGCTCTCTTGTGACCTTCAGCACCTCAGGGTGAATGTTTGTTGTGTGCAGGAGACCCGGTTTTCTACTCATGACCATGAGAGCATTCTGTCTAGGGGGTTCTCCCTCTATTCAGCATCTTTTAATGGTCGCTCGAGAGGTGTCTCTTGGCTAGTGAGCAAGGCTGTGTGTACTCTTGTCTTTACAGATCTGGTGGGCAGGCTTTGCGTGCTGGATGTTACCATAAAGGATAAGGCTCTTCAACTCAATTTGAGTGGCCTGCTCTTTTTTTTTTTTTTTTTTTTTTTTTTTTTTTTTTTTGGCAGATTGAACTTTTTTTGACGACATCATGTCAGGTAGTTTTAGCAGGGGATTGGAATGCTGTTCTCGATTCCGACATAGATTGTAGTGGGCCAAAATCGGGTACTGACAACCGAGATGTGAAACCATTTCGTGATTTTATCGACAAGTTGGATATTGTTCTTCCTGTTTTGAACTTTGGCAACCCATCTTGAAATTAGGATAGTTTAGGTTTTCTTTTTTCCAGGGTGTGTATGCTCATTGGCCACTTTTATTTCTGTCCCTATTTTTCTTTAGTTTAATTCCCCATCCCCTCCTTCGTTAGGTGGTCAGTGATGTCAGTTTTCTGGTGGAATTGGGGTGCCTTTCATTTTTGCGTATGTGTTTTTCGTATTTGTAGTTGTGTCTGAATGAGTGCATGTCAATGTGAGTGCTTGGGATGATTATATTATTATAGTCCTGCATTAATTTCGTCCAGTTAAGTGACGTTTCTGCCACATTTAAAGATTGTGGGGGTTTTATTACTAACATTATTTTGTTTAGTTTCATGTAAATAATTTATATTCATATTGTAAATACTCATTGGGGCTAGTTTTTAAATTGTTGTTTTATCCCCCCCTCCCACAAAGACAATGAATTGTAAATATGGGGTATATCTAGGATTTTCATAGAGACAATGAGGTATTATGGTGGATGTAGTAAGAAAGTTAAGTAAGATTGCGTTGTTTTGGTGTTAGGAATATTGTTTTATGTCTGGGTCAGTGTTTGTGGCTAGCTAAGTTTAAAATTAAGACAGATGAAAACTGTCCTTTTCCCCACCTCCTTTTTTTGGCTTTGTGCCACATTTTGTATATTATTACAAATAAATATTGCAGTTGTCGATTCATTGTGGAATTGACTTGACTCACTTCTTGCAGTTGACTATTTTTATGCATTGCTGACAAATCTTATATGTGTTGTTCTTGTCCTAAGTATTATCGTTAATTACCAACCTTCCTGTGATTATTCAGTAACCTTCTTTAGGTTACAACAAAAACCCTGTTCATTTCAACTTTATTCTATCATTCATTTGTTGTGTAAATAAATTGTTTTGTTCTAAAGCCTTGTGTCTGTTGCCTGTCTCTATCTTATCGCCACATATGTAGATATTCCGTCCCTGAGAATTGATATTATTTCTTTTTGAACTACGTGGGATTACTTTCTTGATCCCATTTATACTGTGTTGGTTTTGTTGTATAATGAATACATATAGTCGCCGGCTATTTGTAACAACGCACACACACTCTACAGAACAACTTAGTTTACCTCATTTGCAGTAAACATTCACTTGCTGGTTTCAAGAGCCATTGTTCTCATAAGAACTAAAAATGTACCAAACTTGTCAGCAGTGATCATACATTTCAATGAATCAACAACCATCATATATTCATATTTAATTGAAGATGAAATAGAAAATAATTCTTAAATGTTATGAGAAATAACAAAAATTTATTGGATTTTCAGAAAATGAAAGCATGTTAGCTGATCTTTTCCCTTGAAGAATTTGAATCATTTGTCTTATTTTAAATTTATTTCACTACATGAGAAAGATTTATCTGTAATTTTAAGTATAAAAGACATTATGTTAAAATCTTATAATTTCTGTACTTTTTATGTTTGGAAATGTTCTTTGATGACCTCATTCATGTATCTTTTGTATACAGTAGCCTTTAAGTGTTGCCTAAGACTTTAACGTTTTCAATAAGGAACACAATTTCTAGTTTCAAGATGTTACTCATACATATAAGAATAATTTGGACTAGACTGAAAAAAATAGTTGGATAGAAAACAAAACCAGCATATATAATATTTATTTCATATAGAAAGCCTTAGATACTAGATTTTTTTTTTTGAACATTGGTTTTCATATGGAGTCAATTTCACACTTGGATTATTTATCCAATTGCTTTTTTTTTTTTTTTTTTTTTTTTTTTTGACAAACAAACATTTGTTCACTTTACACATCTAATCTTTAGAGAGTAACAGCTTTCTCTATTTATACCTTCAGGATAGCCTTAGATATCAATCTTAAATTGATTTTATGCGCAGCTTTATGAAGTTTACAGTTAAAATGAACCACAATGGAATATCTTTTTTGATTCTTTAGAATGCCATTTAGTAGTTTGCTGTTGTCTTGGAGTTGCCAAATTTCCTGTTCTTTTATTCTTTATCAATATCCAGAACAGTTTTCTTTCAGCTATTCAAGTTGAATTTTTTTAAATGTGTCATCCTTACTTTACTAATGACCATTACATTATCCTTGTGTGTTAGAAGGTTAACTATATTGTTTTCTTACTGAAGAGTTTTCAAATTCAAATGTTCTTCCATTCTGATGTTCTTTATTTTTGTATTCTTTTAATGGTTGTCACACTTTCCATTTAAACTTGTCTGTCTAGAGTTTGAATATCTGCAATATAGTTTCTTTGCTTGAAGCTGCTATAATTAAATAAAATATTGGTCCTTGTGAAATTAAGGTCATTGTTAACACATTTTTTCCATTGTTCACAGCTGAGTCATAGAACTGCAGGAATAGAAATTTCTACCATAATGTATTTAAATTCCTTAGATATGCTGAATGGTTAACTGTTAATATTGACAACTGTTTGAATAGGTAGCTGCATGTTTTCTAATATTTCCATATAACCTGAGGATATTTTTCTGTAATGTTTATTTTTTTTCCCATTTTCAAGTTGGTGCACATGCTTAATAACTTTGTGATTTGTATTTGATTTTATCTGAATTCAGTAGAACACTACTTGAAGGGAAAAGTTTTGACCATATAAACATTAAGCATACAAGGAAACACTGAAAATTATTGGCCCACCCAAGAATCCTTTCCAAAACAATTCTGATGTTTGATGATTTAGTCAAAGTTTGGGAAGTGGGTAGCACTCCTTCATACAGACCTGTGTGTGTGTTAGTCATTTTCTTTGTTTTTTTTCTCTAAATTCTGATTTAAAATTCTCTCATGAGCTTGAGATTTTGTTACTTCAATTCAAATACAATGAACTGTGTTACGATTAACACAAAATAGTATTAAGTGATCCATAACTAATCTATGCAATGTATTCACAATGAAGGCAAAAGAACTTATCTACTGAATGTGATTAAAATCAATAAAAATGAATTAGGGAATAATAAAAATACATTTAAGAAAAAAAAAGTATACTTAGAGACTAACAAAAAATACATAATTTTTTTTCTGACATCATAACAGAAGTTAAAAAAAAAAAACATAGGAATCATAAATTGTAAAAGAGAAATAACATTGGAAATTGTTCAACTGTTCACATAAAGAAACCTTTTATTTTCATTGTGCCATGTTTCTTTACAGATCATGCAGGTCCAGTGAATAGTGTCTCACTTCACTGTTCTGGAAATTACCTTCTCTCTGCCTCTGATGACGACACATTAAAAATTTTTGATCTTGCTGAAGGTCATTTATTTTACACGCTTCATGGTCACCAGGTAAATTTAATTGTGACTTCTATTTTTTACCTACATTTATAATCATTAATAATTTACTTTAATTTGGGTTTGATTTGTAAGTTTTTCTTTTTGGAAGAACAATTTCCAGTTATCTGTTTTTTTTTTTTTCTTACCTAGCAAGTAAAGTAGTGTTAAATTGTTACCTAGCAAGTAAATTAAGAAAGAGAAAACATGAAAAATTGAAATAATATATTAAAATTTTCAGTTGACCAACAAAAGTATAAAAAGTATATATTAGAATAATTTTGATTATAATAATTTATGCTTTTAATGGCTTGATTTGAATAAAAATGGCAATGCAACTCTTTAGATTAGCTTTTCTATATGTTGCTGTTGGCCATAGATTTATGAACAAAGATTGAAGAAAGTGTTCCACTTTTTTTGTACAAGCTAATATGAAACAAACATATCTTGCACCAGTGGACACAGAGGAAATTTTGAGAAACAGGATGAGGATGAATTAAAAAATAAGATATTGAAATGAAAACCAGTTTTATAGTGTTCTCTCTTTTCAACCCAAGTTCTGTAGATTTTCCCAAAATGGTTGTTAGCCTTGGAAGGTTGTCACCATGTTTTTTTGTCAACAAGATGTGTTTCCTACTGTTGTTAGTTGATGCAAGAAGTGATGAAGCTATTCTTTAAGGAGTTGTTATATCTCTTCTGTGCACTCTTTCTCTCATGGCCCCATGGAGACTTTCAACAAACAGAAGGAGCTTAGGCAGATAAGCTGTCATCCTTGACATAACCTGCTTAATATATCTTTTATAGTTTAATGGCCTTTGTGGTTTTGTGACTTTTGCAATGTTTACAATTTCAGTGTTAGTATTTAAGTTATTCCCGTACACACTGAGAATAGTGCAAAGGCAATGTGGATAGAAATGTTCATCTTGACATAGGTTATAACAGATGACCTACAATTCATCACCGTATGGGATGTCAGCCAGCACAATTACTTTTCTGTCGTCATAAAACTCTTATTTCTCAAGACACATTCCTACAGTACAGAGGGAGCAGTCTTGTCTGCTTATAACTCACTGTCCATATTGTAAATATTGGCAAGCCAAATAAATATTCAAGTAAAGTCATTGTAATAATGTTAACAAAAGAATTAAAAACATTGAATTAAAAAAAAGACAGTTAAATGTTAAATGTTTTACTCATATTCTGCATGTGATAGTTTGTATGTATTTGTCCTTATTAGTAGGTAAATAATTTCTTGTAGTTTTGTTATCAGAGGAGATAATCAATTCACTTTGTTATATTAGTGTATCTGTTTTGAATGTATGCACGAGTTTCTAAAAGGAACAACATATAAAACCAGACTTGCATTCATAAGAGCAAATTTTATTCTAAACATTTCTTGTATTGAAAAAAAACTGTACAAAGTGTATTCTGTACTTGTTGGTAAAGATGAAAGATTATATTGATAAATAATTAGTTCATGTTCACAGTCTGGGAACCATCAAAATACTGAAGACTGGATTGCATTGATGAGTTTTCATTTCTACAATCAGGAAAAAGATGAGATAATGCACAGTTCATATTGTCTCTATGGAGATGAATAACTCATTGAAGTTGATGCAGATTTTAAGTCATTTGGATTTAAGGTTTCCTGTCTGCAGACAATCCAAATACTGAATGTTTTTACAGAGTTTTGAATATGTCAATTTTGGGAACCCTCCTTTCCACAAGAAGCATTTTGAAGCACTGTCCATTGATTGGAGGGTCATATTTCCTTGTTTTAATTGTTTAGAAGAGATAAATATTGAATTTTTATTTTTGTCATAACTTCTTTTTGCAAGAATATTTGCTTGTAAAAATAGGGTAAATCTATTCCACCACAAAAGTCTGCCAAAGAGTTTTTGGTCAGTGTGTTTTCTATTGTTTTTGTCTATTTTGGTATGAGAAGATACACATTAAGTAAATTCTTGGATTGTTCTTGGTTAAGTCTGAAGGGTGGGTGATACTCCTGCTGGAGTATTAGTTTCTTTCAAAACCAAAGTGTTTTTGTAACTTTTGCAAAGCTAAATGTTACATGATGCATAGTTGGCTGTGGGAAAATAGAGTTGTCATTAATCTGAATCAATTGGCCCTTAGTCATCAGGATATAAAAAATAACAGCATACAACGGCCGAAACGTTGTGATAAATATGGCGACAAAGATGAGGACATTAGTCCAAATAATATAAATAATGTACATAATACCTCATCTCAGAAATATAGACAGACTCTGAAAAAATAACAGATCTTTTATTTTTTTTTTTAATAATAAGCTGTATTGTTGATCTAATGGTCACTGTAACAGCAAAACATGGAAAGCAACAGTCTACTGTTGGAAGAATTCCAAAGTTCATTCTGTACAGGGAACTGGTCATTGGCACAAGGTCAGCCACATCTTTGCCTCAAGGATGTCTGCAAAAGGAACATGAGGGGGGGGGCGATGGACATGGGTAGAGAGAAGTGGGAAGACACTGCCAACAATTACACATGCAGGAGACCTGATTTACATTGAGAGCTGGAGTGAGGAGAGAAAAAGAAGCATGCTTGAAGGAAAGAAAACATGGCAATATTGGGGGAGAGCATCTTCACATGAGACTGTTACTCTCGTGTCTGCCTGTAACAGCCATAACAGATGCCATGCTGCCATCATAAAAAATTGTGCCTGTTCATCTTTTACATATAAAAATTGTGCCTGTTCATCTTTTACATATAACCAAAGCATGAAGTTGTCAGAATGACAACCTTAAGGGACAGTTATCCAGAGATAATGGGGACTTAATCCAAGACTTCTTCTGTCAACATATATTGGACCCTAACTGGAACTTATTTTATTCTTCAAAGAAAGGACACTTTTCCAGCTATCCCTATATGAATAATAAAACCATTCATGCTTATCAAATAGAATCAGGAGTAATTCAAGTGAGTAAATAAAATAAATCTGACTGAAATCAGGAGCAAGCTTTGCCATTAAAAAAAAATTCTGATAATGAAACAGAATGAAGGAGTGCTGAAAAGTTTTCAATCTGATCAAGAAAGGATTTTAAAAAATTTCTGAAGTTTGGTCAGATTTTAGGAAGTGGCTTGGTTTATTTATTTTTTGAATCACAACTGGACTGCAGATCTCTTCAATGACCCTAAATGGAACAATTGTGACCAAAGGTACAAGCATATCTAGAAATTCTTTCAACTAATCTCAAATTTTACTTTCAGGGTCACACCTTGATCAGATCCCTTATACATGAAAATTCATTCACTTATCTTCTAAATTTAGTTACCTGTAATCTGATTTAAAATGTCACTGAATACCTGTACAGTCCCTTTCTAAAGCAGGCTTAATTCCTTTCTCCTATTAATTTTCATAATTAATTCATATTAGGATTTTACTCTACAAATTATGTTCTGATATTTTGACAAAAAAACCATTTTTTAACTGTTGTTTTTATCAAAACCTTTTATTCTAGAATGGCGTCACTGCTTGTGCATTTTCTCCTAACGGACATTATTTTGCATCTGGTGGAGGAGACAATCAGGTTAGAAAACAATTATTATCTAATGAGCTTGTTAAACTACTTGTTTTGTTGGTATAATTGTATTTTGCCAAAACAGGAAAAAAATTGTTTTAATGACTTGGTTTTATATTTTGACAGTTTCCCTGCCCCCAGAAATAAAGTTATATTTAACTTGATCATTATTAAGTGAGGAACTATTTCCAGTAAATAAAATAAAATAAAGATAACAATAAAAAAAAAAAAATGACATTGAGCCTGAAATTAGTGGCTAGCTTTTAGTATGTTATATATACAGATCAGATTTATATATATATATATATATATATATATATAACGGAACTTTTTTTATTGTAATCTTAAAAATCAAATGGAAGATCTTGGCATTAGATACTATACAGGCTACTCCAAAAACCAACTGCAATATGTGAAAACTAGTCAAATAAATCCAAAGAAATTTAGAAAACAATGTAAAATCATTTCAATTTTTTTTTTCAATTGCAATTAAATATTTGCTATTAATATTACTTTGTTTGGGCAGTAAATTCTTTCAAAATTATTTGATTTAAAGCAATGTTTAATACAATCGACTAAGTTATTTGAGTTTTGAGAAATTTGTTGCAAAGCAAATTGAAAAATCCTGAAGAAGTAGAGTGTGGAAAAAGTCTCTGCTTGCTTTTACATATAGATAGGTTTATCAGATTTAAAAAAAAATCTCTATTACCAAAAAAAAAACAAAAATAAACTTTTGTCTATCACGCACTCTGCATGCATGTGTATAATGTATGCCTGTATTGTGTGGGAGTGACTTAAAGATGCTTGTCGATTGGGAATGAGAAATCAGACCAGAAGATTCATTTATTTACAGATGGCACAAATGTTCCCAAGTATAGTCACTTCTGCTGCAATCCTCTTTAGCTGTTGGAGTATTTCCATATGTGGGAATAAATTCATGGGGAGATCATTCACAAACACTACCACATATTTATTTGTCTATCTTTTCTATCCTCTGAACAGGAATTTAGTTAAGTGTGAAAAAGAAAAATTTGCCTGTTACTTTTTTGTCAACTTGTATCACACAACTACTACTTAATTGTAAAATTCTATTATAAAGGAGTTGTTATCGTGCCACTGTTATTGCTGTCATATAAAATTTAAAATAAATAAAGCGGAACATAAGTTGCAGAACATTATCTAAATAAATTGCTATAACTGAATGTTATGGGCTCCAAATATTGTTGAAGAGACCTTTTCAATTGTACTTATACAACCTATCACTACACAAATGAAAATATAGTTTTTAAAAATTCTTCTAAATAACATTTGTTTAGAATTTGTTTTTTGAACATAATGCTACCAATAACAAAATTTGAAATTTTAATATTGAATAAATTTGTGTACAGGTCTGTATTTGAAAAAGATTAAAGTATCATAAAAAAACAACAAATATATGATGTATATCATAAAGTGATGATGTCAAATTGTGAGGGGCTGTTGAAAAGTTCTAAGACTAAAAAAAAAAATTCTGATGTTTGGTCACTTGCTCAAATTTTGAGAAGTGGTTCAGGACAATAATTTTTTATATAAACCTTTGACACCTGTTGTTGAAGTGTCATTAAATACAAAAAATCCAACACAATAATTTTCAGCACCTGCTTGTAAGTATGCAAAAAATTTCTTGTATTCTTAAAAAAATAGAGACAAACTACACAGTTGTAAACTAGTGTTTTTTATTTTGTTTTTGTTTTGCACATACCTAATATAGCAAAAAAAGTGTTTTAAGATTAAATATTTGACATTTTATCAAAACTAACAGCAAAGAATAAAAGTACTCTAATCGCTAAAAAATTAGCAATAAAGAATATCTCTAAAGAAAATGAACAGAAGCCAGAATAAGCAAATCTGTCATGAGTTGTGAAGTGTTCATTTTGAATATTTCTGAAACATCAAAACTACACAGATTTGTGAAAGGAGTCAGACATTTTTTTTTGACTTTTGCTGACTTATAAAGAAACTATGACATAATATAACCTAAAATAAAACTAAATTGTCCTTTAACCCCCTTCCCACCAATTATTTTGGGAAAAATGTTTCATTTTCAGACAAATTTTTTTTTGTTTTTAATATAATAATTAAGAAACTGAGGCACCTTGAAGTACACGAGCAATGGCTAACACCTCTACCAGACATATGAATCAACAATTGGACTTGTTTCAAGCTCAAGAGAGTATAAAGAGAATCAAAATCAATGTATAAACACATCTCTAGCAGGGGTTTTGTTTTAAACATATTTATTCGTCTGTGTTTGAAAAAGATACTTCCTGTAAAAATGTATATACACGTCCATGCCGGAGAAGGAGTTAAAGAAATGATAATGTTACAACTCTCTCTCTCATTCTCACATATGTGATAATTAATCTGATTTACTAATTTTTTTTTACTGCTATTATTTAATCATTTTTTTTTTTATAGATTTTGGTATGGAGAACTAATTTTGATGTCTTTGATGAAAGTGAGGTGCTAAACAGAGAGAAAAAAGAGAATTCTCAATGTTGTGATTACAAAGAGGTAAATAATTCTCCATTTACTATTGATACTTGCAAACCAACCTCACCACCAAGCTTCCCATTTGAAAGGACACGCATCAGTACACCTAAGCAAAATGTAAGTTGCTTTTTAGTTTTTTTAAACTTTTCAATGTCTTTTTCTCATATTCAATTAGAAATTAGTATAATAAAAATAAGATACAAATAAAGTAATATTCAGAAAGAAAGTTGATTCCACATTTAAAAAATGTCAGATTTAGATAATGCTTTATATATAGCACTAAAACAAACATTAGGTGATCCTATCAGAATCAAGTACAGGTAAAAATGTCCCTTTTGAGTAACAGCAGTTGTTCAAGATCTTTTAAGAAATGATTATTTATAAAATTAACTTATCAAAATTCTCTCAAGTTAAAATTTCTGATTTTAAATTAGAAATCCCAAATTTTTGTCCAGATGGGCTTATTCATATTTAGAAAATTAGCCAAATATAATTCACTAAAAATGAATTTTTATTCTGTCTATCTTTAGTTGAAAATCTTTGAAAAAATTTCCCCACTTACCCATCAATCATTATAGGCATATTATGGCAAAAAGAGGTACCATCAAAATAAATGAATAGTTAGTACAGAGTATGGAAGGTCACTGAAAAGTTCTTGGCCTGATAAAGGCCTTTCAATATTCCCGCCCCAAAACACTGTAAAAGTTTGTATAAATCATCCAAAGCATTGAGCTTTCATAAGCCATTATCAAAGTTTTCTTGTTTCTCATGCTATGTCTGTTCTCTCATTTTCAAATGTCATGTCAATTTTTAAAGTATTACTTCTTGTGTCAGTTTGTGACATTCTGTATATGTATTTTTATGTTTTGTTGTCTTGGTTGGTGATATGCAATTTAATTGTATCATTATCAGATAAATGGCATGTTAATTGGTGAGAAAATATAGTAGTGGTGTAACCATTGCATGTGTTGTTTGAATTATTATTACAAATATTCTCCAAGTTGGCAAGTGAATTCATCAAAAACATTGGCTTTGACTGTTTTTTTTCCCCCATCATTAGTGGTGACTTGAAAGTTTTTATTTTTGGAGTAAAGTGATTTTAAACTTGAAAACTTCCATAAATACCATGCCTACTTAATTACAATAATAATTGCCCTCAGATTGAAAATTGACAATTTGTGATGCCAAAATCGCCATAAATAATTTAATAGAGTACATTTAATAACCTTTGCATGCATAGTAGTTTTTAAAAAAACTCAAAAACATAAAACATTAATCCACAATAATTTCCCTAAACACATAATTGATAAATTAAACTAACCTTATGGAAAAAAAGAATAATACAAGTAATGATAATGCAATAAATAAAGCAAACTTAAAATATTCCAGTTGCCACAAAATAAATGAAAAAAAGGTTAAAAAATTGACACGTCACCTAATTACAGAAACCAACAAATTAAACTCTTCTCTTGCTCAAAAAAAAAAAATAAATAAAAACCTTCAATATCATCACCAACCAAGGATGGGCTGAAAAGTTCATAAGCTGCTAAGGATAGGTTTCAGGATTTCCCCACAATGGGTGCCTGAAACTGTGAATAGTACCATATCATATATTTACTATATTTTCTCCTTATACTTACCATACATACCTATGATAAAGTTTAATTTATAAATTAGGCACAATTAGATATTAACAACAATAACTAATAATAAAATAAAACTATTATAAAAATTATACTATAATAAAAGCCAAATAGAAGATTTGTTCTTACCATAGATTTCAGATTGATTTTCTTTCTTGATTATGTTAAGACAGTTTCACTTTTTTGCTTAAAAGTAAACATTTTATGGCTTCTCATCAGCATTCTTGTATTACAACTATATTCTTGAACTTTGGCACTACTATTAAGTAAAAATTTATGAATTGTTTATCTCTGAGCTTGACCCTGAGTAACTGAAACCAAGGATTTGGCAGTGTGTATGGAGAGGAGGACTATTGTGCTTTTATATGAAATGTATATGCAATGGGGAATTCCTTGAGTTTCATCAAAACTAAATATAAAAGAATCAAGCTTAAGGGGAATAACCCTTTTATGCTAAATATAATATACACTGACATACAAAAAATTAATGGAACGTGTGACATGGACAGTAGATTTGTTTAGTCACAAAAGATGATCCATTGTTGTCCGGGTCAGACAAAATCTCAGTCATTGGTTGAATAACAGGAGTGACTTCCATTTTTTTATTTTTTTTTATTACAAATTGCTTATCACATCATACAAGTATTTCATCATATGAATATCATTAACCATTTCTACTTGATAATATGTGATGGAAAGATTATTAAACCACTTGTCATTTTGCCAGATAATTCTGAGAAATTCATGGTCTCAAAAACTAGTCTTGATTGTTGACTAATTGTAAATCATTTAAAATTTCACTGTTCATATGAGAAAGTTTCATATTACAACCTACTCAAAACGTATTATAAGAGATAACATATTAGATACTGCCACAGACTTCTTTAAAAAAAAAAACGCATTTTAAATAATTTAAATGACTTCTTTGAACTTAAATTTTGGTTTTATTTGAAAGATAATGGCCTAACACTAATTCAAATTAAAAGAAAAATTAATTTCTATATATAAATAGTTTTAGGCACTTTTAAAACACTGACACATTTTCTTGTCACTCATCAAACTGCCATTATAGACGAAAAATGTAAATGTAAAAAAAATGTAAACAACAAATTTAAAAATCCAATATTTGTCTTAGAGATATGTTTTGAAGTCAATTAGTAAATTTAAAGATTAATTAACTGGATCTGTAAAAAGTAATGTTTACTTTTTACTTAAAACTTAATGAAAATAATGCACAGTAACCTATGGAGTCAAGTCAAAAATCTCACCACTAACTTAAAAAGTGAAAAATAAAAATTTAAAAAGTATGGAACATCAGCAGTGCAATAATCAAGAATAAAAAATAAATTATCCTTAATCTTATATAACCAATAGCTTAAGAATATCATTTTTTATTCTATATGATTTTATGAAACTTAATAATTTTATTTTTTATACATTAGAAGTATAATTTTTTTTTTTTTTTTTAAATGATACTTTTGAGTATGCATTGCTTTCATATTTTTTATTATTTTCATTGTTTGATGCATAAACATCTAAATGGATTCAATGAGTTTTTTGTTTATTTTTTTTTTAATTATTCTTCAGAATAATTAAAAAAAAAAAAAAAAAAAAAAGAGTTACTTGAATTATAATATATCAATCTGCTAATGAAAAGTAATCAAAGGTGGTAATTCAGAATTATTTTCTTTTTGGACATCCATACCAAAAATAATTTAATAGTTGCTAAAAAAAAAAAAAATTCTCTTTAAAATAGTCCATGCTTGAAAATGACATTAAATTTTACATTTTTCGATTCTTTAATCATATTTCTATTTAATAATGAACAGTAATGGGATGAAGTAATTTTTTTTTTTTTAAATATGTAGATTTTATTTGATATTGCATAAATTTTTTACTAAAATAAAATCATCTATTCTGTATACAATCCATTTGTTAATGAAAATTTTGTTTGAGTCGAATAATTGCTTGATTTTTGGCAGATATTTTAAAACAGGAGGTAGCAAACTTTTTTTTTTTTTTCAAAGAGCATCCATTTTGTTAGTACCTACAATATATGTGGAAAATGTGTATGGTAATGTTGCCATAAAGCAATTAACTCCAAATTTAAACAAAGCAGATTTTTTTTCCTTTTATTTATGTTTCCTTTTTCGTTTTTACTTCTTTTTATTTATCTTTTGTTTTTTTTTTTATATTTCCTTTCATATTTACAAGATAGAACAACCTTGAAATTTTATTGAAATAGGTTTTTTTAAAAAAAAAAAAAAAAAAATTCAAGACCTCAATTAAATCAGAAATCTTTTCATTAATGAGTGAGAGCATCATGCCAAAATGTGACACAGGAGTACAAGTATATGAAGGCCAATATATATCCATCATGAAAGTATTTCCAAGTATCGAGATATCACATTGGCTATTTCATCCTCCAGACAACTCCCTCTTGACATAGACATGATGCTCTCTGACTATTATAAAATAAATTTATCAGTTTTAAATAGTTTTGTGTCATTACAGAAAATTTTTTTTTTATTGTCTTTGTACAAAATGATTAAACAAATAATGAAAGCATTATTACTAACCTCTTCTACAATAGTTGCCTTTGTTTATACTTGTGGTCTGAAAATGGTTGTGTACATTTTGGTGTGACCCACAAATCTTGCTTATTTCATGATGTTTGTAGAAATCCTAGTTGAAAAGATCCTATGATTTAAAAACAAAACAATTATCCAGTTTTAATAACAATGCTGCTACTAGGAACCATATTGATTGAATCAATAATTTTTTGTTAATTAAAAAGGGTAAATTTTGAAGTAGGTGTTAAGCTTGAACCATTTCATTGGTCATAATTTTGATTTTGTTGTCATTTAAGTGATAAACAACAAAATATGTGGCTAATACATCAGATGTAAGCTTACAGTCTTAGAATTATTGTTACTAGACTTAGAAAAAGACCAAAAAAAAAAAAAACTGTTTATTTTAAAACCCCCAATACATAGAAAAAAATCGCATCAGCACATTGCTTGTATTTTTCAGATAATATAATCAAATTTTCAGTTTTAAGAAAGTATATTTCTGTAATCAGATATTCACTTGAGCTTTAGAAATTTCAGCTCTGTATTCTTAACGTCTGCATCTGGACTATGAATTTTTTTTTTTTTTTCTCCTCCACCAATAGGAGTAGATAGGCTCACCTATCGTCCAATTCACACTCCTACCCAGTCTTTTGAACAGTAGAAGTTTATCCCTTGTTTCCTGATTAGAAGGAACTGGAATCTCAATCCTGAATGCTGCTTCAGCTCTTTACTCTTAATGAGTGTCCTTTCCTATGCTACATAAGGCTACACAGTAACACTCTACCATGAGTGGCTCTTGGGCCTTGTATTGGGGAACATTAGTAAAGAAAAAAATAAATAAAATTAACATTTCTGTAATTGTCTTTAACCCTACCCCCAACATATTATTCTTGGGTGCCTAGAGGCATTGCATCCATGCATTTATCCAACCCAACTGATTCCTTACATCATTATATTTTATGTCATTAATTTTTCTGTTTGAGAGTCACTTTCATGTGGCTATAAAGTCCAACATGTGTGAGGCAGACATGGCCATACATGTTGCATGTACCAGCCTGACAAAATAAAAATGTCTACAGAAACCATTTCTTTATTCCTACTTTACACACTGAGGACATTCAATTTAGAAATTTCTTATTAAACAACAAAGATTTTTTTAAGAGAAGCATTTTCACTATTTTTTAGTTTTGAATATTCTGATATTCTAAGATAGTAAATCTTATAGCATTTATGCTGGGATAAATATAGTCTTCAGTAGTTAAAGTAAATAGTAAAATTGGAAATAAAGATATATTTTTCAGTAGAAACTTAACATCTCACATTTTGGAACCTTGTCCATCATGAAAGTTTCAGGACACATTTGCTGCCCTTTCTGCTCTCAATTTTTTTTATACATCAGCTTCAATTTTAGTAAATAATCACAAGGTTTTTCACTTATTTTATTATCACTTTCACTACCATGTTTTTAACACAAAGTAACAATAAGGTGTAATAAAATAATAATAGTGAAAGTGCATAATTTTATAAAAATACTTTTTGTTGATCTGAAAATTAAAAGACAAAGCCCCAAAGAGGAATAGTAGTCATTAGCTTTATTGTACATTTAAGAAAGATTGAATAATTGTGCAACAAGATATATTTAATACATACTTTATCAAATATCTGCAGACAAATTTCTGTTTCAAAGTATTCTAAATACTAATTTCACCAGGTATATATCTGGTGACATCTTTTTTTTTATATACTGAATGCTTGCTTAAAATACCTTTTAACAGCATGCAGAGTCTCTATTGAAAATGTTCTTTTCAGGAATAGTTCATTAAAATGCTCAGAATTGTTCATTGATTCTATCCTAAGTTGTAATCATTTTATTCACTTGTACTAGTTAATACAATTAGCAGCAACCAAAGTATAACAGATGAGTGAACAAGAAGTCATTTTCAGTTGAAGTGATTTTCTTCCTACTTTTAATAAGCTCATGATAATTCATTATACGTGAAGTGAGGGTCTTAGTTTTTTAATATTCTTGTACTCCATTTTCTGTTATTAATTGTACATTCATAATTCTATGTCTATTTTATGTAGAAAGGACAAGAAGACTTGATCAGGGAAAACAGTGAACAAAAAAAAGCTGTTCTTGAAAGTCAAAGTAATGTAAGCAAATGTTTTTCATTAAAAGATGTCTTTTTTTTTCTCCTCTTATTTATATTGGTTATCCAGTTTTTATCTTTGAAAACAACATTGTATTGATTCTATTTGTACAAAATCATGCAAGAAGAAAGTCTTGATTTATCCAGTCACTCAATGCTACAGGTATTCTGGCAACATCCTAAACTGTTTGAAAAATGTTCCTTTCTATCCTTTTTCATATCTACATGTTCTTTATTATTCAGATTTTAGATGAATCTTGAACAGCCAAGTAACATTCCAGTGATTTGTCATTCATTTTATGGAAATGCCATGAAAAAAATGAATAGCAAATTTTTTTTTAATGATATCTCCACAGATTCTTTTTATCTGGGAATTGACATGAGTTCTTGGAAAATATAATGCAATGGTTTCCTGTTGCATTCTCCAGTTTTGGATTCATAAAATAGTCCTTTTAGAATAGCTGCTAAACAAGGCTGAAGATCTCTATCTATTCTGCAATATAACCCAAAGATGGGCAAGAAGTGATGTCTTTCCCAAGGGCATTAGTGTAAAAGTGAACAACTAGACCAGAAATTGAACTTACCAATTCCACTTTTTGTAATATGAAGGAAAAGTAAATTTATCTTTGATATATAGCAAGGATAAATTTACTTTTCCTGAGGTATTGTTTTTCTTTTTATTATTACACAAGCATTTTTATTCTTAGTTATTAAATTTATTGATCTATTTTTGTTTTATAGACCCATGAAAACATCTCAGCAAGTTTTTCTCAATGGAACAATGTTGGTTCATCTGTAGCACAAACTTTATCAAATATCATTGACCAGTTGACAATAATTACTCAGGTGAGTGAGAGAAGAAGGGAAATAAATCAACTCTAATGTTCATGCCTCTTCAGGACAAAAGCAGTCATGGGTCTGTACAGATTCATTTTCCTTATTATTCCCAGTAAAGATAGTGGAATAGTTTCCTGTTGCCTTCTCTCTGTTTTTGAATTCAAAGTGGTCATTCTTTGAACCTGGCTGTGATTCTGTTATTTAGTCCATAGCTGGAGGAGATAAATGAATTGGCATTAATGTGAAAATAAATGCAAGAAAGTAGGTTGCAATTTGAACACTGCTCACTGATTTCACTTTCATGTTGCTGTTACATTACCCACACATGCACTAATCAAAACAAAATTCTTATTCATTTATACATTTTTTTTCCTTTGTCAACAGCAAAATTCTATTTCATTGTTGATAGAAAACAAGTTTGCCCCCCACCTCCATTAAAGGTAGTCAACAAATTTAGACCACAGCAAATTAGTTTTGATATATAATCATAAAAACAAAAAATATGAAGTTATTTTTGTTTCTTAACATAATGTCTTTGACCATCTCTTGTAAATTAATAAATATATATTTTTGATTTATTTTATTACTGTTTAGCCATGAAAATGTATTTAAATGTAAATCAAATTGTATTGAATTTTCTATTTTTAAATTTTTTTTTTCTTCTGGTCTCTTTCAAGCTTTGCTGTTCTCATTTCAGACAATGAGTTTCATGGAGAAACGTCTTGCTTTGTATGAAGATAAACTGAAAGAAGTTTCAGATCAGACTAGCCAAATGTCACTGTTTGAAGAGAAACTTAATTCATATGAAATTAAACTAAAAGATGATGATGCTAAAAGATTTCAAAGGATGAAACTCATGCAACAACGGATTGAAGAACTTGAAAATAAAGTAAAGAATATGGCTTCAGAGAAAACTACAGAATAGAAAAAATAATGTTGTTTTATGAATTTTTTTCAAAAAACTGGGTACATTGTCCACTGAAGCAGTAACAATTATATTAGGAATTAAGAAAAAAAAACATTTCTTTTCCATGATTTGACTTTTTTTTTAATGCAATAAACATTATTTTTCAAAATGGAAAAATAAAATTCAGCAACCAAAACAGTTAGCTAATCATTCACTTGGTGAATAGTTAACTAATTTTTCATTCTATTTCTTTTTAAAATAAAATAATGTGGGAAAGCTGATATGATTTATGCTTATAATATTAAGTCTAATGTACATCCTGAAAAATATAATGGAAACATTTTGGCTCTCAATGATTGTGCAAAAACAAGCATGGAACTGAAAATGGCCCATATTTCTGGGCATCTCTCTCTTATTTATTTATATATTTATATATATATATATATATATATATATATATATATATATATATATATATATACACACAGAGTAATGAACAGTTATTTTTCAGATGTTTGGACTAAGTTTGTTTTTTTTTTTTATTTTTAGTATTTTCAACAATATTAACATGGATTTTTTTTTCATTTTACAGTTAACAATGTTTTCACAAAAATATAAAATTACTAAAAATAATTTTATTTTATTTGTAATCTAAATTTTTCAGATTTATGAACATTAATCTTCCTTAGACTAATTTTAAGAACATTTCAATTTGGATTGTTATTTATTAAAATAAAAAAAAAAACAACTAATTTTTACAATGTTTTTATAAACAAATTCAGTAATCAATGAGTAAATTTTTCAAATGTCTATTTGGCAATAAAAATTTTCCAATAAAAATATAAAATTTCAGAAACTTTTCAATTTTTCTTTTTAATGATATAAATTTTTATGAAAATTGATTACAACACTACATGTAATTGAAGAGTATTTTTTGTTGAGTGCAGAGTCATTCTTATAATGCTGTGGACTGAGAAAGCTCAGTTATTACAAAAAGAAAAAAAAATGCAACTATCTTCCAGTTCATCTGTGTTGTCTTTGCAGAAAGGAAGTAATTTTAAATTTGTTGTCAAACTTTTCATTTATTTTGTTGCTAATCAATTTTATGTTATGTGATTTTATGCAAATTCATAAAATATATTGGAGTGAAAGTATTTAAATTTTGGAAGTTTTCATGACTACTGACTGAAGATAAATTTTGAAATAAAAAAAACAACAAAAAAAAAACAAATGGAACTTTATGAAATTAATGAAGAGTAATAAAAAATATACCAAATATACCTTAGCTTTTCTCAGTATAGAAAGCACTGAATAGATGTCTAAGCTCAAATTGATCTGATTCAAAGCTAAGTTGACTAGCTATTATTTGATTGAGATGCAATTTGAATATTTTAAATACTTATTATAAACAAGTTACAGTTAATATTTATTGAAAATTAAATTTCAAAGTTCTGATTCTTAATATAAAATATATAGAAATGAACTGTTTTATTATTACTTCAACATTTAATAAAATTTGGTTCTTGGAAATGAAGTGAAAGAATAAAACAAAAATTTAAATGAAGTTTCAAATATTAAAATGTTCTTTGAAAATTACAAAATCTTTGGTATGAATATTTTCTTTTCATATACCATAAATCTAAAGCATAATTTATCAAAATTGGGAGATTTGCCAAAATCATACTTCACTTTTCTGTTTAAACAATTTATTTCTCCCATCAAATCTTTTAAGACAATATAAGGTAACTGGTTATTTCAGAAAAATTAAGTGTGCAAGGAATATTTATATTAACAGTAATGTATTTTTACTTACAAAAACAAAGAAAGTGAAATATGTATAAAGTAATATAATAATATTCAGTTAGTTCATTTCCCCTAAATTTAAAATATATTATTTAGCGTCAATTTTTGTCATTAACTTTTCCACTTCAAAACACACACAATCGTTCTATATACTGTATTTTTTACTTATTTCTAATGACAAAAAAAAAAAAAAATTTAGCGAAATCAACTTTTTTTTTTTTTTATTATATACAATGTAGATTTTTATTTTCTTATAGATATCATTTCATATACATAATGTTATTTTGTCTTCTGACAAGAAAATACAAGTGTAATTCATTTTTTATTGTGTGTTAAAATCTATTCAGAATACAAGATCTTAATATAAGAAATCACAAATTACCAGAGATATTAACTGTTCTCCAGTTCATATGTTTGGATTATGTCAAGTATAACATCTCGAATCATATCCAGATTCAAGTCTTCTGAAAATACCTATTTAAAAGAAAAAATATAGCAATTAATAACTTCCAATTTCATCAATAAAGTCAGTATTAGCATATTCTATTTATTAGCCTAGAATAGAGACCAAACTATTTGAGACATAACTTTATTCCAAATATATAAATCATATTTAGAATGCATTTAGGAATTTCTTTTGACTGAAGGTTATATTAAGAAAACTGTCTTGAAAACTCATTAGTGTATAAAAAAAAAAAAAAAAAATCACATTTCTCCCATTCCTTAAGAAAAACATTTTAATTTAATAAATTTTGTGAACATTCATTTTACATGCAAAAACATTTAATTTGTTTTGTCAAAAGAATAAAGTCTTTCTTAATATTTTATTGCTCTTTTTTGGTATTTCTTATAAGCATTTATGATTATTAATAATAAAAAAAAAAACAAACAAACTTACTGTCCACCATTTGGTATGTGCAGATCGATTGTGTGGTACCTCAAGACCATAGCATTGAAACCCCAGATAGATAATTGACACTGCAATATGTTGTGGCTTAAACTTTAGACTAGTTTTGCCATGGTAACTATCCCGGAGAAGAGACCAACAGGTTTTTGTCAATGGAATTCTTTCCCATACATAAGGTTGGAACCAATCATGTAAAGCTTTCAAATAATGGAGAAGGTACTGGTAAATAGAAGCAGAATTTAAATTAAGATTGGCAAAAATCACATCACAGCAGAAAAAGAAAGAAAGAAAAAAAGTAGAGTAAATGAAGAAATTAGATACATTGACAGATTTTTAAGAGTATTAAAAGAATTAAGAATGAAAAAAACCTTTACTCTGCTTTTAAACCCAGATTAAAAGATGACTTTCAAAGTAAAATTTTTCAATTATCTTTTTTCATTGACCAGATAATAAATAACATACTAGTGGGGGAAAATTGTAAAAATGGCCTACCTCGGAAACGCCTGCGAATCTGTGCAATGCGCAAATTCCAGTTTGCTTGCGGTAAAAGGATCCAAAATGGCGACGCCCATGTTTTATGCCGGGCGGTCTCGGTTAGTTAACGCGAAATCTCATTGTCTCGTCATTTGCATGCAAATCATGGTCAGTCATCGGCTGTATAAAGTAGGCACGTTTTTCTGTTTCGGATCAGAGGACTTTTGGCTTCTGAGAAGGTTGGATGTGTGACACCGGTTTTGTCAGTTACCCTCCTCGCAGTTTTTTGTTCCTACCTGCTATTATCAGTTGAGTTGTTGTGTTACCCCCACAAGCTATTTCGGCAATGGACAAGTTCGATCTAAAATTGATCCCAGAATTCGACAGCTCCCCCACAGGCCCGACTGTCATCGAATGTTTTGAAAAGGCCAAACATGTTTGCAGGGTGTCCAAAATAGTCATCCCACTGAGACTCACGGGGGGAGCCTACGCAGTATATCAACAACTCGGGGACGATGCTGACCTAGAAGAGATCAAGGGTGCCCTATATACGGCCTTTGGAATAGACCTCTTCATCACTTGGAAACAGTTTGACCGACGATGGCTCGAGCCGGGTGAGACTGGATGTCTACCTGGCTGATTTGCGAAGGCTGGTAGTACCATTTGGCGGAGCAATGGACGGCATACTGGGATGCGCCTTCCTGGCAGGACTTCCTGACAACACCAGTTGGCTCCTGTGAGTGTCTTCAAGATTGGACACACTGGGAATTGACGAATTGCTAGCCAGGGCCCGAAACATCTTGAAAGACACGAAACAGGTCGCGGCAGCCGCGAGAACACCCGAGACACCATGGGAGGGCCCAAAGTGCTACAAGTGCGGTGGACCCAACCATTTCTCTAGGGACTGCCGAAGTGTTGTAGGAGGTGGAAGCAGCCAACGGACACGAGCACAACTATGCTGCTATCGCTGCAAAGAGTTAGGCCATGTAGCACAGGATTGCTCGGGCAAGGTGCTGTCGCAACCCTTGCCCCCTCTCAGTCAGTAAATGCGGCATTGCCTGTTGTCAACGTATGCGTTGAGGGTAAACGATGTTCGGCGCTTGTTGACACTGGATGTTCCCGATTGATCGTTAATGTGGATCGATGCATGACATGGAGCAGTCAACAAATCGAGATTTGGACGATTGATGGAGTGTCCCGGGCCTGTTGTGGTGTTGGGACTGTATCAATCCTCACAGATGGAGGGAGTCATGGTGGCACGTCAAAGGCCCCTCGGTTACGACCTGCTGCTTGGGATTGATGCGATCCGAGCGTTAGGAGGCATGATAATCATGCCAGCCGGAAATGTGGAACTGGGTAAAGGAAGAAAGGTGTGTGCAGCCCTTTACATTAGTGAGCCGGACTTCGACGTCTCTTTCAATTCCGAGAGGGTGTGGATCGCCAGGTGGAAATGGGCCCAAAAAGACCCACCAGTTCAGCTTCACAACAAGGTCGCAGAGTACAAAGTTCCCGACAGCATCAGAGGAAAATACGAGAAAGAGCTTCAACAGTGGATTGTGAACGTCTGGTTGATTCCGTACCCCCAGGAAAGACTGGGATCCCCAAAGGGTCTGATTCCCTTGATGGCAGTCGTGCAGGAGCAGAAACAGAAGGTGCGTCCGGTACTCTACCGCGAATTGAACAACTTTGTGGATACTTTTACTGCCGATGCAGAAGTGTGCGCACATAAGTTGAGAACGTGGCGGCGGCAGGGGGTCAATGTGTCGCTTCTGGATCTGCGGAACGCATATCTTCAGATTCACATCGACGAAGCGCTGTGGCCATTTCAAACGGTTATTTTCAAAGGCCAACGCTTCTGTCTTATGCGGCTAGGATTTGGGCTAAATGTAGTGTCACTCATTATGAAATCCGTTATAGACGCCATCACATCGCAAGACTGCACAATTGAAAGTGTTACATCAGCATACGTTGATGATATTTTCATTAATGAAAGTTTGGCCTCTGCATCGCGTGTAAGACAACACTTTTTTTGATTACGGTTTTGGTGTGCAAGGATCCGGTGTGACTGAGAGATGGAGCAAGAGTTCTTGGCTTGCAAGTCTGGGAAGAAAATGGCACCCTCCGATGGAAACGAGGGAAGTCAAATTCGGAAGTCCCTGATGTGTTGACCTGGCGGCGCCTATTTTTTCGTTGTGTGGGAAACTTGTTGGACATTTCCCGTGTGTGGATGGCTCAGGGTGGCAGTTGCATTTGTCAAGCGCCTGGCAACCGCAGCAACCAATGGATGGGATGATAACATCAAAGATCCCTCTCTCTGCCGCATACTAGCGGAGATGTTAAGTAGAGTGCGGGAACTGGATCCCATTGGAGGAGACTGGTGCATGAGTGGTGACGAGATCACAGTCTGGGTGGATGCAAGTTCTGTGGCGACAGGAGTGGCATTGGAAGCGAACGGAAATGTCATCGAAGAGGCATGTTGGCTGCATCCGACTAATAATGCCAGGCATATTAATTTAGCTGAACTCGATGCGGCACTTAAAAGAGTGAATCTAGCTCTCCAGTGGGAGGCGACAACATTGCACTTGGTTACTGATTCGGCGTTTGTGCACCGGTGGATTTCTGACACCTTGACCGGGAAGGTACGGGTGAACACAAGGACGGCTGGCAAGATGCTGGTTAGGCGACGGCTGGGCATTTTGCGATCACTGGTGGAAGAATATGGATTGACCATAGACGTGACACTCGTACAGTCCTGTCAGAACCATGCGGATCACCTCACCAGAGTACCGCATGGGTGGCTAGAACTGCTCAAGAGAGGAGAACTGGCGGTTGAGAGCTGTGTAGTGGTAGGGAGATGACTGGACGGGGACCAGGTGGCCAAAACCCATCGTCAAAGCGGACATCCGGGCGTGAAATGAACTCTGTACTTTGCCAGGTTAGTCGACCCGCAGGTGTCCAGAGAAAGCGATAAATCCATTGTGAAGGCCTGCACAACCTGTCAGTCGATCGATCTGGCACCCGTTCACTGGGAAAGAGGAGAACTGAGCGTGAAGAGCAACTGGAGCAGACTAGTGATGGACATAACTCACTACAATGGTGAGAATTTTTTAACGCTTATTGATTGCGGTCCATCCAGGTTTGCGGTATGGCGGCCGCTGCGCAGACAAGATGCGAGCACCGTCATTCGACTGTTGGAGAATGTTTTCTTGGAGCGAGGCCCACCCATGGAAATACTGACCGACTGCATTCACCAGTAGGGACTTAAAAAATTTGCGGACAATTGGGACGTGCATCTGCGGTTTCGATGTGCCTACTTGCCGAGTGGAAACGGCATCGTGGAGCGAAACCACAGAACCATCAAGACCATTGCAGCCAAGAAGGGCTGTACAGTATCGGAGGTGGTTTACTGGTATAATGTTGCCCCGAAAGATAACGTTTCATCATCCACGGTGCCGGCTGATGCACTGCACAAATATCATGTCCGAGTGAAAGGCATCGAAGCGAACCCGCTGCCTGAACTAGAAGTGACTGGAGGGAGATTGAAAAAAATGTTGTTTGGGTCAAAAACCCACGCAGCAAGTGTACGACAAAATACGAACACTGGACGTGTTATGGAGGTGATCAGCCCGCAATCTGTGAGAGTTGATGTGGTGCCTCGTCACATTAAAGACTTGCGACCGGTGATGCAATCGCTACTGTTACTGAGCGCTGAAAGCGATTCCAAGTCTGAGAGTAGTGAGCATTTGATCTGTTTGGAGTTAGACCTGCAGGGCAGTGATTCTGATTACTGCAGCCTCCCGGCGGACACAGTGTTTACCGACACTCAAACCACAGATGAGAACACGCATGAGGACGAAGCTTGTGTTGTCCCCCTTCGGAGGGGGACTCGATGGCGACGATTGCCACCTCCTTGCCCTGTTTGTGATCATGAGATCAGTGGGGAGTGTGGGGAAAATTGTGAAACTGGCCTACCTCGGAAACGCCTGCAAATCTGTGTGATGAGCAAACTCCAGTTTGTTCACGGTAAAAGGAACCAAAATGGCGGCGCCCATGTTTTATGCCGGGCGGTAAAAGCATAAACAACATCTGATTGCACACACTAACATTTTGAGAATTATAGATATAGATAATATTATTGTAATAACTTAAACTACTTAGTTTTTATTAAAGTTTTTATGAAAGGTATATATCCAAGAACAGATAGTAAATAGTAAAACGTTGCTGAAAGTTATAATGGGCAGGAAGTAGTGGAGAGCCATTGTCGCCAACAATTTGCACTCAAAATCGGCACTGAAGAATTATCAATCAAACAAAAATAAATTTCAATGAAATCAGATGAAAACTGGGAAAACAACATCCTATCAGATACACACACACATTTTGAGAAAAATAGATATAGATAAATATTTTAATAAAATTTAAACAATGTAGAAACTGCACACAGATGAATAATGAAACATTTTATTGTTTAATTAATTTTCAAGAAAATCAGATGAAAATACAGAATCATGATTTTTCTAAATACATTGAAAATGACATAATTTTTATAAAATGGTATAAATCATTTCCATTTATAGAATTTGAATATCCAACATACACTGGGTCACAAGCTGCTTTTAAAAAATTATGTAAAATTAAATACTTCAATTGTAATAACAGTAACTACATTATTTACAATGAAACCTATATATCAAGGCGATTGCACAAATCTGAAACCACTATTTTTTTTTCTTTGTAGTTTGGTCTCTGTTGACTAAATTTGATGTTGGTTCCTAGAATTTTTTAGAACAATTAACTTTCAAAGTGGAAATGAATCACTTGTCTCAAGATTCACTTTACAGTGTACATTTATGTAAAACTTGATCTTAAATGTTTGTGGTTTTTCTATAGCCTTTGATGTTCACAGGGTTATTTTCACAGTTTCACCCAATTCAGTTTTGTGTTTTAGGCATGAACTTGTAACAGATGCCAAAATTATACATGATAGTAAACTCTAGTACTATAACTACATTTTGGTAGAGGAGAGGAATTACTATGTTTATATAAGTCACTTCTCTTCTAGTGGTATAAATGCAGAGGCTAGAAAAATATAGATTGCAAAAACTTGTATTTTGAAATCTAACATTTTATTCAAATGTTCAATTGAGCATTTTGAAATCAATAAATTTTTTTAACATACCTTATGTGGATGGTCAAAAGCTACTTTGAAGCGTAAAACTCGTAGAATATACAATTCACAATTGGCTACAGCATCTCGAAGTCCATAGAACGTTTCTCCAATATCTAAAGGTGATTTGCTTTTATGAAGAGTTCTACAAAACAACCAGAAAGAATTAAAAACATATATAAATGTATACAACCTAAATATATTGAAAACCTAACCAAAGTACACACCTATTTTCAAATATTACTGAATAATTAATTTGAAAATTATGAAAAGGCTGTGAAATATTTTTTTACTAGAAATTAAAAGCAATACCAATGATATGATTCAAAATAAAAGTTTATTTTTTGTATTCATTGAAAATATATTAAAAACAAAATTGATTGGAAAACTAATGTAACAAAGTAAAATACTTACGCAAAATTACACAAGTAAACTATAAATTGTAAATAAATTGAATTTAATCCTAATTAGCAGTAAAATTTAAATTTACAACTTAAATTTGTCAAAATGAATAAAACTGAAATTATAATTCTTGATAATCTGTAAATAATGAAATCTCACCTGTAGCAAACATTTACGATGTCACGAATTTTACGATGTTCTTCTTCAACTTTTCCAGCCAGATACAAGGAGGTAGCAGCAATTAACTATTAGTAAATAAAGAAAATCCAAATCCATACTGTAAAAAATTTTGTATGTGTATATTTTTAAATTTAAACAAAAAGCAACTTTAATGAACTCTAAAGTGAAAAATTATATTTTTCATCAATCCTTCAAAATTATAGTTCAGAGTTAAAATTATTAAAATATTGGACATGTGAGAGATTTATACTTAAATAATGTACATATGACTTTAAAAGTTGCATTAATTATACAAGTTAAGGAACGTGGATGGCTTGGGGTTAGTGGCATGTAGCATATAAAATTATACTTTTAAAAGTATAATTGCTTAACCTTTACATAAAATTATTCATTTAAGTTAATTTCATCATTTTTTAAAAAAATATTAAATTAATGTTCACAAAAATTAAATGCTAGTCCAGGTTTGTTTATTTCATTTTAAATTCCATCCTAAACATCAAGTGTTATTACTACACTTTATATTTGCTTTCTTGAAATTAACAGGTGAAATTCAAAAGCAAACCAAATTATTTGTTATTTCTCAATAGCAAGTAATATACTTTAGTCTCTTAAATAGACAAGGTAGAAACAGAAGCATTTTAATTTAGGAACTGAATTTAATTTCAGAAATTAACAAAAACATATTTGCATATTTTATATATATATATATATATATATATATAGATAGATAGATATGTAAATTTTATAATGAATTAAACCAATTTTGCTGAATTCTTTTAACATTTAAAAATTCATGAGGAAAATGAGGCTTACATAAGTATCAAAATCACTTAAGGAATTCTCACGGAAGAATTTGTGATATATTACAGATGCAGTTGCTATGGTTACAGAACTTAACTTGAGGCGATAACCTGAAAAATATGCATTAAGAATGAAATAAAATTTGTTCAAATCATTCATACAAAAAAAAATTAAAAGTCAATTTATAGAATTTTATAGTGTTTACAATTTTTCACTACCAGATTTCAAGTTATATTTCTTTTTGATAAAAGTCATACAAAGAGAATGGTTTATATCTATATTGACAAGAAAAATATCTGCTGTTCAAAAAGTTTATTTAAACTGATTAAGATTCGGTTAACTGAAGTAACAGCTTTTGTAAAGTTTGCTTTGTTCAAATTTGACATTTATTTCCAAAATTTTACATTTTTGAGAGAAATAAAGTTTAAAGTGAGATTGTTCTAAAGTGATGGATTAATTTACAATAGAAGTATGATAAAAAAAACTGGACCCTGAATTTTTTTGCTCGTTTATGAAGATATGGCTCCATAAAGATAAAAATCCAAATTTAAATAGAGACAGAAATAAAAATAAAACAATTAAAAACATTCAGTTTGAAAAAAAATCAATTTTGAGCTTAAGCTTTTAGAAATTTTTGCAGCCCTATTTGCATAAACAGACACAAAAATCAGGATCCAGTTTTTTACATTCAATTTACACATTCAATTGACAATCAGCAGTCAGTTTAATTTTTACCAAAAATAAAAAAATTCTACAAGAAATGAATGTCATATTTGAAGAAAGCAAACTACATAAGAAAATTTTTCATACAAAATCCTGTTACTTTAGTTTAATTAAACAAACCTTTGAATGAATAGAAAAAATGTGTTGTGAAAAGACAGAGCAATACTCTTTTTTTTTAAATTTTATTTAATGGATAGTATTATTTACAATAATGATAAACTAGACTAAAAGGTATATCATTTTGTCCAGCTTGCATGCAAAAATTACAATGTCAAGATCAAAGTTCCTAAGTAGGTATGGACACAATAAAAAATTCCCACTGTCTCTTAGAGAAGTGATAGTAACAACATATTGCTCTTAATTTTAATGAAGTTAGTACATTTGTTTATTCCCTTCTGAATAAAAATTAAACAAAAATAAAATAATTTATGTTAATTTAAAATATTGTATTTAAATTTTGATTTTATGGTTATTGTATGCAGTTAGGAGAAAAAGTATTTTAAAAATATGAACATCTTTTAGGAAAAAAAATTGTGAATATTAAAAATGAAGTTTTCAAGAATGTTTTTTTATTTCTAGTATCTCTTATTTTTTACTATCTCTTGTATTTTATTTTTTATTATCTCTTGTAATGCACTGCATTTCTGATTTACTGTGTAGCAATAATTGAAATATAAATGCAGATGTTTGCTCACCTCATGCCAGCCTCTGGCAAAGAATTTTTACAGATTCTTTCAAGATGATATGTTCTTCCTGGAATGATGCTAGATGATGGCAAGACATTAATAAAATAATTAAGTCAAGTTCATTTTTTATTAAAGCTCTTATGATTTCTTTAATCTTAGAATTTATCATAAAATTAGTACTTCTTTAAGGTTTGTAATCATAATATTCCTGTAAAATTCTATAGATTTTTAATTATAAAAACTGACTAAATCTAATTTACATTTTACATTCATTAAAAAAATTTGAAAGTCAGGCTAAAGATGAATTAAAAAAATTACAATATCCACTCTCGTTGGTAAAGTTATAATTTTTTCTTTTGCGTACGAAAAGGTCTAAAAATTAAACCAAAAAATTGAGATATTATCGCAAATCAAATTTTAGAAAAAAAAATAAAATAAAAATCAGGATTCTATTTACGCTTTTTTTGTAAAATTAATTTTCATACAATTTAAAAAAAAATAAAGTTAGAAAAGGTATTTTTTATTGTTGTCCACATCTACCTTTTTATTTTTAATTTAAAAAGGCCACGTAGGATCATCTTGTCTGATTAAGGTCTTAGGCACAAGAATGTTTCTAGTTAACTCAAAATAAATTAAGCAAAATATTTTTCCATTAAAGAAACTGAATTTGATGTATTTGTAAGTGTAATTTTTAGTTCTCTTAAATTTAGAAAATATTTCACATGATAGACAACCTAAAAAATAAAAATGCCTGTGTTTTCAAATTAATGTAGAAATTTTTAATGTACGAGATAAATTGACAAATTAAAACAATTCGCGAAACTCAGGGTCATGAGCATGAAAAATTTATTCTCTAGAAAAATTACGGAAAACCAATTTATTATATCTGTAAAAATAACAGTTACTTTGTAACAAACTTTAGTCAACAAAATATCACACCTCACCAAATGTAAATCGACAAAATTTGTTATTGCGCCTTAAAAACATTCAAACTGAAATGATCCTGTTGTAATGTGTAAGGCTCATTCATAGAATCATTGATAAAAATAGGTAGTTTTATGAACCTGCTTGGTGAATGTATTTGATTGTCGAGAAATGAACTCGTGCTTCCGAATCTCTCTCCGCCATCTTGTTAACTTCAACTTCCGGTTTCTCGTTATACAGAAATTAAAAAAAATTCTTATATTTAAATTGGGAAATAAAACAAACTTATTGTCGTTTTTATTTTTAATTAAAAACTTTAAACAGCATAATTATAAGAAACAGACGCTTCAAAATATATAAATCAACATGCCCATGGAATAGTCTTACTCTTCTTAATGATTACAAAATATTGTAAAAATAAAGCTAAAAGCATTTATTTTTTAAAAAATGTGTCGTTTTCAATTCGGTCTTAATGCTCTTTAAATTGAAATTATAGCCTTTCTTTTTGGTTGTCATAAGTAAGCACTTTTCTCCTAAACCGGCTGGGTAGTTTGAAAATATTAATTAGCTCATATCGCACCGCCCTAACTAGGCAATAATACCGCTTTCTGGAGGATATTACTCGGCGTCCCCAACTTTAGTAACTTTCCCACGGTATTGCAAGTAAAAGAAAAAAACCACTTTAAACCTAAACCTTGCGCGCTGAAAAATCAACCTTAAGTAAAATAAACAGTTGAATTTTAACACACATAGCAGCAGCAATGGAAATACGAAATGAGAACTAAAAACTTGTAACTTGCGTATGTCGTGAGAAAAAATTAGGTACTTCCAAAAAAACCCATTTGAAATAATTTACATGTTAAAATAAATGTTTTCTTTGAACATAAATTTCTGCTTTATTTAAACGGAACGCTAATCTGAATTAAAAAAAAAATTAATTTCTGTAATTTTTAAACTAGTTTTAAAAGCATTTTTTGGCAACTTCCTTCGTCACACATTGAACTACTTACTTGGTTACCATTATAGACAAAAATGTATACAAATTTAAAAATCTTTTAAAAATTCGGTTTTTATCTCAGAGATATGTTTCGAAGACATTTAACTGGATTTTGTAAACATAAAAAGGGATAACTTGCTTTTTAAGCCCCGCGATAAGTATCTAATAAAATATTCCTAAATAGTTATAATTAGGTGTATATTTACATGCTTAATTCGAAAATAACAAAGAAATTTTGATAAAATCTACTGTTGTGGAGTTATCGACAATAAAATTTCGAACTCATTTGCGTCGCGGCAGTCATTACTGGCGTTGTGTGCGGAATAGTCTTGGTTATTACGCACGCATTGAGTCCTCAGTTGCGTTGTAATTGAGTCAAGTAAGAACAGTAAAAAGGCCGTTAACAAAGTAATCTTTCGGGGCAAATCTAATCAGCAGCGAATGTATGCAAACAACGCTAGTAATGCTGCTGTACCATAACGCAAATGAATCCGAAAATTTAATGTCGATAACTTTTAAACGGCAGATTTTATCAAAATTTCTTTATTATTTTCGAATTAAGCATGTAAATTTACACCTAAATATAACTATTTGGAAATTTTTTATTAGATACTTAGCGAGGGGCTTAAAAGCCCCACGCTACTAAGTATCTAATAAAAAATTTCCAAATTATCCGATAAAAAGATTATACACCTCTGAATAAAAATAATTAAAGAAATACAGAACACGAACAGTGCAATAAACAAAACGTTATTATTTATTATATGTCTATATTTCTGAGATGAGGTATTATGTACATTATTTACATTATTCAGACTATTGTCCTCATCTTTGTCGCCATATTTATTACAACGTTTCGGCCGTTGTACGCTCCGGCCTTCTTCAGGTGGTTGGAATGTCGAACTGAACCCTTTATTTCGCTCACTGGGGTAGACTCTTCTAGTTCCACGTGCCATGTTTAATGGATGTCAGTTATCTCCTGTTAATTTCCCTCTGAAAGTTCTCCACTGCTTTAGCCGGATATTGAATTCACACTCTTTGGGTCCTGTCACTGGATCTAACTAACACCTTTATCCACTATGCCTTGTGTCCTGACATTTCAACCACCCAAATAAGGCCGGAACGTACAACGGCCGAAACGTTGTAATGAATATGGCGACAAAGATGAGGACAATAGTCCAAATAATATAAATAATGTAATTAATATTTATGTTTAAAAATAAATTAACTTTATTCAAGAATATTTTTATTCTACTTATGAAACTTATTAGATTCTAATGAATACTTTTAATTTGTATACTACATTAGAAGTTGTTTTTGTAGTTTAAATTCGAGCGACTGGCAAAAATTCTTAGTGGATGGGGAGTGAGTGACACGGGTTCTCTAGGCAAGCCACTTGTTTTTCTTTAGTTTACAAATCACAATCGGCGAAACTTCGCATGCAAAAGCACGACCACTCAACTCGTCCGCGTCTCCTCAGCGTTTCTCGCTAGTCCGCCATGCCCCATATGAAAGCCATGTCATTGAGAGGCAGCTGATTCCGAGCCAATCGCCAGGTCAGCGAAAACTCAGGGTTACTGAGATAATCCACCGCCGGTGCCCAAGACCAGAAAGAGCGCGAAACTCCTCCCCCGACATGTTGAACCGCTCACGTAGAGGATCCTTCGCGACCCCCTCCCCTATATAACGATAGAAGACCTTCCTAGGCTGAAAAAGGTCACTGGACCAAGGAACAGTCAACAAGGCAGACCGACACTCGCGAAAGGAATCCGATTGAACCCGGGGTCCGCGAGCTGGTTTGGGGTGGGGAGTGGTACTGATAGTAAGGAAGGGGAACGCGTCTCTAACAATCCCCGCCATAATCGAATCTCCTGTCAATGCACAGCGTAGGAAAGCCAACCTCGAGGTGAGTTTGTGGCTCATCAAGTGTGGCATTCCCAGACCCCCCTGACCACGGGCGTTGTGCACAGACTCCTCTGTCGACCTGATGCTTGCGTCCCCTCCACAAAATGGAGGATAGCGAGCGCCCGAGCGGCTTCCTACGGTCTTTACAGAGGGGAAGTACGGACAATCGGGAAAACGTAAGTGGCACACGCCTCCGTCCTGCCCTTCACGGACAACTTCCGTCGACGCCAACTCTGACCGGCCGCGTCAACCTTTGCTCGTACTTCAGACCAATTTTTTCCAGCTGGAGATCGGGTTCAATCCACCCCCAAGAATGCGGACAGGACCATCCGTCCAACCGAAGGGCCCCGGAAGATCGACCCCCTTCAAGGCACCTAAATGCAAGCCAGACGACTTGTCGCGGTTAATCTTGGCCCCTGTCACCTTTTCGTACCGATCAAGCGCATTCAGTACCGCCTCAATGTGGCTGCGGGATGACACGAAAGCAGATACGTCATCGGCGTACGCGGAAACCCTGGCTCGAGCCTCTCCAGGAACGGCGATTCCACGTAGGGCCGCACTGCACGCCCTGTCCCTCTGCCGGCGAAGGAGAGGCTCCAACGCCAAAGCATAAAGTAGGGGCGACAGTGGACAACACTGACGAACCGACCTAGACAGCGCAAAAGCGCCCGACAGCTTCCCGTTCACCTGTACCACAGGTGGGGAAGCGATACAGGAGGCTAATCCAGCGGCAGAAGTCGGGTTCGAATCCGGCGGCCTACAGGACAGCAGCAAGGTAGCGATGGTCAACCCTATCAAATGTCTTGGACTGATCTAAATTGATCAGTGCGGCCCCATCTTTTACACCCTCTATGATCGTTGCTCTGAATTGTTTGGACCCAACAGAGTCTCGGCAACTGACTGCAAACGCTCCCGCAGGATCTTGGCCCAAATCTTTAACTCTGTGTTTAGCAGAGTTATGGGCCTGTAATTATCTAGTTTTCCCCCAACACCCTTGCCCCTTTTCAACAGCGTGATCACACCCCTGGAGAACCGGTCAGGGAGGGACCCCTGCCGGAACCAGTTGTTGAACACGACTGTCAAAATCGGGACAAAGATGTGCGACAGCCTCAAGTACAATTCATAGGGAAAACCATCCAGACCGGGCGACTTGCCTCTGCCGACCTTCTTCAATGTCGCGTACTCGCTCTCCGTGATCTCCCCCCTCGCAGCTAGCTACTTCAGTCGGCGAAAGCCGAGGAAAGTCAGCCAAATAGCTGTGAAACTCGTTCTCACGAAGACCAGGCTCCTTGGTAAACCAGCTCTCGAAATGCCGCCGAAACACCTCGCAAATGTCGTCAGTGGCCCGAAGAGTATGCCCTCCGGGGTTTGGACTTCGCGAATGTATCGATCGGACCCACGATGGACCTCTTCCATGCGCAAGTCTGCGCCCATATTCACCCCTTTGGAAGACATCTTGCTTAACCTATATCTAATTACCTGGCCCATGTATCGCTCGCTATTCGAACGCTCCACGGCCTCCCTAGATAGGGCTATCTGTAGGGGATTCCGCCAGCCACCGCTCGGGAAAGACTAGCCTTAAGCGTCTTCACCTTCTCAGCTCTATCTAGGGCGAGCCGTTTGCTGAAATCCGTGGTGAAGGACCTAATCCTACATTTAAGTCTATCCCACCATTTATTCCCGATAACCGTCCTCACTAGCTCTCGCTGCACTAAGCTAGTTAGCTGCTCCCGGAAGTCCCGCCTGTCCAGTAAAGACAGATTGAACTTCCAGTACACAGCCATTCTAGGCCTATGGTCTAACGCCATCCGGGCACAAACGAGTTTGTGGTCCGAATAGCCTACCCAGTGGAACGTGGAACAATCTAACAAGTCTACGTCGGCTCCTCTAACTAACATTCTGTCCAAGTAGCTAACCACCCAGTCAGATGGCCAACTAAGAGCCCACGTCCACATTTTCCCCCTGGAGTGGTCGACCCGGTATCTATCAACGAGACCAAATTCGTTGACCAGATCAACCAAGCTACGATCGCCCCTTCTCCCGCGAGCACCCCGCCCCCGATCTAACTTGGGATCCATAATAGCATTCCAGTCCCCCATTAAGACTAGGTGCGTTGAATCCACCAGAGACGGCCCCAACCGCCGAAAAAACGGAACTGGTCGTTGGGCGCATAAACCGCAACGATCGGAAACGAACCACTTTTCACGGTAATATCGGCCAAGATAAATCGGCCCTAGACATCGGTATGCACAAGGTACACCTTCGCATCAGGGGTACGCTTCACCAGCAAAGAGTCTCCTCT